CTACATATAGTCACTTGTCGTGGAATAAACATATTAAATGCCAGTATCTATGGTAGTCAAAATAATGGAATGTCATTTGAACGGGTCACCACAATCGGTAGTGATCTGCTTATCTTTCCAAGACGAACCCTCACCATAGTTTCACCAAGCACATCTAGCGGTTGGTTACCCTATACTGATAAAGGTTTGGTTGGTCCAAGTTTGGGTCGGCCAATTTCATCCCAATATTGTTTCCCAATCACCGATACCTGTGCCCCCGTATCATAGTCAAATTCTATAGGTACTCCATTTATCCAAACAAATATCTTTGCACTATTTCTACCAATTTGGGAAATATTATTAATTGAATCTGATGAATCATTGTCATCTATATGCATAGCATGTAACTTCTGTCCCTTACAATATTTAACATAATGCCCTACCTTTTGGCAATTATAACATTTCACCCTTGATGCAAAACATTGAAAAGGGGGATGAGTTCTTCCAGATTTTGAACATTTATTAAACTTATACATATCATTATTGTTAAATTTATTGTTATCTCTAAACTTAAAATTATTATTATTGTTATTGTAATAACTAAAATTACCTTTTTCTTTGTTATCATTATTATATGAATACTTTTGATTAGAAAAATTTTCTTGATTATTCTCTATCAGCTCCTTAGGTATATTGACTTTTTTACCATCATATTTGTCACTTCATCCTCAGCCCTTTCCATTGCCAAAGCCATATTTAAAACCTGTTGAAAACTCACCCTTTCTCCCAAGTCATTTATTCCATCTGGAAATCTAGTGCGAATATCTTTCTCCAATGCACCCATTTTGATTCCAGCCACCATCTTATCCCTCAATCTCCCATCTAGGTCAGATTTAAATTTACATTCTTGAGCCAATTTTTTAAGTCGAGCTGCAAACTCCGCAACTGATTCATCAACCCTTCTTTCTATCCGAATAAATTTAATTCTCGAGCTAAATAATGTTGAAATAGGCTTAAAAACTTTCTTACCCACTTCAATAATCTCTTCATAATTAAGATCTTTTAATATTTTTGGATAAACAAAGGACCTCATCTCTGCTAAATTACTAATACCCATATACGCAAATAATATTTTTTTTTGGTTTCATTATTTACTAATATACCTCTTATCTCCAACATATCATCAATATATTCAATGTAATCAGCAATTGTTTTGCTTGTCGAAGTTATCAAATTTGATCATAATGTTATTAATTTTTTCTTCTTTATTCATAATTACTTTATTTTTGTCTTCTTTGTTCATAATAAGATCATCGACAACGTCGCCAATATACTAATTAGTCTTAAATAAGCATACACAAATATGGATGCCTTTATTAACTGAAAATCACCTGTTATTTACAACTGATATATATATTAATATGATTGATTTGTATGTATGACATTTATAACATTGATAATATATAATATAAATCTCATTTATAACACACCTGAAGTCCCAAATTAAGGATTTACATAGAGACCAATGTATATAAGTTAAACCATCTAGTCCTAGGCCATCATTTGATGATTAATGAGCAAGTTTTAAACTGTTTAATATTCAGGCCATCTTAAGAATACAGTTAATAACTGAATCAGTGCTTTACGAGAGAATTTCTAGGAGGCAAGCCAGATTTACACTCTACGGCGAAAATATTTACTCACTATACCCTAGGGCCTACCATATTGCAATCTCGTGAAAGAAATTTAAATATAACGGCTAGATGTGAATATTTTTGGGGTTTTTTTCTTCCGCCATGCCTAATGGATCGTAATTATTATTGAGGCGAAAATGTCTATACATGTGAAGTCTCAATATGTGTTTCCCTATATATCCCAAGGGATTAACGTATGTCCGTCAGGTCGCTAGTTATTAATAACAGAAGTATTCCATAGTTCGAGATGTGAAGGGACGGATTTGAACAATGAATTTATTACTTTATTAATTCTTTCGTGCCTTATATATTTGTATCTACTCACGAGGCAATGATGTCTAAGCCAAGCCTGATGCTAAAGCACATTCTAAATTACTTATTTATCAAAAGATATTTATTTAGCATGCCTAGATAAGTTTCTAACCATTCTGGCCTGATTTATCCATTACCAATGAACGAAGATAGTACACTGCTGTGTGTCATTGCTCGAAAGTAGATAATCGACGAAGCGTGACACGTTTGTAGTATCTCAATCCTTTTGTAAATGAAAGTGAATATATTGCGCCAAAAGATATGTTAGTAGACCAACATAACAAAGTATTGTTTAACATGGTATCCTCAAAAGGTTTAATTAATTTGAGAATTAGATTTCTGTTTTTTAATAATGATGAAATAAAAGAAACCAAGGCAAATGGTAATGGTGATTGTAAACCGAGTCCACCAGATTTTGTTGGTAGAATAGTTAACAACCAGCCATTTTGGTGGAATTCAAAGTTGACTATATTCTCCAATATCAATTTAAATTTTTGTTCGTATTTTAGGTATAGATCGTAATAAATAGACGCCAGATCATCCGAAGCAGGATTGTATTTTGGGAATATTAAAATTTTTTTAAATTAAATAAAATGCCTGATGGGATGAGGGTAAATGCTTGGGAATTTTTTAAATAAAGATTAATCAGATTGTGTTCCAAAGATGTTTGGATACATAAAGATCCTATTATTGGTGACCCAAGAAAGAATTTATCTTTAATCACACGAGTAAAAAATTAATAATTGGGGAAGAAAAATGTGCATTTGAGTATTTCACATTTTTTATAATTTAAGGATAAATCTAGTTGTTGGAAATTTAAAATGCTGATAATAGCTTTATTTATTTTATTGATAGCACTCGATAATGTGGCATTCTCCAAATACTAAACATTGAGATGGAGATCAATGGTTTTTATATTTTTGATGATATTGTTTAAAGCTAAGCAGGATAAAAGTCCTTGTGTTGATAGGATAGTTTGATTGCTATATCGAAATATGATAGGGGTACAATAGCTTAACTGGTTATAGTGGAAATAACCTAGATAAACTTCTAGGAATCTTTGTCAAGGTAGACGAATGCGTGTTCTGAAGGATGGATATCCAGAGTAATCCTTGCCTCATGGATAGTTTTTCATATCCTCATTTAATGCTAAGCCCTAATTGGTTATGAGACAGCAATTCTGAGAAGGAATTTTTTATACTCATGCATAATGAGATATTTCTTCTTATGACTCCATATACTGCAATTGAGCGGATGTCTTGATCTAGCTTTTGTAAAGCGGTTAGTCTAGCTCCAAAGAATAGTGGAATTAAAGGATGAGGTAGACCCCCATTAACTCTTAAGTTACAAAGATAGGTCAATACCTGCAATAGGATCAAAGTCAATAAAGCATAAGGCAATAAGGGCATAGCCTTTAAATAGTCATTTCAAGTTTAAATTATACTACATTATTTTTTACAATCATTGTCAAATATTTGTTTAGTATCACATGATAAGGATAGCCATGGTTTAAAACGTTTATTAGGTTTACAATGTGGATTGTAAAATATTTATTGAATGACCTTTTCTGCTCATAGATAGAAGATTGAGTGATTTATGCATGGACTATAAAAATTTTAAAAAATGTTAGTTAATTTAATATCATCTAGGACTACTTTTTGATAGGAAAGATAATATCTGTGAAATTGTTAAAATTTGCATTTTATTTTTTAAACGATTTAACATGATTTTATTATATTAAAATTAACTTTTAATTTTCCTTAAATAATTTATTTACTTAAACGACTTATTTTTTACTCATTAAACATTTAAAAAAGATTTAATAAATAGATGTCCAAACCTTTCTTTCATCTAGTAGTAAAATCTATTGGCTTCATTATATTATTTTCTTAAACGGGCCTTTTTAAAAATCGACCTGTATTGGGCATTTAACACCATCATTACTATGATTGCAGCCAATCTAGCAAATCAATGAAAATGATTTAGCAAAGACTAGGGATTTCGCATGCCGAAATTTACCTAACTAAAAAGGCCTAAGTAAAAATTCTAACATCACCAACTACCATCATTACGATGCTGACTAGCGGAGCAGATACCATTTTAACGCCTTTAACAGTTGATTCAACACGTCCAAGAAGAAGCTAAGGAAGGTTTTTTGAAGGTAAAATGTTAAAGTGATTGATTTTTTTTAAATATGTCCTCAAGATATTTTATGTTAAAGTTTTAAAATTTGTATTTTTTTTTGTTATTATTAATGTTCTATTAACTTAAACGATTTTTTATTTATTTATTATACATTTAAAAAGATATGAACGTATTCACAAAATAATCTATATTTCTTTTGTTAAATGTATTTTTATTGATTGAATTAAGTTATATTTTATAATATGAAACGCTATTTTTGTCATTAAAAATGCTACATTTAAAGTTTGAAAAGTTATTATATTTTGTATTTTTTTTATTTAAAAATGATTAATTTTTTTTAGTATTTTTCATTCGTAACTTATTTCACAACAATTCGATTATTTTGACGTGCATATAATAAATTGATAAAATTTAAACTACTGTAGCACATATATAAATTATACTTCGTGTAATTCTTTATTGTAATTAAATAAACAATTTATATGAATAATATTAATCATATATACGATAATAATATTATAATATAACAATCATAAGCATCCAATATAAACATCCTCATCCTATTCCTCTATCCCGTGCGATCATTTTTGAACTTTCCTTCATCTCCAAAACCATATGATGTGGATTTGTCTGTTAATCCCCTTTGGTAGCTAATTACTACAGATACCATCTAATAATTACAATTCCTTCCTAAAACTAAAACAATCAAATCATGAACATCAGATGTTTTTGGGATGGATGAAGTAACATATTTATATTTTTTCGCCTTTTTTAAGTTTGGTTTGACGTTTAAAAGCTTCGCTTCTTCATTGACTATTAATATCGTATCGTCCCGTAGTCTCGAATTATTATTAACTTTATACGTTTTGTCGCTTTACGAAAAGGTGAAAAAAGGTGAAATTGAATTTACAAGCTAAATACCATTTTTCAATAATCAACCCAGCATAATACTTTGAGTTTATATAAATAGGAAGTATAAAGGTAACCAATTTTTTTTAAACTATTAATTAAATATGACATGGAGATATTTTATGCTATTATAATTACATAATTATATTTATATAGTATATAAAGGTGCATATTCTAATATCAATCAAAAGGGTCACATCCTACCCAGACCAAATCTGATATGTATTATTATGATATTTTGTTTTCTATTATAATATTAAATTTTAGTAGATCAACTTGCCCATAAATATAGACCTTTCAATACTTCATTCAGTCTATAGGAAATATTGTACATATTCTCCAATACTAATATTTCAAATATTATCTTAAATAAAATTAAGATATATACATTCAATAAAGTATAATTACTTTAAAAGTATTTTGTAATAATATTATACTTTGGCTATATTATTTGAAATTAAGATATAATCTTAGTTAAGGAAAATTATTACTATTTTTTTTAACAAAATATAATCCACTAATACCTGTTTCAGATGGCTATGCCTAATCACTTTAAAAAGCATACTGCTTACTTTACATACACAAATAAACCATGCCTTGGACCCTGGATTGTTAAGAACAATTTATTTACTATATCCAAAGAATGCACGAGTATATTAATTATAGATAAATTTTTTATTAATATATTATAGATGCAATCTGCCTTCAAAAAAATTATTTTTCTGTATGATGCTAAAGAATTATAAAGCTATTCAAGATGATATTCCTATTCTCACCCAAGAAGCTGTTGTCAGTTAAAACAATTATGCATTAATTCCATGTAAATATAATATGATTAATATATTTACTATATCAATTATAAAGTTATTCAAGATGATATTCCTATTCACACCCAAGAAGCTGTTGTCAGTAAAAATAATTATGCATCAATTCCATGTAAAATTCTATATTAATAATAATCATTATATCAATTTAATTGCAATGATATTCAAAATTTATTTTCTTTTTAAATAGATCAATCACAATTCAATTTTCAAGATTTATTTTTTTTAAAAAAATCAATTTATAAATTAATAAAATCAAAATATAATAATGACTTTTTATATTCTAATAAGTATTTGTACATTAATGATAAATTAATATATTATAAATGCCATACAAAACATTGTAAAGGGAGGAGGATTTTAAATACTCATTTTATAATGACACAAAAGCATATTGATCATAATGATGAAGATATAAATAATACGCTCATCACGATCAATATGCTTAAAACAGAACTTATGTTAAATCAAAATATCAGTATTAGAAAGACATACAGAAAGGTTATGAGAGACAGAAAACTCGATCCTTTCTGTATGCAAAACCCCAAAACGTTACCTACCTTTTTATCAGTTAAATCCATTATGGGACGTGTTATTCAATTAACACGACACCCCCTTCCCCTTTCAAATGGTGATATTATATTAACCCAAGAGCACACAAAATCACATTTAAGTTTTTTTAAAACTACAATGTCTACTTTTGCCATATATTCTTTTTTCACGATTTTTCCTCCGTCATGTAATTATATTAATTGTTCAATAATTTTCATGTTGTCAATAAAATAACAGCTATTAGTCTAAGTATTTATATTCTAGTCGGGTCATACAGAAGTGGTATACGCCAATTACAATATTATGGTCGTTCTTACATTTATAGCCTAATTTTATATTGTATTTATCCACAATTTTTGTGATTTTTTATTTATTTATTAACGTTTTGTATTGCATTTATGCGCATTTTTTATCCAATTATTTTTTTCTGTATTTAACGTTATTCGTATATTTATACTAAATGATACCCTTATAAATAATGTATTATAAGATTATATATTTATTTGTGAATCCAATATTATTTAATAAAATAAATTAATATCCTTTATTGCTAATAAATGTATAACATTGCAATAAGTATTAATCCAACGATAAAAAATTTATTCAGGTATTTCCTACTAAGTTAGGTAACATATACTAATAGAATCTCAAAAAAATTAAAAGATGTGAGGAAATCTGTTGATTATATAAATAAGTATAAATCCAACGATAAAAAATTTTTTCAGGGATTTCCTACTAAGTTAGGTAACTTATATATACTAATAGAATCTCAAAAAAATTAAAAGATGTGAGGAAATCTGATGATTATATAAATAAGTATAAATCCAACGATAAAAAATTTATTCAGGGATTTCCTACTAAGTTAGGTAACTTATATATACTAATAGAATCTCAAAAAAATTAAAAGATGTGAGGAAATCTAATGATTATATAAATAAGTAAAAATCCAACGATAAAAAATTTATTTAGAGATTTCTTAGTAAGTTAAGTAATTAACATATACCAATTAATCATAAAGCAATATATTATATAAACCAATATATATTTATATATCGAAATATATTATAAATAATTATAATTAAATTTTATATATGATGTAAATATATTATATTAAATATATATTCAATTATATTCAATATATAAGTAAATTAATATATAAAATATATTATACTAACTATGTTAATAATATTAACTATTATATTAAATTTAAATATATTGATTATGTTATATTAAATACTACAAACAATCATATATTTAATTATTTTATATATCAATTAATTTAATATTAAATACATATATTAAATATTTAAATTTTATATATGATGTAAATAAATAATTATATTCAATATATATATACTAACTATGTTAATAATATTAACTATTATATTAAATTTAATTATATTGATTACATTATATTAAATACTACAAACAATCCTATATTTAATTTTTTTATATATCAATTAATTAATAAATATTTAAATTGTATTATTTACTTTATTAAATTACAAATTTCTAATAATTCGTTACTAATTTAATATTAATTTAAATTATAAAATCTCTCTCATATGTAGTAACCGATTGAAATTTTTTGGCGGCCATATTTTAATTTTATATTTATAATTTAAAATCTCTCGCTTCAACCTTTAGGGGCCATATTGGTCGCCATTTTAGCTTATTTGTATTTTTGATACTTTTTAATATTCGAGACAGCGGACCCAAATCGAAAATATGCCAATGTAAACTATTTTTGCAAATTTTAAAGAATATTACATTAATCAATTTTATTTTAATATACATAATTTTTTTTCTTCAACATTTAGATTTAGCAAACTCTTTCTTAAAACACATCCAATTCTCGTACGAAACTCTAAATCTTATCAAAATATTCTCCTTTCTAAAAAGGGTATATCGCAATTATCTACACCTATTTTTTGTCAAAATAATGCAGCTCAAATTCTAAACGATCAAGTCAAGGTCAATATTTGTTTTATTAAATATTTTTAATTTGGTTATTTTTGAAACTAGTAGCCACAATAAAAATTATTGTTCAATTTAATCAAGGTTAAATTATGGCATCTGTTATTTTAACATTTAAGAAAATTAATTGGCAAAATATATAATGTTTCCTAACTTATTAATACTAAGGTAGATCAACTTTGAAAATTATTTTTTTTTAATATTATTAAAATGATCAATTTTTATAAGAAACATTAATAATATTTTATTATGTTTTCCTTTTTATATTTGAGGTAAAAGGGTATTTATAAATATCTACACCAATAAATGACACCCTTTTAGCTGCCAATTATCTATTAAAATATAGTTCTAAATTAAATAGTACCTAGTTGGTTGATTTTACAATGCACAAATAGTTTAATTTATTTACAATTATATTATCTGAAATATTGGGTTTGGGTACAAAAATTGGCTTTTTATACCCTTTACCGATGTTATGTTGAATTATAAATTTATAATTATTGGTAAGAAAGACATCAAGATTAATTTTTTAAAAAAAGTATATCATCTCTCTTTGCCACTAAATATCTTTCATGAATTGTGGGGATTTTTGGATTTCGTTATATAAAGTCACAAACCGTATATCTACTAATTGATTATTTCCCAAACAATGAATCTTATAGGAATGTATTTATCATGTTTTTTCACATTTAGCTATAATCCAATCAAAATAAATATTTTTTAAAAAATATTATTAATAAATAGAATAACATATGAATAATTTTAGCTTTTTTAACAGATAATTAGGCAACTATTTTAAGCATTCTTATTTCATAAATTGGCGAACCTCGGGAAGCACGAAATTAATTTTTTACTATTGAATTATTAAATTTTAGTTTAATTTTAAAATCTTTAAAATTGCATAATAAAAATTGGCATACTATTTGACCTTGGATCTTGTATTAGATTATATATCTCCAATCTATATTTAATATATATCAATATTTAGTTTAGTCCAATTGTAAGTACTATCACTAAGACATTTGCCACTCTGCATCCTGATAAGCATGAAACTCACTGCAAACCGCAAGGTGTTCATGAAGAATTGAGTTCTGATTATTCTCAATTCAATTTTGTTGAAGCACCCAAAGAAACTATAGTCAGTGTGAAAACTATTCGAAAATATTGGGAGGTATAATTTATATTTAATTCCTTATTTAAACACAATGTTGTTCTCTTATAATATGAGAAACTTGAATATTTTTTTTTGATCCTGAATAAAGAAATACCAATTTAGTTAATAAAATGCTGGCCCACTCCCAATGTCGTAAAAGTAGAGTTGCAAAATTATCAAGATTTATAAATGTTCTATCTCATATAGATATATTTTTCTAAAAGTATCTTATATTTATACGTTAAGAGCATATCTCTATCTAAATACCTTTTTAGACCATGCATAGGTTTAAGATCATTTGATATATTTTATTAACATTAATAAGAACTATAAAGTATGAAATTCGATAAAGAGTAAAAAGATATCGATGTAAATAATTATGTTTTGAAATGAGATTTTCAATTATCTTTTTCATTTTCAGTAATTTAAATTAATGGGGAATGGGGTAAAGTAACATGAAGAAGAAGCAATTACCTACTCTACTCAATATTATCTATTAAAATGTATTATTATGCTAATAAAATATAATAAATTATTTTATTTTAATGGCATTTTTTTCAAAATAAATAATTTTTTTTGATGAATTCGAGCTGATTCCTTTGCTTGTCGCATTGGCGGTGGCCGGAGGAGGCGCGGTTCTATTCGTATTATACAGCTTATTAACCAAACACGATGTCATGTAAGAGTTTTTATATTTTATAACCAATAAAAGGGAAAAAAAGTTAAAACTTCCTTAGAATGATCACTATGGATTGGGCAAATTTTTAAAAAATGTATCTTGGATATAAATACAAATACTGTCTTTTAAAATAATTCAATTTTTTTTAACATTGCAAATAAATTGAATTTTGATTCCTTTTATTAATATATTATGTATAAAATAAAAAATATAAATTGTTTACCCAATCATAAAATAACCAAAAACAATAAAAAAAATATCCGATCGATAAATATCGACCCGATCCGATAATGCTAAACATAGACCTAGTACCGATATTTAATATCGGTAGCTCTACTCATCTTCAAAAAAAAACTTGTATTTTCACTTTCAGTATTTCTCATTTTAAAAATGAAATAGGATTTAAAAAAAGATGTTAATTTCTTCGCAAACGGGTCATAAATTTAATATTTAAATAAATAAATATGGATTTTCATTTTATCATTCATTTATAATTATTCATATGAAATTCGCGAAATCGTAATAAATACACTGTGTCCTAGGTCGGCTTAATTTTGATACTTAATTACTATTTATTATAGTCTAAAAAGTATTTGATCGAGGACACTCTATTTTGGTTTATTTTAAGTATTTGGTGGCATTGCTATTTTTCGTATTTTATTTTATTCTCTTTTTTTTTGTTTTATTGGTTATGTTTTATTGGTTATGTTTTATTGGTTATGTTTTATTGGTTATGTTTTATTGGTTATGTTTTATTGGTTATGTTTTTTTCGTCCTTTTTTAAAAAAAATTTTCTTTTACTTTTTTGGCCCGACCTAGGACACAGCCAAAATACTTCTTATTTAGTTTAAAATACAAATTCTTAATACTTTTTAAAATATTTAAATAAATACTAAATACAAGTATTCGCGCTAATGTCCCACCTTGCCACTAAGATTTATATTAATTGTAATATTCAATAAAATATAATCTTGAAAATCAAAAAATATACATATATTTATATGAAATCCGAATGTAAGATCTTGTTCTTTAAAAATTTTGGACTTTGGTCTCTACCAATACACACGACCATGGTCCTCAGAAAAAGAAAGATAACGACCTCGTTACTAAAAAAAGACCGTTCAGAACCAGTCATTTATGATCTTCTATTTTTTTGTTATTTTAAAAATGTTGTAATTTGATTAAATTGTTATAAGCTTTCAAAAAAATAAAATAAAAAACAGTTAGTTTTATTTTTGCCTTTTCATTTTATAAAATATAAAAGTATTTTATATTAACAATATGAAATCAATTATGATTAATATAAATATTTAATTTAAATTAATGCTAATGTGTGTGTTTGAAGTACTGCATTGGTAAGGGATTAGAAATGGGACGGTAAATCTATTCCATTTTTAACCTCGCCTTATACACGTTAAAGTTTATATTGTTTTATGAAAGTCTATCTTTTTTTGTTGCAAGATCCCCTGCTTTAGAAAATGTTTGTCTACAGGGGACAGATGTTGCTAGCAGCAAGTGAAATGACTGGAAATCAATAAATTATATTTATTATTTACAAAATATTAAAGACCTTTCACTATATTTTCCACCATATTAATATATCATCCTTCAATGAAACAAGAGTGGGCTTCTTTTTTATAATATAATAGTTTCTAAAAAATAAATTAACGGCACAAATAAATTTTGAAAGTTAGAATTTGATAAAATTAAATATTAAAAATATACCTAATTTGTATAACATAGATGTTATAGAAGAGATGTACCTTTTTGACTATTTTTTTTACTGTGTGTGCAAAAGAGAGGCTTTAAATTTTCTTAAACCCTTTTATAGAACAACACTTGATTTATCAGGATACAAATATTCTACAGTTGGGATTTCCATGTTATACAAAGAGAATATTAACTAATTTTTAAAAATATAGAAAAGCATAATAAGAATATACGAGTAGAAATTTAAATAATATATATGTTAAAATGCAAAAAAATACATGAAAGAAATAGGGCTGTGCCGATCCACATATTTTTTACCGATCCGATCCGATATTTTCCGATATTGGTTCAAAACCGATCCGATACCGATCCGATATTTATATTAATTTTTAACCACCCCTCTTTGAACCAAATGTAATTAATAAATCAATATTTTTTATGCATAAAAGAATTATGCATAATTTAATTTTTTTATTTCAACAAATTTTAAAAAAAATATATAATAATTTATCCATTTATGTTGGTTTATAAAATTGTAATATTTAATATATAAAATTATAATATATTAGATTTTTTTTAATAAATATAAGAGCCTCTAGATTTTCAGGCAATAGGCTTCTACGTCAAAACCATATTTAAAATAATTTTTATTTAAAGTATAAATAATAAAATTGGTGTTATTTTTTTAAAAAATTAAAAATAAATAAAACTTTGGGTGTTCCTTTCTATTTTTATAAAAAAACTTGTAAAATCTATTTAAAAAAATAAATAACATTTGCATTGTTTAAAAAAAAATTATTTATAAAATATTATTAATGTAAAATAGAAACTCGAAAAAATTTATTTTTTTTTAAAATATTTTAAAAAAATTTTTTTTATTAAAAAATAATAATTCAAAGTTTCATTACTCAAAAGTTTTATAAGAATTGCATTTTTAGTAAAAGGATCGGATCGGATCGGGTTTTTTACAGGTATCGGGCCGATCCGATATTTTTGAAAAACGCCAAATATCGGGACCGATCCGATCCGATATTTAATATCGGCACAGCCCTAGAAAGAAATATTATGTTATAAATCGTCTCAAATTTGTTGGATCCTACATTTCTTTAAATATAGTTGAATTTATGACGAAATTTACAAAATATTTAAGGATAATAAAGGCAAAAAGAATACAGGAACACACTGATTTTCAATATTAATATATTTATTTTATCAAATTTTAACTTTCAAAATTTATTTGTGCCAAAAGGAGATCAGAAATTTAGTTTTTTAGAAACTATTAAAAAGAAGCTTAGAAGTGATTATAATATCTGCAGAAATTATAGGAAATAACATTTCTCTCTTGTTTCATTGAAGGATGATATATTAATATGGCGGAAAACAAATAGTGAAAAGTCTATAATATTTTGCAAATAGTAAATATAATTCATTAAATAGATTTCCAGTCCTCACTATCTGCAAGACAGTTGCCACCATCTGTTCTCTGTGAACATATTTCTAAAGCAGGAGTCTTGTCACGAAAAAAAGAAATAAACTTTCAAATAGAACAATAAAAGCTTTAATATGTTTGGGCTCGTGGTTAAAACTCTTCTAATCATCTCGGCAGTACTTCAATCACAAGAAATTATTAAAATTGAAAATTTATATTATTTTTATATTATTCATATTTGACTTGTTACTGTTAATATAAATTACCTTATTAAGGACCATGGTCCACTGGACCGTCTCTTTCACTACATAAGATCCATTTACATTTTTATAAATTATATTAAATTCAGTAAAATTTTCACCCTTTTTTAAAACTTTATAATAAATGCGAAATTCCTAGGGAAATTCACTAATATTTAAATAATTTTGAATTATTTGATTGAAAAACGAATTAAGATTGAGATTATTTTTTTATTCATAATTTACTACGAACAACAAACAAATAATTAATCTGTAGGCCTACCACTAACTTACATCAAGTGATACATGAAACCCAATCCTCGTGATAGGCCATTTTTTAAGGAAGTTCATTAAAAACATTTTAATAAAAAAAATAAATTATGGGAAAAACTCTGTGTTTTTAAAATAGATAAGGATTATTATTTTGTAATGTTGAAAATTATCTTTAAATTTCTAAATATTGTTATTCATAAAACCTGGATAAGGTGACCACTCAAGGTGGCTACTTTTTGATCAACATAGAGTGATAGAGATAGTCCTATAAATAATTTGATTAGTATTTTGTCAGAGGATCGAATGGGGCAAGGTAATATAGTCAGGGTCTCAAAGAAGAGGTAATCACCTTTAGAGGTTCCATTATATTTCATCAAAAATTTGCCTGTTCTATTACCTATTGTTTAAAAAAAATGCTGTTTTTATTTTAAGGCGTTTATTATGAAAAAAATTTTGAATTTCAAGCGAATACATTTTATAAAAAGAATGTAATTTTTTTAAGGAGAACGGCAGACCAAAGACACGGAAAGGATAAACCCTGGGATCACGCTGATCCCGAAAAGACCGGAAAAGTAACATTTAATCTTATTCTACACAAATATTAGCCTCTCAGGCAAAGGTCATTTAAGACTGCCTGATTTTACGGTAAAAAATACGGAAAATTTTGCATAATCCCTCATAAATGTGAATATTATTAAACCTTTTATGACTAAGGCCGCATTTATAGTAAACCCATTTTGTTCAAGCTTTGCGTTCTTTGACGCAGCGTTATTATAAAATAAAACCAATAAATAGGTATAAATTAATAAATATGGAGTTTTATGATGATAAAGCTATGATAAAATTGAAAAACATGTTTTGCAATACGTTTATAAAAAAATATGCAATACGATTATAAAAATAACAGCAAATTCGATAAAAAGTATATGATTTTTCTTAAATATATAAAATAATGATCTCTATTTTAACTTTATCTTAAATTAATTTTTAAAACTGAATCAGCTGTATTAACGCTGCTTTAAATAATGCAACGCTTGAATAACTCGTTTACTATAAATGTAGCGCAAGGCCACACTTTATAATAAGCGTGACGCCGATCTCTATGTCTATGTATTTGTTTAATTTATAACAATGATTAAATATTTATTTAAAAAATTATCACAGCTTTATGTACCTTACGAAGGTGGGAGGAAGATCCCGGAATTGGAAGCACTTAAAAAAATCCTCAAGGAAAAATGACACAGATATTACCTATATGGAATAATTAATTTTCAACTACCTATAATATTTTCAAAAACATTATCTTCCTTTTTTTAGAAAAAAATTTTAAAAAGCCAACTAAATGCAAACCGTGGTTAAATTCATCGGTATAACATTTTATTTTTTACTAATTCTAAAAAACTAAAATACTCTTGTTTATTAGTCAACGTATAAATAATCGGAGTTTTTCATTTTAATTGATTGTCATTTATTTATGTACTTACTGTATACAACTCATTATTTAATGGCTTAAACCAAAGGAGTGTGCTTATAACAATAATAAATAGTAAATTTCTCATTATAGATAAGGCCTTTTAACTATTTATGGCGGGGCACCACTCATGACGTTATTTTGAAACTATTAAATGTATTAAAACTTCACACGATCATTATATTTTTAATAGGAACTATTTATAATATTAAAATTTGAAGTATAAATCAATTTAATATGACTGGATGAATAGATTTACAAATGTGTAAGATTTAAAAAAGGTAACTAATTAATTCCATATTTATATTGATTGTGGGCTAAAAAATTTATTGTCAGTTTTTTTTGCCCCTGAAAAGGGTTAAATGATAACTGAACTGATTTTAGAAATATCGTCTTCTTAGATTATTACATCTCCACTTTTTGTAATTTTACAGGAGAGAATTTTTAAAATAAGTTTCTATATCAATATGATGGTATTATAACCTTATATTGATCATAATTTAACTTATTTTATAAATATTTATAATAAAAAAATCAATTTTGACAAAAAGTGAATATGGAATAAGCTAATTCTCAGGCGTCGATTATATAAAAATCCTTTCAATGGTCTCAAAGGGAGAGGGAATTCACTTTATCAGATATGCCAATTTTATATCATTTTATTCTAATAAAAAATTTCTTTGCACTCCGGAAAGAAGTACAATAATATTATTTATTTTTCTCTTGCTCTGCCCAGAACGCGGAATTGAAAAGTTTGAAAATATAAATGAAAGTTTAAAAGGATTATTTTACAACTTTTAAAAATTAATCTTGCATTTTAGTTGAAATTAAAAAATTTTGAAATATTGTTTTTCAATTTTTTCGACCATTTGTTTAATTTTTTTAAACCTTTTTAAAAAATTGTTTAGTCCACCTGGCCATTGCTTAAAAATTACTTGATTAGTTTTTTTTATTTAAATATATTTTTACTTAAACTTATTAAACATGCAAAATTAATGATATATTTTTTAATAAAAATTAATGATATATTTTTTTTAATAAAAATTAATAATATATAACAAAAAATTTAAAAAATAAAAATTATATTTTGTAAAAATATAAGGAAATATTTTTATATAAAAATTTTTTTTAAAAAAAATATATAATTTAGCAGTAAAGGGGGAAAAACCATATATTAAAAAAAGAATGTCATGTGTGTTGAACTAAGAGGGAAAGGGGGGTGTTTCGAAGAAACACTTGTAATTCCCTTTTAGGATTTCAAATTGAATTTTTTGTTGGAGAAAAAGGGACTCGTTTTTAACCCCCGTCCTTATTGAAATTTTTTTACCTAATTTTAAAAACTTTAGGGATTGGGAACCGGGGTTTTTCATAACACTAAAAATTAGAGGGATAAAAATAAAATAATTTAAAAGGGACTTATATTTATTGCATTTTTTGATTTCTTGGTGTTCCAATAAACCAGAGTTTTTATTAGCGGGAAATGAGGTAACACATGGCAAATCCTAGACAAGTCTTTAACCGCCTTGCCAAGATATTAAAGACATGCCATCGTGACGCTTACTATCCTCATTTAGGAGATCTAACGGCTCCAAACTGAAACCGGTCGAAATCAAAGATTTGTCGATCAACCTATTTAGATTGTCATGTCGCAAAAAACGGCCACTGACTTTAAGGGAAGAGAAACAATGCCTAGAATGAATCCACTTGCTTATTGTACACAACATAGATGTCAAAAGACAGGATAAGACATCATAGTTTATGGCCAATGGCAATTTGAAACTCATCGTTTGTGAGCAACATTTCCTTTTTTCCACCCATAATCGCCTCTAGCCATCATAACCATTAGAATTTTTTTTTTCTGAGTAGTTGAAGGTTAGTTACGAGACACAAACAATTTCAAATGCACATTGAGGCATGGGAACTAGAAAGCTCTTTAAATGGCTGAAAACAGGGTGCTCGTATCCTTGGAGAACTGGAGTAATGCCAAGATTGTTTGGCCGTAGTTAAAAGTTGATCGTTCAACTCGATAATAAAGGATATTCAAGAAGAAAGAAAACAAGCAATTGCCATTAAATTAAGGGATGAGAATCAAAGTCCTCCCTTCAAACAGGCAAATGACCAATTAAAATCAGAAAACTATAGGACTCAAAAGGATTCGATAAAATGTTTAAATTTTAATTCGAAGGACTTAAGGAGGGAATTATATTGGAAAGCCGGGGAAGATTTAAAGATGTGCAAGAATTTAGGTAAGAAAAAACTAGGGCTGTGCCGATCCACATTTTTCTCACTGATCCGATACGATATTGGTTCAAAACCGATCCGATATTTATATTGATTTTTCACCAAGCCCCCCTTTGAACCAAATGTAATTAAGAAATCAATAATTTTTATGCAAAAAATCGAATTATACATTTAATTTAATTTTTTCTACAATAATTAAAAACAATTTATGGATATTGGTAGTATTAAATGAATTTTTCATTATTCCTCCCCGTGAAATTAGAATTCCGCAGATAGCGCATTTTGCAAAATTATCTTTATCTTTTGTAAAATATTTACATAATTCAGATCATATATAAAAAAATTCTTTTATTTAAAGTATAAATAATAAAATTGGCTTTATTATTTAAATAGATTTAAAATAAATTAAACTTTGGGTGTCCCTTTCTATTTTTATAAAAAACTTTTAAAATACTATAAATCTATTTAAAAAAATAAATAAAATTTAAGGGTGTTGTGCATTTGCTTTGAAAAGAATTATTTAGAAAAATATTAATAATGTATAATTAAATATATACATAAAATAACAAAAAAAGAAAAGTAAAATGATCGGATCGTTTTTTTACAAGTATCGGCCCGATCCGATATTTTTGGAAAACGCGTAATATCGGTGCCGATACATAATATTGGAACAGCCCTAGAAAAACCATTTTTTAGCGAGGAAAAAAACGTATGGTTGGGAAGGTTAGGAAAATTCCTTAGCTAATTAAAAAGAGATTGAATCAAATTGTCAAAAAATTTTTGGCAAAAGGAAGTTATAAAGCCGATAAGAGAACCTAACAGACAGAGTTCCTCGTGCGGCATGATTTTAAAATCTGAGGGATGGATAAAATCCTTATATTCTTGAGGGAATATATTTCACATATTTTTCTATTTAAGGAAAGACCAATTCTTGACTTCTATTTCAACGTACTCGATAGACGACATAACATGGATTACAGATCCGCTAAAGGAGCCATCGTCGAGATACCATAAATTGAAATCTAATTTGAAATCAGACTAAATTTTTGATTAAATCCTGATACCTATAGTACTGGGCAAGGGACTTAGTGTATCACCCTACTGAATCCCCATTTCAAAGGATATGAAAGATTTCCGGAATTTGAGTAACGAGGGAAATCCAAAGTAGGAATTAAGGAAATTCCAATATTTGGAGAAATGTTATAAAAAAGAGGGAAGCTCCTATGAATGCTTTTAAAGACATTTACGAAGTCTAACTTGCAGAAAACCTTATCCGCCTCTGTGTTTACAAAAATATGCGCTACTGAGCCCACTTCGCACCCACTTCTAACTCCAAAACCTAACTGTAAGGGAAATAGAAAAAACCTAACTGTAAGGGAAATAGGAGTGAACTGGCCTTAGACCGGATCCTATTTACTATAACCTTGGAGACTAATCGACGAAAAATGACTTACCACCATCCAGTTTGGTTAAAGAAACAATGTGCACCAAAAAAATAGGGTGTATACAAAGCGGTACTTTGCCTATAAAAATATTATTACAAAGTTCGGTTAATGATTTTAGTAAAGGGTCAATAAAACCACTTTAAATCAACAAAAAACCTGGTCTAAACCCTTCTAAACCACCTGTCGTCTCTTTTTTAAAGGACTTCATGCACTTAAGATCTTTATCACAGATAAACAGCCAAGCGGCTGAATGTTAAGCACCAATGGATGTTTTTCGAGAAGTTGTTGAAAAATAGTAGCGTTGATAGGGGAAATAGTATCATCAGAAGTCAAAATTCAGGCATCACCTTTAATATCTCCAGGGTCTAATTTTTCAGAGATCAATTTACTGCGGAAAGAATTAGGATTTAAAGAGTTAGATGAAGTAAATTCAAATAATGGTATTACCAAAATTGACTTTCTCCTTAATTGAGGCAGATAAATTATCATTTAATTTTGGGTTTAACTAGAACTCGAAAACAAAAACTAATCAGGTCCAACCATAAGGGTGTTGAGGAGAAATCTGAATTTATTTATAAGTGACGTGAGAAACTTTGAAATCGATCTCGGGCTGCTCTAGGGATCCTAGATAGAACTGGTGGCTTATGTGAAATAAGAAATAAATCAACAGAGCTTGAGAAACAACAATCAGGACTAAAAGGATTTGGGAGAGAAGGGAGGGGGAATTTTCCAGAATTAAGACAAGCGAGTGAACCATTCCTAAATTGCCATTTAAATTAAGTGAAATTATTCTTAAACACACATAGCAACAAGCGTTACTATGGTATAATTTTGGATGGGAGGAAAAAAACATAAAGTTACTAACAAGGGTAAGGGGTAAAAAAAAATCAAAATTTTAGGAAGGGAAATAAAATATAGCTAAGGGGAGACGAATAAGATAAACACAAGTATATGATAGGTTAGCTTCATTTAAAAAAATAAAATACTAGTAAAATAAGACAAATGTTGGGGAAAAAGAAAACAAAAGAATTTAAGGCGGTTGGTAAATTTAAAAATATATAAAAAAATAATTTAAAAAAAATGCATGAAGTATAAAAAGTATTATTAAAAAACAGGAAAACAAAAGAAATTAAGTGTAAATATTTATTAAAACTTAAATTAAATCTGATATTAAGTATTAAAGTGTTGTGATGATTTAATGAAACATATTAACCCATCCATATAAAAATATTTTGTGTGTAATTATCTATTAAAACTTAAATTAAATCTGATATTAAGTATTAAAGTGTTGTGAGATTTAATGAAACATATTGACCCATCCATATAAAAATATTTTGTTTGCAAAAATAATTAAAATATAGACAAAGCATTCTGAACTTCTTCTATTCCTTTATATGTTATTTTAATTATTTTGTTTGCAAAAATAATTAAAATTTGAAAATTATATTTGTGTATACTTATACTTGATGGCATCTATGAATGGCTGCACCAGTCCTATCACTAGGACTTTATTTGGTCCTTTTCGAATTTGTGCTGACCCAAGGATCCTTCGCTCTAATAAATGATTATCCTCTATTGGTCTTTATTATATTAATAGGAGTGAGCGTATACTTTTTAATTATAGGGGGTTGATTAAGAAATTCAAAGTTTTCTATGTTAGGAGGTATACGAGCGGTAAGACTAGCTGTTTCTTATGAGTTAATTATAAGATTTATTTTTTTAATAATAGGGTTAGTAGTGATAAGTTATGAGTTTGAAGAATTTATAACTCCTATAAATATATACGGGTATATATTTATTAGTTTCCTTTTTGATTTGTTCATTAGCTGAGATAAATCGAACTCCTTTTGATTTAATGGAAGGGGAGTCTGAGTTGGTGTCAGGTTTTAATGTTGAGTTTTACTCGGGGTTTTTTGCTTTAATTTTTATAGCTGAATATTTTCGTATGACTCTCACAAGTAGTGAAAATAACAGCCGTGATAAGATTTGTAGTGATTATTGGTTTTTCTAGATTATTTTCACTTATATTTTTGTTTATTCGGGCTTCATATCCTCTAGTTCGATATGATAAGTTAATAAAGTTTTCGTGAGGGGAGCTACTACCTTATATTATAATTATAAGATTGTGAATTTTAATGGTTTGATAGTTTAAGGTACTATAATAAGCTTTTTGATAGAAAGCTTTAGTTACTTAGTAACTAGTACCGGTTCCTTTTAATTTTTGGGAGGTAATTACGCCAGGCCTTAAAGGAGGGGGATGCCAGAAAAATAATTTAATGATATACCCCCTTTTAAAATATTAAACTATTTAAAAATTAGATTGAAAATCTTATATTGCTGAAAAGTTTTAGCAGATAGTTTTAATTTAGTTTAAGTTAATTAAAATTATTATTTATATATTTACTCTAAATTAAAACTTAATTTTTAGAAAAGAGGTGAAATAAATTAAACAACTTTTAATTAAGGTTTAGTAAATATAAGTCTTAAAAAGTTTGTGCCAGCATTAGCGGTTATACAAACAGATTTAATTTGATTTTGGTAAAAATTAGTCTGGATTTAATATCTTTAGGGGGTGGAATCCCTAAAGATATTAAATCCAAAATCCAGGATTTTTATAAGCTTTCTTTTAAGACTAGGATTAGATACCCTATTATTATATAGAAAATACCTAAGTATTATAAAATTTGAAACTTAAAAAATTTGGCGGTGGTTTATCCCGACTAGAGGATCTAGCTTATTGAGTTGATAGTACGCTTTTGACCTTATCTAAAATTCAGAGTTGTTAAAAGATAGAATCAAAAGATCGACGATCCTGGATTCGATCGCAAATTTGTCAATTTTACGAGATTTATGATTCTGACTTAAATTGAGGATCGAGATCGAGATTTGTTTAAAATTCGATCCCGATCTTTTTAAAAATTAATTTTTTACTTAAAAAGCAATAAATAAAATAAAAATGTTGAAAATTAAATTAAAATATTATTTTTAAAAAAAATATCTATCTTCAAATTTTATCAACTTCCATTCCACCATTTATTTTATAGATATATTTATTCATTTCCTAAAATTTACGAGATTTAGAGCTCTTACGTTTAATATAAATTTATAATAATATATTAATATTTATTTTAATAGGTAAATGTAAATGTCCATTATAGATTTAGAAGATTCTATTGCTTCTACTATTGATGTAACAGCAGATATAAGTGAGAATGAGAATCTTTTACCATATTTGAAATTACGTAAGTATTTTATTTTATGTGAAATGGATGAAAGCAACTCTTATAATATGATCAGCACCAAATGCCGTCTCTGTAAGAAGATAATATCATCTTCCAAAATATCATCCTCGAACTTAAAGAGACATTTACAAGTAATTCTTTTAAAAATTTTTTATTTGATAATCTTAATGTCAACATGTTTAAATTTAATTTATTACATTCCTGAGTTGAGCAGGTCCTACAGAAAATCTAGATACAGATTCTTTATAAAAAAAATGAATTATTAGATACAGTATAATTAATAAAATATTTGATGAAGAGTTAATCTTGGTTTTGTTATTTATATATAATAATTAGGCATTTATTTTTTGATATTACTATTATATTAGTTTAGTTTTCAAAAGAAGAGTATTTATAATAAATGGAAGTGTAATAACTAATAATTAAGCCTTTATAATGTATTTTGACTTTCTTTAATATAATTAGAACATCCAGTTCAATGTTATTTGTATTGAACTTAGCAATGTTTCACCAAAAGAAAAATAAATATCTATTCTATTATTTCTTAATTATAATATGTTAAATCTAATCAATTATAGTATTATAGTTTGAGTTTGATTATATAATCCTCTTGACAACATTTTTAGGGCTTTTTTTAATAATATATTTGAATTGAAAGTATTTTTTGTATCATTTGACTCAATCCATAAGTTCTTAAATGCCAAAAAGCCTCATTATATTTATATATAAGAAAATATTTTATCAAAATCTTTAGCCCATATCATCTTGGGCAACTTTTAATATAGATAGACAAAGACAATATTGTAAACTTAAAATTTAAAATAACCTATATGACCCTTTTTTAACCATATATAAATTAAATAATATACTTTAATATGTTTAACAAAATTTGTGTTGAACCCTTTATCATTTTTTTTTGTTTATATAGGTTTTACATTCAGCCTGTACATTGTTTTTTTTAACTTTAAATTTCCATATAAAATTATAAAAATGAAATTTTATTCAGGAGAAGTTATTTTCATCCAACTTTGATACATACTATATTTTTCTTTTATAAAGAAAAAGCACAGTGAATTTAAAAATGAGATTACCAAACACCTCAACGAATTCTCTACCCAAAAAAATATATCACTGCAAAACCAAAGTGGTTCTGGTTGCAAATCCAGACAATCTAAATTAAATTTTAACAATCTAAGCATTCCAGCTGTATCGCAAAAAACAGCAGACAAGGTTATCATGGATTTTATTATTGACACCTTCCAACCACTGTCTCTGGTTGATGATCCTTCATTTGAAAAAATGATTAAAACTTTTTCTCCTGCTACAAAAATTATTTGTCGCCAAACACTGGGCAACAGGATATCTACTTCCTTCTCTTATATGACGACAAATCTTATAAAAGATTTGTCTGAAGTTTCTTATGTATGCACCACTGCTGATTGTTGGAGTGGTCATCGAAGGTATATTATATTTATATGAATTTTATAATGTTTATTTTATTAGGGCTTTTATTGGACTTACTACACATTGGCTGGATCCGTTAACCCTCAAGAGAAGGTCAGCCGCTTTGGCACTGAGGAGGATAATTGGGAGGCAAACATATGATGTTTTGGCCAACGAAATCATGGGTATCCACAAGTTCTATAAAATTCATAATAAGGTGGTGAAGAAGGTGACTGACAATGGAACCAACTTTGTCAAGGCATTTAAGTAATATTTATATTTAGCAAAAAATATTTAAAAAATTTATTTTTTTCTAGAGTTTTTGGAGAAAATGAAGAAGATAGTAGTGAGGATAAGGAATTAATAAATTTGGATGACATATTATCCGTTGATGACCCAATTATTCCTACTATCAGCCTACCAACACATCAACGTACGGAGATGGCAGATAGTGATCTCAATTATAAACGAATATCTAGATCCACTTTTGCAAAATGTTTTGCTTTAGTTAATAAACAAAATATGTCGTTAAAAATGGCGGATATTTTATTGGAGAAATTGGTAAGATATTTAATAGCTCCCAACAAGACAAGATGGAATTCTTATTACCAATCCATGAAATTAATAGATAAGATGCTTTCTGAAAAGTTTTCAGAAGTAGAACAAGTATGTGATCAAATTGGATTTGCAATGTTAGAGGAATGTTTTTTTGTTAAAGAGTATGCAACAGTAATACAATGATATTCTCTAAATAAATTTAAATTTTATAGGTTATGGAACCTTTGGCGATCTCGTTAAAAATCTTGGAACGAAAGGATATGGAGCAGGGATATTTAACTCCCGTTCTATCGATATTGATAGATAAATTAACGAAATTTAGCTGCCTGCGGTATTGTCAGCCCCTTGTAGTTAGTGTTCTTAGAGGTATTGATAAAAGGTAATATTTTTTTATGCAATTATTTTATATTATCAGATATCTGCAATATTAAAAAATTGCAAAGATCTGGCAAATTTAGTAAAATATTTTTAACGGCCAGTTCTACTACTCTGATATCTAGTAAAATATTAATGGGCCTTTGAAGACATTAAAAATTTATTAGATTATTTGAATTTTAAGCTAATATTTTGATTAATATTCTTTGTAAATAAATTACAATGTTAATTTCTTTGTATATTAAGTATTAAGTTTACATTTAATCAATATTTATGATATGACCCAAATATAAATAAATACCATACAGATGATGTGCCAGACTTGACTGTAAAATTTAAAAGGGTTAAGTTTTGCAGATACTTGATTTGATTTATATGAATAAATTGAACACTTATTTAATAATAAATTAATTTTCATTTCATAATATAGATTTCTTCACTGTATGAAGACAGTAACATTTTGGCAGCCATGATTCACCCTAAATTTAAACTTAATTGGCCTTATATTAATCTGCCACAAAATATGATGGTAAAAGAAAGATTAATTGCCCATTTGGAAAATATGCAGGAACAACCATATGCGGATACCCCATATGAATGTATGGATGACATTGATACTTTTTTGGGGAAAAATACTGTACAAAATGCTTGTTCCGTTAAAAATAATTTTTATTCAAATGATGATTCCATGAATATTTTTAATACTTATATTAATTTTAAAAAAATATTTATTGAATATAATACACCTTTGCCATCAAGCGCTCCTGTGGAGCGCTTGTTTAGTAAAGCTAAACATGTTCTAAATGAAAGACGCGGATGTTTAAATGATGATAATTTAGAAAAAATTTTATTATTAAAAGCTAATTTTAATTATAAATAAATATATTATAATTGTTATATTTATTATTCAATTACAATAAATTTCTACCATATTTAATTTATTTTTATATTAGTTGATTTTGCATCGGTTATATTATATTATTATTCAATTACAATAAATTTATAACATATATTAGTTAATTTTGCATCGGTCAGAAATTCCTTCAGAAATTTAAATAGAAAAAAAGATCGTGATCGGGATTCGATCGTTTTAAAAAGATCGGTTAACAAGCCTGTCTAAATTTTTCTTTATGTATTGCTGTTTAATATATTTTTTGTTTAAAAATTAAAAATAAATATTTTATAAAATAATTTTTCAAGTCAAAGTTTAGGATATTTAGAGTTAATTGGGGTACTTTATATAATATAATTTTAACTATTTAAAAATAGTTAATACTAAAATTCAGGATTTAGAAGTAATTAAAATAAGTGTGTTTTAATGAAAAGGCTCTAAACTATACACATATCGCCCGTCATTCCCTAGAGGGGCAAGTCGTAACAAAGTAGGCCCTCTTGAAAGAAGCCCTATTACATATAGCTTAAATAATTTTATAATAGAGCGTTTTATTTACACTGAAAAGGTGAATTATGTAAAAATTTTAAAAATAGTATTTTGGATAATAAATTGTTAATGTCCTGAAAGGGAATTAAATATAAAGATATTAGGGTTTCCTGTTGCAACACGATAAGGTAATAATAAAGTTTATTGTTAACTACCCAGATAATGAAGATAGTTAATAAAATTTAAGTAAAAAGTTTCAAATTTTTACTTAAATTTTATTAAGGTGAAATTCATTTTGTTCTTTTATAGCTGGCTTAATAATAATTCTTTTAGAATGCGGTGAGTAATCTTCGAATTTAATAGGGGTGAGCTCTTTTAAATAAAGTTAACCAATATAAATAAAATGTCAATATAAAATTGAGATAAAATCTTTTAATGTTTATTGTAGTTTGTTATATATTAAATATAATTAATTTTAATCAAAATTAATTAAGGTTTAACTTATATAAATTAAGTTAAAATTAATTTGCTTTAATTAGTAGAAGTAATATTTTATAGTAAAAATATTATGTGTGAATTAATCAATTTACTCGATTAAAATATGTAGGTTTAACAAATACTTAGCTAAAAGTAGTTGTTTTTAGTATTGCCTGCCCTATGATGAAAAATTTAATGGCCGCGGTAATTTGACCGTGCGAAGGTAGCATAATCATTTGCAAATTAATTGTTTGCTAGGATGAATGGTAAGACTTATTTTAAGTTATTATTGGTTAATAAAATTGAATTTAATTTTTAAGTGAAAAATCTTAAAGTTAATAAAAAGAAGGAAAAACCCTAGGAGCTTCTTTATATAGTTACAGTTAGTTGGGGCAACTAGGGCTAAAATTAAAACTACCCTATAAAATATTAAAATATTTAAAGAGATCCAATTTTATATTGATATTTAGAAAAAGTTACCCTAGGGTTAACAGCGTAATATAGTAAATTAGATCTTATAATTTAGTGTTTGCGACCTCGATGTTGAATTATTTTTCAGAGCCAGATCGGTTCCTATCTTTTATTGTTATATTATAAAGTTAGTACGAAAGGACCACTTTAAATTTAATTTATGTTAGCATAATTTGTGTACTAAATTTAGGATTTAGAGGTATATATTTACCTAAAATTCATTACTTAGAGTAATTTAAGTATTTTAGAGTTGAAATTTCTATATAATTTATATTATATTAAATGAATATTGTTATGAGAGTAATGATTTTTAGGATCTTGATTTGCTTTCAAGGCAAATATAAGTTTATTCAGATAGAAGCTATAATAAAAAATAATAAAAAGTAGATAACACTAAGTATTTGTCCTATAATAATGAAAGGGGGTTCCACAACTTGAGAACCAATATAGCTTAATAGGATGAAAGAAGAAGCAATAAGGTTTGTAATAAATTTACGTAAAGAGCTATAAATTAAAAGATTTTTTGATGATATAAGTAAGATATATATAATTATGATTCCTATAAATAAGGCTATAACTCCACCCAATTTATTTGGTACACTTCGTAGGATACATAAGCAAAAAGAAAATATCACTCGGGTATAATATGTGGAGGGGTGGATAAAGGGTTAGCTTCAATAAAATTGACTACATCTGTAAATAAATCGGGACACAAAAAAATAAGTACAAAAAATAAAAATAGAGGTAACATAAAACCAAAAATATCTTTATACGAAAAAGTTTGGTGGAATGAAATTTTAAAAGCAGATGAAGGGATGCCAAGAGGGTTGTTGCTGCCTTTTAAATGTAGTAAAATTAAATGTACTATTATTAATACTAGTAAAATAAAATGCAAGGAAAAGAATACATTAAATCCTCCTCAAATTCAAATAACTACAGGCTTTCCTAAAATAGGGATAGCGGAGATTATATTAGTAATCTAATAACAGTTGCTGCTCAGTAGGATATTTGCCCCCACGGAAGAACATACCCTAAAAAGGCTGTTATTATAGTTAAAAGAAGTAAAATTACTCCTGAGGATCATACTATATAATTTATAACAAATGATCCGTAGAATAAACCACGAAAAATGTGCAGATAAATAAAAATAAATATAAAGGATGCGCCTATAGAATGAAGATTGCGTAACAAAAATCCTTCCCAAATATTATTTTCAATAGAGACTACTATAAAAAATGATTTATTAATATCCGAAATGTAGTGCATAGAAAGAAAGAATCCTGTAATAAATTGGGATATAAAGAATAATCCCGTAATTGATCCTATGTTTCATCAATAATTAATATTAGGCGGGGTCGGGAGATCAATAATGAATTTATTAATTTCATTAAATATTTCAGATTTTCTAATAGATTTATTTATCATTATAAAGTTTAGTTAATAAAGGGTCCATATTGGGGTTGGAGACAGATAAACAAGGAGGAAGGTGCATCAAAATGATAAAGGAATATAACTTATAGGGGTGTATCACTCCTCGCTATAATAATTAGTATATATTACATAACCCCTTTGGGGTTGGAGACAGAACACACGAATAAAATTAGTATACCACCTATATAAGTTATTACAATAACCAAGGTAAACAAGGAGGTCCCACCCTTTAGGGTTAGGGGTACTCTTAGTTCTTCTGAGAGTAGAGACAGCTGTTTTAGTTAATTTAATATATTAAAGGTAGTTTAAAAAATACAAACTTTGGGGATTTGAGATAAGATCCACTTCTATCTTCCTTTAAAAATTTGATTAAAACTTTTGAGAAGTATCTTTGAGTTACAAACTCAACTTATTAAATATTTATAATATCAATCTTTTATTTATTAAATAGGTATAGTAAACGACTATATTATGTCTCACTCAAGTTTACAGCTTGAGTTATCAAGTTTACTTATTATAATTTGATAGGAAGAGTATAGTGAAGATAGATTCTATCAAATTAAGATTCAAATTCTTAATTAAAATCACTATTAAAATTGTAGGATGTTTAAATAAATAAAAATTTTAATTAAATTTTTATTTTTAAGGTAATATAATAAGGTAATATAATAAGGTAAGCTAAAGATTAAGAGCTTATGGGTTCATACCTCATATATGATTATAAAATCCCTTATAAATTTTAATAGCTATATTACGTATAATATGATTAGGAAGTATTTTAAGGATATTTAGATCTAGCTCATTCATTTATTTTTGGCAGGGGTTAGCATTAAATTTAGTTTTATTTTTACTTTTTATTATTTTGGGGGAGGGGGTGGAATCCTATGTTGGTTTATTATTGTACTATTTGGTACAAAGAACTGCCAGCTTCTTATTTTTGATCTTGAGACAAACCAAATATGGTTTGTCTGGGGTTAAGAGCACTAATCAGACCATTAGCGCCGATTTTTATAAGAAGTTTTATGATGATCATAGTGTACTCTTCAATTGGAATATCAGTATGGATAGTTCTATTGGTAAGAAGAGGGGTATATTATTTTTTATTATTTAGAAGAATGTATATCTCTTTAATTTTTAAAGTAAAAAATTTAAAAATAATAGTTTTAAGGGTAGTTAATGCAAAAGCTAATTATTTGCTAATATATAAAGTAATAGGGGTTAGTCTACTAATAATTTTGTTGTTTTCTGTGTCAGGATTTCCCCCATCTAACATTTTTTTAATGAAGTTAGTGGGGGTTATTAATCTTATTAATAATCATGCGATAATAGTAGTAATAAGGGGTGGGGTATTACTACTATTATCGCATGATTATAGTTTGATCTATTTATTTAATACCTAAAATCTTTAATAAAAAGGTAAAGGGGATACGATAGAAAGATTAGAATAACACTTTTAATTTTATCATATTTTATATTAGTATTATATTAATAGATTTATAATATAATATTACGGTTAAAAGATTTTAGGTTAAAATTTAAACCTTAGGTCTTCGAAACCTATAATAATTTATTTAAAATTAAATCTTATTTATTAATATTTTGGGTAAAAATTCTTAGCTGCTTCAAAGTTAAGCTATAACCAAATATTTATTACAGTAAATTTCAAGATATTGTCAATATAAGTACGACGACAAATAAGATAGAAATCTTCAGATAGAAATCCTGAAATCATAGGAGCAAAAAGAATAAAATAGTTGGACATTGAGTTTCATATAAATATTTCTCAAGGAGAAGAAAAAATGTTAATAAGATTAAATATGATAATTCTTCCCACCCCTAAAAGTATTAAAGGAATTGATAAGTTTCAGCTATAATGAGATTCTATGAATTTTGAGAGGGGTCTACTTTCCTCAAAATTTATAGATTTTGAAATTCGAAAAGAGTATCCAACTGTTAAAAATACAGATAAAAAAATTAGGGCTCATATAAGAAAATGATTATTATAATAGAATCTACTAGATTCTATTAATGAGTGTTCCTTAGAAAAAAATCCTATAGAGCAAGGAAAAGCTATTAATGATCAGGAAGATTGAAAGGAAGATTGTGAAGTTAACTTACTAGAATTAATAGGGTTTATTCGAGTTTCTTGAGAGTTTTTATTGGAATGGAATACTCTTCCTGCTCTTATAAATAAATTACTTTTAAAAATGGCATGAGAAATTAAATGAGTTAAGCATAAATAAAAAAGTTTATTTAAAGCAAGAATTAGTAAAAGTCTTATCTGGTTTATAGTTTAAGAGCAATAATTTTTTTAATATCTTTTTCTTTTCAAGCTGAGAATGAACTAATGAAAAGGCTGGCTGCTAAGGAGTAATCCTCACATTACGGGTTCTGGAATGAACTAATGAAGAAATAGGGATAGGTGCAGCCAGCCTCTTCAGGGTAGTTGAGCAGATTTAATAAAGGCTGCCAGTAGTGTTGTTAAATGCTAAAATAAGAATAGGGTTTTTGGCCGTAGATATGTTGATGTTAGAGATTATATCAATATTATTGGGACTTAAGAAAAATATAGATAAAATAATTATTACATCTCCAATTCGATTGATTCTTAGGGTTATGGTGGCTTTTATTATCGAAGAATGATTTTGGTAGAATATAATTAAAAGAAAAGAGGTAAGACCTAGACCATCTCATCCCAGGATAAGAATAACTATTCTGGGGGTGATTACGATAAAAATTATTGAGACAATAAATAGATTAAATATTAGATAATAAAAAAGTTTATTTACATCTTCTAGTATATAATAAAATCTATATACTAACACATTTAATGAGATTAGTGTAAGGATAAAAATAAAGGACACAGAGAAAGGGTCAAATAAAAAATCAAACTCAAATATTATGTTTTTAAGTATAATCAAATTATAAGATAATTTTGTTGATAGTCTAGTTATAATGTTGGTTTGCATAGTTATAAAGATAAATATTATAACTATGCAAACCAACAATTTATTCTTGAATACACCCCTTTTTATTTTTTTATTTATTGTGAGTTGATATTGTTTATAAATATCTATATTAAAGTCAAAGTTTAAATTTAACTCACAAATAATATAGTCAACCCCTTGTCATATGATAAAAGATCTTTGTAAAAAGGCTGAAGACGTCCACCCTTTTTACTCCCATAGAAATACGAGTAAAAATAAAACTTGAAATTAAAATTAAGATAATTGTATTGAGGACAATAGTGTATATAAATAAATAAGAAAAATTTATTAAATTATAAATAATAATAATTTCTGGAAATAGGTTAAAGGATGATGGGCAACCAATGTTAAATATTAAAATTATAAATAGGATTAATGTGGCATATAAAGATTTTATATTTATTTGGGATTTAACTAAAATTATATTTCGAGTAGATATTTTATTGTATATCAAATAAAAAATAAGAAATAAAGAAGGTCTGATAAATCCGTGGGATACACTTATTGAGATGGACCCTTTTAGCGAAATGAAGGATATTAGCAGCATTCTAATGGCTAGAAAAGTTATATGAGATACTCTAGAATAGGCAATTATAATTTTTCCATCGTTACTAAATGATATCCCGATTCTAGATATAATTATTCCTCATAGAAGCGTCGACATCTCCATACTATTAGCGGGGTCCCTATTAAAATTAGGAGTATTCGGCTCAGGCTGCCCTACGAGGACCTTATACTTGAACATTTTTTTTTAACTATACCTTATTTTAATAATTTGTAATGGTACAATTTGATATTTATTTGATTGGCGATAAATAGCATATTTTATATAAAAAGATTTTAAAATGATCAATTTATTTTATAACTGCTAGTATTGTTAAATGGCTCGTTTTGAGCCGATTTTTAAAAACGGCTAACTCAATATTTTGTCCAGAAAAATATTAAGCAAGCCTCAAGAATTTGCTCATAGAAGGAATAAAGGTCTAGGCATATATTATCGAAATCTCGAGACTTAGGCAATATTTTTCTGGCTAAAATATTGAGTTAGCCGTTTTAAAAAATCGGCTCAAAATGAGCTTTAACAACACCAAACTGCTACTGAATTACCCAAAACCAGCTACAAATGATGGTTGACATAATGCCAAATTATATTGGGACATTCGTAAATGACACAAATAAAGAATAATTGCGCTAAAAAGAATCGGTAGTAGAATAAGAATATGTAAGTCTGGTTGCGCTAAAACGAATAAGTAATAGGATAAGAATATGTAAGTCTGGTTCGATTTGCTTTAGAATATATAATAACAATATATCCAAATAATAATAAAAATGCGATTAAATTTTTTCTTTTATTAGTGTTTAAATAAAACGCAAATATATATATATATCAAGTCGTTAAAAAAGTAATTTTTATAACAAGTAAAATTATCGCGTGCTTAGAAAGTCAAAAACTTCAAATATATATATATCTAGTAAATCAATTGATGGTTTGAGGCTTCGTATGTAGAAATAAAATAATATATTATTTAGTGAATGTTTTTGTATATGTAAATAGTCATAGTTTAAAGCTTCAATTAACTTTGTATATTATGATATTAAATTATATTATGCAACAGTAAAGAATAAAAGTTGAAATATCAAAATATTTCACCAATAAAACACTAGCTCTATGAGAGCCTGCACAGCGTACAACATATGGAAAACTTAGCTAAATGCTTTTATTGTTTTTCATAAAAAAATTTAGTTAATAATTATCTGTTATGGGTTTTCCACAAAAATTAATTTTGATTTCATAATTTTAACAGGCTCGTAGGTCGCAAAAATTTTTTATAACCGGCCTCGCAAATCAAAAAATTATAATCGATAAATATTTTTTCAATACTTAAAACCATTTATTCTATTTCCAATAGATCCTAAATGTGAAGAAATATATTAGTGTACCACATTGTTTCAAGGTTTATAAAAAAAAAGCTTTCAAAAAATATAACACATAAAATTCAATATTTTTAATTTTATTTAGAAACATTATCATGATGAATAATATTCGTTTAAAAGAATTTTCGCGAAAACATAAAAGTAATAATAGCTTTTCAAAGTTCATAAAAATGTAAAAATTACATTTAACTTTTTTGTTTTATATATTAAAATAACAAATTAATTATTTTATAAGGTAATCTTTTATAATTCCAAATTTATGTATTTATTTCTTTTTTTGTTGACTTTCTTTATCTCTTCCAATTTGGGTAAATCTGACAAATTTGATGTATAGTGTTAAATAATTAATTAGTATAACAATATAAATCGGAGACTAAGATTATGTATTTATAAAATAGGGGCCAAGCCTAAAAATCAAAAACTCAGGTCAGGCCGATTTAAATTTTTTAAACTATAACAATTAACAAGTTGAAAAATAAAATAAATTCTTATATTTTTAATTTTCCTTAAGCCGGGTCAAAATAATTTTACAAAAAAATTTGAGCCGTGCCGAATTCTATTTCTTCATGTATTTGTTATAAATTAAATAATATTAATAAATAAATATTCTTCGTTAATCACAATAAATATTGAATAATATTCCACAAAAATACACGGGGTAAAGGAAGACAATATCAAAATATGACATACTAATGAGAGAACTAATTTAAAATTAAAGATCATTAAATAACTTCAAACATTTTTGATAAGGAGAGAAATGTGTTTAAGAAATTTAGAAGATTTATTTATATTCATTCATTTGTAATAATTCTAATTTTTTGAGGGTTTCATGAACAGTCCTTATATAATATTTTTAAATTAAACATACTTACTGTTTAAAAAAATAGAATCGGACCGTTATTTAAAAATAAACCAGATCCGATATATAGATACAATATTTTTTATTTTAAATAATTTTTTAATAATATAATAAAAAGGACCAGAAAATCAATTTATTTGCAATGTTTTTTTTAAAAACATATTAATTTTTTTAAAAAAGTATCTAAAAATGTGATTATTTACAATAAGAAAAGTTTAGAAATATTTAGGAAACATTGCCCATATTTTAAAATGAGATGATTAAATTTTTGGGAAATAACTAAAAATGCACTTAATCATTTATGTTATTTCCATAAATATCGCCTAGCCATGAGAAAACGGAAAATTTCAAAGTTTCTTCTTTTCTTTTTTAATTGTTTAGATATAAAATATAGATATTTTTTAAAAAAGTTCAAAGATAAAATGGTTAATAAAAAACCAATGTATATATCGGGTCGGTTAAAAATTAGTGAAACGACACAGCCCATTTGGACCATAATTAAATATATTGAGAAAAATGGTAATTTTGTTATAACCTTTTATATTTTTTTATTGGGATTATTGATTTAATTTTAAAATGTTATTGAAAATATGAAATATTATTTTATAAAAAATTATTATCATTCTTCGATTTTATTTATATAAAAAAAATATTTATTTTGGTCTAAAAATATATAATAAAGAATTTTTATCTGGTTTTAATTTTTCGCAATAAAGAATTATTTTATCTGACAATTCGCAATAATTTATATTCGTTAGCAATCCCAATTTTTCAGTCGCAACTGGTGCTGTTTTTTTTAAAGATACCTACAAAGTTATTCAATGACATAAATCAAGTATTAATCACTATACGAAAATAAAATTATAATAAAGTAAAAATTTGAAGGTAAAGGTAAAATATATTTTTAATTTTATTTTAAAATGTATTTTTGTATAACTGTAATTATGACCATAATCACTCTTATATATTTGTTATCGTTAACTTAAGTAAAAATATTTTTAATAAAGGTTTTAATAAATTTTTTGTAATTTTATCTGTTCAAAAATCATAAATTATTATATAAAAATTAAAAACCAATTACGAAGGACTACTAATAAAATATATAAAAATTGAAATATAAAAAAATAACCATGTTTAATCGTAAACAAAATATAAAAACGTTTAAATATGTAGAATGTAGTAATAATTATTTTTATGTAATTTTAATTGTACTTATTGGATTAATTTATGTATGGAGAAGAAATAAATTGAAAAATATATTAAAGAAAAAAGTTATAATGAATGAAAAAATTGATGAAAGGGAAAAAATTATTGATGTTATATCTAAATTTAAAGATGAAATAATGGAAATATGGAAAGGAAATATCATTAGCGATATTAAAAAAGAAATCAACATCGTTAGAAATACTGTAAAAGAAAATAAATTTGAAAAATTAATGTTGGAAATGGATAAAATTTTAAAAAAAATTGAAGAAAAAAATAAAGGGATCGGAAAAAGTAAAATGGAAATAAAAAATAATGAAAGAGAAAAATTTAAAATAGAAGAAAGGGGAATTAAAGAAGTAATAATAAATGAGTTAGAAAAATTAAAAATAGTAAGAAATGAAAAAGAAAAGGAAGAAATAAAAAAAAAGGAAATTGAGGGAATAAGGAAGATATTAAACGTGAAAAAAGAGAAGAAGAAATAGAAAATAAAAAGAAAGAAGAGATGGAAAAAGTTGAGGTAAAAAAATGGAAAAGGATTTTAAATTGGAAGTAGAAAAAATGAGAAAAAAATAAAAGAAATGGAGGAGCAAATAAAAAAAAAGAAAAATGAATCTGAACGAAGATAATAAAAGAGAAAATATTTATCAAAGAGAGGATGGCAGGAATCGACAGATAATAAGGGGGCCAAATGGAAAATGTTTTATTTGCGGAAAATATGGACTAAGCCGAGATTGTAATGAAAGATTTATGCAGAAAACTCTACCAATTGTTTGTGGAAGATGTGGAAATACTGGTCACAATGCCAAAAAATGTTATGGGTCAACTTTTAAAATACAGGAAAACGAGCGAAAGGTAATGTCATGTTCAAATTGTGGAAGAACAGGTCATACTTCAGATAAATGTTTCAGAAAGGAACAAACAGGTATCAATGCGTTTCCAACATTTGCGTTTCCATTTGTTAAAAACGGATTACCAGGAACGAATATTAATAATGAATATAATAATGCAATACCTAAAGAAACGAAAAATGAAGGAAATAATGCTCAAGTAATAACTTGTTTTCGGTGTAGAAATATTGGACATTATGCGAGAGATTGTCCTATAGTATGACTGTATGATAGTGAAAAAACAACATTTGGGGTTATTACATCGAAAAACCCATTAAATCAAAAGAGCGAATTAATACCGAAAAATACATTAAGTTTTAAAAATAAATTGGGAATCAAAATAAAAGAAGAAATAAGTAATAATGATTCGGTTATCAAAGAAAAGAGCAACCCAAGTCAAACGTTTATATTTGTAATATGCCAATTTTAGTGGGAAAAAATAATAGTAATTATGATGATTGTCCGCGTGTGAAAATCAATGTGGGCAGTAAAGAAATTACAATGTTATTGGATATAGGAGCTACTATATCGGTCATGGGATGTAAAGAATTTTATAAATTATGGCCTAATAAGCAAATAATAAATGATAAAATAATAGTAAAACAATTAAATGGAACTGAAATTATAGTTTTGGGAATAGTAAATTTAACAGTATAATTAAAGAGAAAATGCATTTTTTGGATCTTTGGATACTTAAGGAAGAATTTGGTGCAATTATGGGGTGGGCTTGGATATCGAAATTTGGGTTGGAGAATAATTTTTGGGATATGTTTCAGGTAAAATATAGTTAATGAAAATAATACCAAAAATGACCGTAGAGGAGTTGAATATTAAAAACGTAGAAAATATATTGGTAAAAAATATGATGTCAGAAAATATTAAATTAAAAATTTGATGAATAATAATCAGAAAATTAAAGAAATTCATAATTTGGAATTAGATGTTGTTTCAAAAACTAATGATAATTTTAAAAATTTGGAGAGTAAAAATGAAATAATGAACGAAGAAATCAAATTAGAATGTAATGAGAGAAGTATAAAGAATGGAGAAATTGTTTGTGTAGAAAATAAAGTTAAGGGTATTAATAAAATTGAAAATTTAGTAGATAATATATTGCAAATTATGGAAAATGTAAAATTAATAAGTGGAGAAACTGATCAGGGTTTTCCTGAATTTGTAAATATTAATTGCGACGAAAATTATATTAATGAAATGGATAAAATTTTGGATTTGAAAATCGATAATGTTTTAGAAGCTAATGTTGAGGATTTTAAGTTGGAAATTGATAATAAGGTATTTGAAGAAGAATCCGAGTTAAAAAATAGTTATATAGAATGTGATAAAATGTATAAAGAATCAAATTTAGAGCAGGAAAAATTGCCTGTATCATTAAAATTCCTAGCGAAATTTGTAGGAAAAAAGATGGAAAACGAAGATTTGTTAAAAGAAAAAGAGTCATATGAAAATTTGGAAAAGTTACGAAATACGGTGATAAATCTAGGGGTCAAATATGAAGAAATTTTTGGGGAAAAATTGGGATGTTTGGTGGATTATGAAGTAGATATAGTTTAAAAGAAGGATATTATACCACAGTATTGTGCAATTCGCAGGGTACCTTTCGAATGGAGGGCTGAAATTAGTGTTGTTAACGGCAACTCAATATTTTAGCCAGAAAAATATTGCCTAAGTCTCGAGATTTCGCTAATAGTTGTCCAAACCTTTGTTCCTCCTACAAACAAAATCTTCATGCTTGAGTAATATTATTCTGGATGAAATATTGAGTTAGCCGTTTTTAAAAATCGACTTAAAACGAGCTGTTTAACATCACTAGCTGAAATGGAAAATGCATTATAAAATTGATTATGTGATGGAATTATTTGTCCTATTGGATATAGTGAATGGGCAACACCTTTAGTTCCGGTGCGGAAGGCCAATGGAAAGTTGAGAATTTGTGCAGATTTTCGTGTTACTCTTAATCCATGGGTAGTTGAAGTAAAATACCCGTTACCAAAAATTAAAGAAATTTTAGCAAATTTAAAAGGGGCAAAATATTTTTCTAAGATAGATTTTTCATGTGCATATTTGCAATTACCTATGAAAGAATGTACGAGGAAATTATTGACAATAACGACGTTTAAAGGATTATTTATTTTTTGTCGGTTACCGTTTGGGTTAAGTATTTCAGCTCCAATTTTCAGCGCACTATGGCGGCAGTTTTTCAGGGTTTAGAAGGAATTTTTTATTATATGGATGATGTTTTAGTGACGGGAGTAACGATTGAACAACACAATCAGAGATTGGAAGAAGTTTTCATAAGAATCAGAGATAAGGGTTTAAAAACGAGTCGGAAAAGAATGTTATGGGAGTAACTGAAGTTACATATTTGGGACAGAAATAAGGCCATTAGATAAAAATTTAATGAGTATTGCAAATATAAATAAACCGACTACGAAAACAGAGGTACAATCATTTTTGGGTATGGTGAATTATTATCATCGTTTTATAGATGATTTTGCTAAATTGGCTGCGCCATTATATGAATTATTAAAGAAAAATATACATTTTGAATGGAAAAATGAACAAGAATTGGTGTTTATGGCATTGAAATTGAAAGTGGGAAAAGAACCCATTTTGGTATGTTTTAATAATGAATTGGAAGTGACTTTAGGGGTGGATAAATCTAATAAAAATGTGGGTGGAGCATTGTTACATTTAATGGATGGAATTGAGAGACCTGTATTATTTTTTTCGAGAGTTTTTAGGGATGTAGAAACACGGTATTCGGTGATTGAACAAGAGTAATTAGCTATTATTTTCGGTCTTAAAAAATGTCGTGAATACTTAATTGGTAGGAAATTTGTAGTATAAACGGATCATAGGCCGTTTATTTATTTATTTAAGAAGGACAATAGAGAATTGATGATTTTACCTAGACTTCAATGGTGGTTATTATTAGTGGGTAGTTTTGATTTGGAATTAAGGTATAGGCAAGGAAAGGAAAATCATTTACCAGATATTTTATCGAGGTTGGGAGTTGGTGAAGAGACCGATGAGAAACTATCAGGTCAAGATAGGTAAGGTGAAGCAGCCTTAATTTGTATTTTAACTTGTGGTTTACAAGGAGGTCCCACCACATGGGAGGATATTAGAAATTATACGTTAAAAAATAAGGAAATGAAATTATTTAAATTGCAAATAACGGGAAAAAAACCATGGGAAGCCGGTGAGAATAAATTTAAATGTATTGAAACTAAGTTAACGGTGGTAGACGGTTGCATTATGAGAGGGCATAGGGCTATTATACCGAGTCAACTGAGAGACAATGTTCTGAAAATATTACACGCGGGACATCAAGGGATTTCGCGAATGAAACAGTGGGGAAGGGAATATGTTTGGTGGAGGGGAATGAATGGGAAAATTGAACAAATAGGAAAAAATTGTGAAGTCTGTAACGCGTGGGCAAATATGCCGTGTCGGGATAAGAAAAGTGTTTGGTCGAAAATAAATAGGGCTTGGGAAAGGGTGCATATGGATTTTTTTAATGATAAAAAATTTATTTTAAGTGTAGATGCTTTTTCAAAGTATATTGAATTTAAGGAAGTACATGATTTAACTAAGGGAATTGTTATTAAACATTTAAAGAAATTATGCGGCATTCCGAAATGGGTGATTTCAGATGGTGGTCCGAGGTTCGTGAGTGAAATGTTCGGAAGTTTTTGTTGAAAAATAATGTGCAACATATGTTAGCACCACCGTATCACCCTAGTTCTAACGGACAGGCAGAAAAATTGGTGGCAGTTGTTAAAAGTTGGCTGAGAAAGGCCAAAGAAGGCAAAGAAGAAGTTTGGATAGCTCATTTATATTATAATAATGGGGTAAGAAGGAATGGTAAATCTCCTTCGGAAAAAATGCTGGGAAGGAAAACTAATACGTGATATGTTGAAACCTGTTTCGAAAATTTTAGAAATTGAAAATAGGAATATAAATTTATAGTTAATTAAATGGTCTGGGTTAGAATGTACGGAAGTGGTAAAAAATGGGATAAAGGAATAATTATAGAAAATTTAGGTGATAAGTTATGTAAAATAAGATTAGAAGATATGACGGAAGTGCGTCGCCATAGAGATCAAATAAAGTGTCGCGTAAATACGCTAGGTTAATTTTTTTTTCTCCGTACACCTTATCTCAACAAACAATTACAATTATGAGATTGATGATACCTAACTGAATGATCATGACTGACCAATGATGTAATGGATCAATCCTAGGACTCATAAACCCAATACCGTCTGTCCGAAACGTAAAAGATGAACGATGTAATATTAAAAGGAAAACAACGTTATAATCGATTCTTTGATTCAACTGTAACAATACTTCGACGGCTATCATTGAAGACCAGAAAAGGGTGTATGAAATGATTAAAAAAAGAATAAACATAAAAACAATTCTTATATATGTGAGTTATTTATTGAAATTTTATACAATGATTGTTTTTCTAAAATAATTACTCGAAAATGTATCATTTTTGCCCCTGGTTTTTGTTCCTTAAAAAGGGGGAGGCGTGTTATAACCTTGTATATTTTTTTTTATTGGGATTATTGATTTAATTTTAAAATGTTATTGAAAATATGAAACATTATTTTATAAAAAATTATTATCATTCTTCGATTTTATTTATATAAAAAAAATATTTATTTTGGTCTAAAAATATATAATAAAGAATTTTTATCTGGTTTTAATTTTTCGCAATAAAGAATTATTTTATCTAACAATTCGCAATAATTTATATTCGTTAGCAATCCCAACAATTTAGATTTTTTTCAGTCGCAACAAATTTAAAATCACAATTTTAAGAATGAAGTAGTAAATATATGTCTCATTACCCCTTTCTTCTTTCGGTTCGTTACAAATAAAATCTGATAGATTAATTTTATTCATATTTCGTTTAGCTTGATTACTAGAATTCCATATATAATAAGAAAGTTCTGGATCCTCGAAATTATTTTGAGCATCTAATTCTTCGTCGGAACATAGAGAATAATTTTTCCTACATTTAGGAGTTAAAAGGGGTATGTATTTAATTTTCGACACATCTTGCCAATCATTGCGATCATTTGATTGTTTGAGAAGCTAAATGATAGTTTAAGATATATATATTTAATAAATTATTTATGATAAAAGTTCTATATGCTTAAGTCTTTTAGGCGGGCTTTAATTAAATATGCATTCACTCGAAAAAAAAATTTTTGAAAAAAATACTTGAGAAAACGATAAATGTGGGAGCTGTTGATTATCCAAATTTATATCATTGTTACGATTCCAAGCAGAATTACTAGTCGAACTCGAAGGTATATTACTTTCTATTATTATTTATAAAAAAATTAGTTTTTAATTATCAGTATTAAAAGGTTTTAAATATTTAACAACTAAAAAGAGTATTCTTAGGGTAAATTTCTAGGGAATTTTACTTTTAAAGATAGATTATATCAAGGATTTAAAATATTGAACAACATAAATAAATCATACTACCCTTCAAATGTGCTAATAAATAATTAAATTAGATATATTATTTAAAAAAGAAACCATTATCATCTGGGCTTGGATGGTTGGGAAGAGCGGCAGGAAAATCACTTTCACTGTTTATATTTATATCGGCTATATCTAATTTTATAAAATTTATAATGAGGTTAGAATAATTTCATAAACAAGGATGGGAGGCCATCTAACAAGAAATTATACTTCTTTTACAGGAAAAACATTACACAATTACTATTATTCAAACCTGACAGAATATATTCGCCTTGGTTAAACAGCGATGCGTCATGTTTGTCACGTTTACGTAGATTTCTTTTCTCGATCAATTTATTCCTTTGTTCTGTCAAAATTTTAATGCGAGCACGTGATTTCAATGCAGGTAAATATCTTTGCCAAGAGCTAAGTGTCACATATTTAAGATCTGATACACACAAATTAAATTAAATATTTCTAAGAAAAGTTATACAATTGAATAAAAATATATAAGTAAATAATTTTATAAACATATTTTACAAAAATATCCCGACTATTGGATGACGGATTAAAGAAATTGGAATTAATGATTTTTAATATCGGGTTACTTTAAAAAAAAATCAAAATTTTTTGAAATGTTTCAATTTTAATATTTATGGTAATGGCCTAGCAGTAGCAATTACGCTTTCTCCGTATATTTTAAACGCTAATATATTTTTTGGTACATAACTATACTTTTCGTATTTATTTAATTGATATATTTCAATTCCCTATAAACTCAAATCTCCTATAATGTTATATTATTTTAAAAAATCGCCTCCGTTGACAAAATATATCGGTATGCTAAAAATAATAATTTCTAATTTTCGACTAAAAAGGTGTGTTCGTAATTTTAAAAAAAATTTGAAGTTAATATCATATATTAATTCTCATAATAGGGATATGAATAAAAATAATATTAGTTTTAAAAATTTGGAGTAAAGGAACATTTAAAAAAGTTATGTGAATAGGTTTAAAATAAAAATCGTCGGCTGAGTATTATAATGTCCTATATCGATATTTTTGCAAAATAATATATTTATTGATAAATTAATGCTTCATAACTATATTCTTCCATATTATCAATAAAAATTTGAAAATACTCAATAATCCTTTATTTTGACTATTATAGTGTAAAATCCTATTTAAAGTAGTGTTGTTAAACGGTTCGTTTTGAGCCGATTTTTAAAAACGGCTAACTCAATATTTCATCTAGAATAATAATACGCAAGATGGAAGATTTTGTTTGCAGAAGGAACAAAGGTTTGGACATCTATTAGCGAAATCTCGAGGCTTAGTCAATATCTGGCTAAAATATTGAGTTAGCCGTTTTTAAAAATCGGCTCAAAACGAGCCGTTTATCATCACTAATTTAAAGTATAAAAATTTTTTAATGCTCTCCTGACAATTTTTTAAAATGAATATAGAACTTTATATTAATCAGCCGATAAAATATCGGATATCAAGGTATATGAATGAGATGTCAATGAAAACTGGTTATATTATTATGAAACGTTTTTTTGCAATGAAAATGAATATTATTCTATTTTTAATCCTAACCAGTTTCTCGTATGTTTGAATCTTCCAATTTAAGCGTTTTGTCTAAAAATGATACTTCCACAAATTTTAATTCTTTGAACAAAGGCAGGTGAGAAAGAAATCTAAAGGAATAAAATTATTTGAAAAAAATATATACATATTTTATTCTTATCTTAAAATATAACTCATTAGCTCGTATATGAAATTGAATTATGTCGCATTTAAAGAATAAGCGTAAAATAGCCTGATATTGCTAAAAGCAAATATATCGCTATGGAGAGCTATACCACGCTTACTATAAATGCGACTTTAGTTGGGAATGGCTAAATGCCGGCAATCTTCAGGCGCATGCCGGAGAAAATCCGTTAACATTAAGGCGTTTTGATTTATATTAGTTTCATCCAAATTTGAGCTATCTTTTAAAGAAGAATCTAGAGGCCAAAGTGATTGTTATGGGGTAAAAACTTTGTTCAGCCGATTTTATAGCCGGCTAAAATGGCTTAAACGGCTAAAAAGATAGTTTATCCAACTATAGTGGTCACTCCATTCACGAAAATCCTTAAAAATTAAATTCTAATATGTTTTTCAATTTAAAGAAAATGTGCAGATTTGACTCACTCCTTAAAGACACCATTGTTAATTAGTAATAATTAGTTTAAGTCTAAAATATTTTATAATTTGACGATTTTCTCAGATCGTAAATACCTGATTTCTTTAATAGTATACTCACAAAAAAAAAACCATTTTTATTTCAATTAAATTTTAGCAAAAGAAAAACGACAAAAATCTTTTATTAATAGCAGTTACTTTTATGATCAAAATTTAATTAATGAATACAATAAGATAATTTTTTATATATAATATTTTTAACCAATCACGTTGCTACATGAACGTGAGTGACAACCTTTAATAAAAGTACAAATCTGGCATTATCTCACCCTTTATAGGCCACGAGCATGAGCATGTACCCATGAGTAATAAATATTTATTTATAAAAGTATATAAACATATAGGTATTACTTAATTGTTTAAAAATTTTTTAAAAAAAACTATATTAATTTTTTTTACTGAAAAAATATTTGGTGTACAATAAGGATTTTAAAATGATTAAATATGTACCAAAAAAAACTAGTCTGCTGGTTTCGTTCATATTCAATTGTTGTTTCCCAACATCAAATCCTCCAAAAAGGAATCACATCCACCCGTGGCTATAACACAGTCTATCACATCCACCCGTGGCTATAACACAGTCTATCACATCCATATGATTCATTTGCTCATTGGCAATCGGTAATGATACGGCAGCAAAAACCTTGTGTCTATTCAGCGAGAAAATATTTGCATTGGCGATATCCTCCTTCACCAGGATGAATATTTCGATGTGCTAGGATCGCTCTCTAGGTAAAATGTATACTGGGCTATATAATGTTGAGTTGATCCACAACGGAAACATCTTTGAAGGTTATGCGCAGTGTTTTCTTCATTTGGGAGCTGGTCTCATTGTTATAACTTTGACTTCGAAAATGTTTCCATTGTGGATCGACTGAACATATGATAGCTCAGTAAAAATTATATGTAGAGGGGGATCCTACCACATTGAGACATCCATCTTTGGTGGGACAAGGCCAAAATCGTTTGAAAGAGGTTACCTACCGTTCAATACAAATATTTGCTCGCTGGATAGACACAAGGGTTTTTGCTGCCTTATCATTAACGATTTGCAATGAGCGAATGAATCACAAGTATGTGAGAGACCCGATATTTGGAATATATAATGCTGGTTGTTTCTAACCAGCAGACAAGTTTTTTTTGTGTACATACATATTTAATCATTTGTAATCCTTATTGTACACTAAATAATTTTTCACCAATTAAATATTACCTATATGTTATCCTTTATAAAATAAACACTGTGTCAAAATTATCACATTTAAAAAAATGCGACAAGCCAAGAGGTGGAATCGAACTCGTAACTAAGAAAGACATCTAAATATTGCCACAGCTGCTTATCACTATGCCCTCAGAATTTCTTATGAGTTATTTATATTTTATCTATATAATTTTAAAAGTTGAATAATAATTAATATTATGTACTACACTACTTATATAATTTAATAGTTTTTAAAAAATTTCTCATAAAAATATCCTGATCTGATAATATCTATTTTAGTGAATTTTGATTTGTAGAAAAAAATTTAAGTCTTAAATTATTTGATTTGGGAAATAAGAAATTTCTAATGAGATTGAATAGTGATTTTTAACCAATATTTAATAACGATAATATATATTTTAGTGAATTTTGAAGAAAAATGAGAGACTTAGATTATTTGATTTGAGCAATAAAATATTTATACTGGGATTGAATGGTGATATTTAATCATAACGATAATATATACTTTAGTGAATTTTAATTTATAGAAGAAAAATGAGAGTCTTAGATTATTTGATCAATATTTTATAAGGATAATATATATTTTTGGTAAATTTTGATTTATAGAAGATAAATGCGAGTCAGATTATTAGATTTGGGCAATAAGACATTCATACTGAATATTTCAGATAATTTCAATTTTAGCTTAATTATTTAACCTCTTTATAGAGATTAGTTTATATACCAAAAGTTGTAAAATATTTATGCCTTCAATTTATAACATTTACATTCAGCCTTTGAAATTTTTGTGTCTCGATATTTTATAGTCCAGACATAAAAGATATGTTATCTGAGAGATCATATTTTTTTCGCATACAATTCAGAATTTCTGTTTTATAACTAGAATAATATTGAAGAGGAAATGATATATAAATTTATTAAAGAACAATATAAAAATTTATATAACTCAAAATTTGATTATAATAATTGAAATAATTACCGTAAATATTTTTTTGAAAAATTAAAATGATATCTCTTAGATAATATATCATTGTTGTGCATACTGAGTATAAAAACTCAATACAAAAATTCAAAGGTAGAATGTAAATGTAACAGTTGAAATTATAAATATCTCATCACCTTTGGTGAATAAACTAACCCTTATAAAGAGGTCAAATAATTTAGCTAAAATCAGATTAAACCTATCTGAAATATAATTCTCACATGCAGCTTTCAATATCAATTATCTCACTTCATCTTCATCAAACAATGAATGTCCATATTAGATTATGTAGCACTTGGCTATTTTATTGATTTTGCCTGTCAAGAATGATGGGAAATCAGATTTTCCTTTCTTCTTTATATAATGATAGATAAATCAGAAATTTCCCCTTTATTTTTCTGATTTATCCATCATCAAATAAAGGGGAACTTGGATTCATCCATCATCAAATTAAGGATAAAATTCCTATTCGCTATCATTTTTGACGAGAGCTATGATTCAGAAATTTACCTTCATTTTTCTGATTTATCTTACGTCAAATCTAATAAAGGGGTCCATGATTAAATAAAGAGAAATATTTTTAATTCATTCATCATCAAATAGAGGGAAAATTTATGATTCATCTATCATCAAATTAAGGGGAAAATTCTGATACCTCGTCATTCTTTATGGGCTTTCATTAATATAGTAAATAATATTTATTACTCATGGGTTCATGCTCGTGGCCTATAAAGGGTGGACGTGTGCCAGATTTGTATATTTATTAAAGGTTGTCAGTCACGTTTATTTTATATTTTAAACCTAAATCGCTTTCTAAATTCCAAAGTTTGAACCCGGCTCTCCATATCTACTATCATCATATCTTTCAAAACGGGGGGCCATTCAGTCCAATCAAATTTTTCGCATTTATTATCATTGTCATTGACTTTACATTCGTAAGTCCCGTCTTTAAAATTGCTAAAGGAATTATGGTTAGTCGAATCGTTGCAATCCTCTTTAGTCCTTAAAAGCATTTTAAAGTTGATAGGATTGAGGTATAATGGTTGTCCGTCTATAGCTATTTCATATGTGTGAAAAAAGTATATTCTTTTAATGGGTTTGGGCCTAAATTTTTTTAAATTAAAATTTAGCTTATTTAAAACAGTTTATAACTTAAAAAAGCAATTTTTTTCTTCTAATAATAATAAATTTTTGTAAACAAAATGAGCGCCTATTGTATATTTTCATGAAATACAATAAATTAAATTTTTAGATATGGGTTTGAAAAATTTTTTTCAAACTTATTATGGGTTTCTGAATCGTTTTTATATCAAATATGGCCCGGATCTGGCCCTAAATTTTTTAATGAGGTCCACGAAGAACTCTGAAAGTAGTAGGTCGGTAAATAAATAACTTTTTTTTTTACTTAAAATGAATATCATGATTTTTTTTAAAAAATTATAATTTGTTATTTGATATTTAAGAATACAAAATAACAACTAAATTGTTTATGGTTTTGAAATTCAATTTTTTGTCTCTTAGCCCTAAAATCAGGGATCCAAACCGAAACAAATATCGGTTCAGGTTCGGATAAAAATAACGGTTCAAGGTTCAGGTTCGGTTCGTAAAAAATAAATATATCGGTTCGGTTCGAACCTCTAAAAACTGGTTTGAACATTTTGTATTCACATCTACATTCGAATTATGTATAGGGAGGTATATTTTTTTTAGTTCATCATTAAAATAAAAAACATACATAAAACCTTCATTTTAATTAATTGCAGATTATAAAATAATATTTAAATTATAAATCATACAAAATATCAATGATTAATTTTAATATGAACAATATTTAACTTTATTTACTTAAAATTTTTTATTAAGCCGCACAATTAATATATTTTCAAGATTCGTGTTCACTCATATTACATCTATAAAGAGATAGTATTAAATTTAATTGTTGAAAAACATCTTTCCACACTAACTTGGGTAGCTGACACTGCCAGTATGATATCAAACAATTTACATAATTCTGGGCATCGATTACTCTGATTTCTCTAATAGTTTAAAATATTCAAAGTTTTATTTAACCTAGGATCTTTAGAAAAATTACCTATAATATTTATTTCTTTGATTATATATTACCAAATACTTAAGGCTTATATTCTGTAACATTAGATTAAATATTTTGAGAATTAATTTTAATTTTACCCACGGCTTCTAATAAGGATCAAGAATTTTTTTAAAACCACTATCATCGATTAATTTGAATGGTCTGCTATTAAAAGTGACCAACTCAGTACAATCATCAATTATTATTTTTTTATTTAGTTTTACTGATATTGTTTGTTTTTTAATACTTCTTCTATCGTCTGTTGGCTTGATAACATCTTAAACTTTTTTATTTTATTAGGCTCTTATAATATTTTGTTAATTTTATCGAATTTTAGAGGGTGGTTTCTTTTTATGTGACGCTCAAGATTTGCTCCTGATGGCCTTTCATATTTATTTAACAATCAGTGATATTACATTTTGATGTGTCATTTATAATACTATATATAATTTATATATTGGATTTAATTTTTTCTAAGCATTATAATTTATAAGCTTAAAATATTTTAAAAATGCTGTAAAATGGCAATATATTAAAGTTTATAAAAATTATGACTGATACTTATCAATCAAATGTGATTGATAATAATCTTTAAAATAATTCGAATAAAATTAAAATTTTTACAATATGCTAGTAATAATTTACACATTATTTTATAGGCATATAATCATGAGGCTCGAACCGGTTTAGAGGCATTTTAGCGGTTCGGTTCAAGTTCGGCTAGAAATTATTTTAGTGGTATAGGTTCGATAAAAAAATACAGGTTTTTAGCGTAACGGTTCGGGTCAGGTTCGGTTTGGATCCCTTACGATTTATATTCATTAATATTAAAAAAATACATATATAATTTTTTTACATTGATAAAAGTAGTAACAATCTTCGCTGTCTGTCGAAATAATTTCGGTGTCATCTAAATTTCCGAATTCGTTTTTGTCTCCCAACCAGTGTTCATTGATGGGTCCTAGCGCGTTTCGTTTTATCTTGATCACAAGAAATTTAAAAAAAATATTATATTATATAAAATGGGATTAAAAACATTCGATATTAATTATTCCTATTATTTTCATTATTTACTTCATTTGATTAATAAAAATCATTAAAAAAAATAACAATGAAACCCAAGAATAGTGTTGCTAAACGGCTCGATTTTAGCCAATTTTTTAAAATGGTAAACTCAATATATTAGCCAGAAAAATATTCCTAAGCCTCGAAATTTCGCTAATAGATGTTCAAACATTTGTGTCATCTATGGGCAAAATCTTCAGGTGTGCGTAATATTTTACTAGATAAAATAATGAGTTAGCAGTTTTAGAAAATTGAGAACCGACAGTAACAAAAAATCCGGTCTATTAATCATTCTGGTTTAAGTATAAGATGAATGATAGGACCAGATAGTGTCTTCACAAACCTCCAATACATTCCAAACATATACTACATTTTTAACAATTATTATATCAATTAACACGCAGATTTTTTTACTGAAATAAAAATAAAATGAAGGGAAGGCAAAAAATAATAATTTAATTAAAAAAAGAAGATACATTCACGTGAATGTGTTATTATAAAATGAATTAATTTAAACCTGCAAAGCCTCCAATGCTTCGGTTATATAAGGAATTTCGCTAATCTAAAAATTGAATGAAAACAAATTCAAATAAAATAGCCAATGAATGAAATGGCAAGTTTTAATAAATCTGCATTTGAAGTGATTAATCATTTATAATATAATTTTTTTAGCCACATATAACTGACTTTTTTTCAAAAACATAGTAACCTTAACAGGCTAACAATATTTAAAAAAATGATACTGTGACGAAAAAAAAACAAACTATTATGTGCATTTAAAAATAAATTTTTTTTAAAATGTTACATTATCAGGATCTTCAGACAAGGCTAACAAATTTTCCCTATCTGGTTCCAAAATCTCGTTATAGACATAAGCCTTTCTAACGCTGATGATCTTGGCAAAATCGCTCATTTCCAAATCTTTATTATTAATATTTCGAATATCAAAATTAATATTTATTAGGGGGGATCGCTATTTTCAAATTTTTGAGTTAGAATAAAATATTGATAGAGATGGTCAAAATAAATTATACATGTATCAATTTTTAGACCATAGACCTTCAAGGGTCGGGTTGACCAATAGTCCGGGGTTTAATATTTTATTTTCTAGAAAGGCTGGGCTTGAGTTTTGAAATTTTTTTAATGGATTTGGGCCTAAAATCTTTCATTTAAACTAACTTAATTAAAACAGTTGCTAACTTAAAATATTGCAATTTTTTCTTCTAATAATAAATTTTAGTATTCCACTAAAATATTGTTTATTTTCATTAAATATAATAAATTAAAATTTTGGATATGTACTTCGGTAAAATTTTATATTATGGGCTTAGGAGATTTTTAAATATTAAATATGGGCAGGCCTATAAGCTTTTTTTTTATAAAGGGCCTGGGTTAGGTCTCTTGGATGCGTTAGAGAAGTTGGAATATTGATTTATATGATATCGCAACATATATTTTGAATTAGGATGATTTAATTGGGTTAACCCTTAAAATACCATACTATATTTTATTTTAAAACGACGCTTTAAAAAAAATTGTAATTTTTAATATGGAAAACAAGTAGTATAAGATAATATTTAATTATGATCCATAGAATATTTTATGATAAAATATTTCAATTAATTTAAAAATGATCATGTTCATATTAAATCAGATTAACGTAAGTTCTATACCTTTTTCATAAGTTGCGGCAGATAAGTTAAGCTCATCGGCGATTACATTTTGAATGCATATAGAACCCTTTCTGCGTTTCATTAGTATCATGGTTATCATATCTCCTACTTTATGTTTAGATACTCTTTTAATCTTTACGCTTATTTTAAAAGTATATATATATATCAAATTTTATATATAAAAAGTTGGTTCAATCCCAAGCTGATACGATGCTTATCAATGGCATTATAACTTGGAATATAAGTGATTGATTATCCCCTTATAAAAGAAACACATGAAAAGTATTATTTTGCAAAAAAGGTTATGTTTGAAAAAATTATTTTTGTAAAGTGTTGCAAAAAATAAATATAAAAGTGAAATATGGTTTTAATAACTTCACCATAGTTCAGACCAAATTAGTTACCATTCTCTTCATCAAATTTGTAAATGTTATTAAATGTAGGGGTCCAGGAACCAGAGAGTCTTACAAAACTAAAAATTTTCGAAAAATAAATTTAACGCATTTTTATTAAGTCAGAAGTAAAAATCGCTGATTGCTTTGTCCTTATCACAGAGAAATTCTAATTTTATTTTGATAAAAGAAGTGAAAAAATATTCTATTATTTTTTTCAGCTGTAAGGCCAGGCTTTGGCCAACCTGTATGTCTACAGAATACTATTTGTTGTATTTTTTCATTTTTTTAAATAATTAATTTTTTTTTTTATTAATTTTTTTATATTGTTATGTAATTACTTTTTTGAATATTATAATTAGTTATTATTGTGGTGTTTATTCATTTTTTTAAATAATGAATTCCTTTTTTTTATATTTTGAAATAGAATTAATTGAATAATAATTGGTGAATTAATTATAAAAATGATTTTGTTTCGTATATATATCTTTTATCTTTTAATATTCAAATAACATTTTTTAACCAAAAAAAATTTGAATAACGAAAGAAATTAATAATTTTAACATATACTAACAATGCCCAACTAAAATTATAATTTAATAATAATAATAACTAATTATAATATTCAAAATATAAAAAAAAGGAATTCATTATTTAAAAAAATGAATAAACACCACAATAATAATTAATTATAATATTCTAAAAAGTAATAACAAAACAATATAAAAAAATTAATAAAAAAAAGGAATTAATTATTTAAAAAAATGAATAAATACAACACTATTAATTGGTTATTTCGAAATATTATTTTATGATCAATGAATAAATTAATATGTAAATTAAATTTTAAAAAATGAAGGGAATGGGGGGGGGGGTTTAATATGAATTAAAAAAATTTCCTAAAATACTAAGACAATTTGGTATTTTTGTTTGACAAATAAGTTTTCTTCAAGGGACTGTTCATATACAGAACTAATTATGTCAAAAAAGTAGTAATATAATGTGGTTGAGCTAGGATGAGGTATTATTATAAAAAATTTATCATATAAATTATATCAACCTTTTCAAATCGTCCCTTTTAACAGATTCATAGCATATGGGACATCTCCGCCAATATTTTTCGCTCAAATCCAGGTAATGCAGAATGCAGGGCCAACAAAAAATGTGTCCACATTTGGTCAATTTGGCTATTAAATTGGAGATAGTATAATATTATAATCCTGAAGAATTAAAAAATTAATAATAACTTAAAAGCCAATGTACTTTTTTTTAAAAATTGATAAGAATTTTAGACCAGGAGTTTTTATGCATGTGATGTATGTTGGTAAAATTAATAGTAAAATTTCAAATATTTATATGACTAAGCCTGAATAAATTTAGATGCAGAGAAACAAAATACGCAATAAAATTTTTAATAAGCAATATTCAAAATGAAAACGTAAAAAGGCATATATAAATAAACCAAAAACAAAACAAAGAGGATTTTAAAACAAAAAAAAACATTATTTTAAAAACCAAAAAATTATTTACTTTTTTGATTTTCTAACAGGGACCGGAACTTTTATTTATAACGGTTCAGTGTGTAAAAAATTATAATAATTAATGTTCGGTTAGGGTTCTTAAGAAAAAATTTATAAAGTTTCGGTTCGGTTCAGCTAATTGTAAAAGATTCATTACGAGTAGAAATTTTTTCAAAATTATTTTTATCGAAGCAACACCATCGTATAGTAATTTTATTTATAAATATTACTTATAAAAAATTTTGCCATCACTTAAGTTAATAATATTGTTTACTTATAAAATAAATGAAATTAATTTAGTTTTATTATAAGTATCTATGAATAATATATAAGAATCATAACTCATTTCTAATATATTATTTGAATGTATAAGTAATATATTTTCTAATATAGGATTTTGTTCGTTGTGGCGATAACACAAATTTTAGCCCAGAAAAAGCCCTTTTAACAGACAATTGTGTTGTGGGAACCTCAAGTACTATAAAATCAAGTTTATATAATTTTAGTTAGTAAAATTTCTTTGATTCCCAATATATAAAAATTGATGATTTTTTAGATTAATTAATATAACGAAATCAAAAATTGATTATTTAGATATTTTGCATACTAAAATATAGGAAATAGGAATGCTCTAATACTATAAGAACAGTTAAAAGATTGTAGATTAATTTAAGTCATAGTGAAAAATTAATACATACTTTTATCAGAGTTGTTAAACCCTAATTTTAAAAGTAGCGGGTTACCGCTATCGTACCAAAAAATAGCGTACCGCTATCGCTACCTATCAAAAAATAGCGTACCGCTATCGCTACCTATCAAAAAGTATCGCGCTATTAGCTGCTACTTTTTGTAAAAAAAATTAGAAATAAATTTGTTTTATTTTTTGCTTAAAATTTAATTGTATAATATATAATAAATAAAAATCATCATTTATAAATATTTAAATATAGTTAGTTTATTATATAAAAAAAATTAAGCAAAAAGACTACAAATTTATGCAATAAAAATAACTATTTATGATAATATTCATTTTTTATTTATTTTGTTGCATTTTAATAAATCATTTCTATACTATCATTCCCAAGTCTAGAGCGACGATCAGAAAGTATAAGTCTCGCCTAACTAAATAATCTCCCAACACTAGCACTTGAGGGTAAGGCAGTATTATGTATGTACATATTTTTAATATAAGAAAAATTATCAAAAGAATTAAAAATCAAAAATCGCGTCTAGAGGATTTTCAATTATATTAGTATCCTTTATTTCAAAAAAATTATCAGTGAAAGTTGTTTTTGTTGTTGTAACTAGGGCATCTTTGTTTGATATGAGACTATTCAGCTTTACCATGAGCCTATCACGTTGATCTTTAGCATCATCGGAATTGATATATGGCCAGTTTAGTTTAAAATGGGGATGAATCAAATTTTATTTGCAAATGTCTGGCATCCTATTATCTTTTTGAGGGCTAATAGACTTCTTTTTAAAGACTTAGGATATAATCAATGGCCTGTGATTCCTAAATAAGCTATAAAAATATTAATATCAGATCAATTTATAAATAAAAATAAGTTTTTACCTTCTGTTATGTGTCCAAATATCTGCCGTGATACAAATATAGGATATCTCTGACAACTCTGCTATTAAAGCATCTTTCATCACTTCAAAGTTATCTGCTATCTTAATCGTTAGTGTACATAAAATTGTTGTACCAGGGGATAGAGCTTAAATCATCATGATAAATGATGGATTACCAACCAAGGACATTGGCTGAGCTGTAACAATTATAAAATCGACAATGACTTTATCAGCCAGTATCTGAGAAAATTTATGAATTGAATTGGTCTTTTTGGATGCAGTCTCCCCTATACTAAAATTATTACGATGTTTTTCTATCTCTTTAAAACTGTTGGCATGAACATTCTTATAAAATAAATACTATTAGAATTCAAAAATGACAATTACCTTTAGTGTTTTTTGAGGTTAAAGCTATTAAATTCATTTGAGGATATAATTTTTTTACATTTTAAACAAATTAATTTGTAGCCACTTTGTTTTTACATTAATTTAAAAATATTTTTCAAATTTTGGAAATGGAAAATGTGTACTATTGTTATCAAGAATATTTTCTTCCAGGGTACCTTCCATTTCATATATCATCATTGTCTGACTCACTTACATTGATTTGGATATCCATTTGCAATGACATTTTAAATAATTTACACCAGATGATTTAGGTTTATAATACAAATTGAAAATATATATTTCAGAATTAAATAATAAATCATAAAAATTATAATTAATTATGATATTATATTTAAATTTTCACGTTTATATTATCATTTTATTTTTAAAAACGCTAAATTAATAATTGGGAGTAGCGCGCTATTAGCTATCATTACCAAAAAAGATAGCGTGTAGCGCGCTACTTTAACTCTGCTTCTTATGGATATTAAACAAATATTTTGATAATTTAATAATTATAAATAACGGCGCAGATATGGTAAAATATGTAATACACCACAAGGAAAAGAATGTAATAAAGGTAATTTATTTATTTTGGCTGAATTAGGTTCAAACCAGTTAACTTTTATATAAAGGTTCAATTACATCGATAGAGCTACGGTTCAGATATTTATAAAGGTTTAGCGGTTCATTCTGGTTCACTCCAGGTCCCTGTTTTCTAAGCTAGTCTTACTATAAATACTCATCTTAAATATTACTGCGTTTAAATAGTGTATATATTATATAATGTTTGGATTAAAAGATAATATGATTACTTTCAAATTATTCAAATTTATAATAAATATACAGATTTATGACAATAATTATTTAGCTAATAACCCATTTAATAACCTGGAATTGGGGTAGACAAGCATATGGGGCAAAATGGATCTTCTTGAGTCCAGATTATCTAATATAAAAACAGCATAATGGATGTGAATAATAAATTTTTATGTTTTATTTATGAATTGTATATCAAAAATTTAAAAAAAAATCTAAAGATACTATTAGGGCTTGAACCAAAAGCAAAACCAATAAATATGAAAAAAAATTTAAGAAAATTAAGTTTATGTAATGATCCAATTTTTATATATCACATATTTTATTTATTTGAATAATATTCAACTAGTAATTCGAATCATTCAAATAAATTATTCGTTTGTTATATTTAATAACATATAAAAAATTTCAAAAAATCCATTATAAAAAAAATTGCCAGAATGTTAAGAATTTCTAAGAATATAATATATTCAAACCTTATTTAAATGTTCTTTCTAAAAATAAAAACTGTTATATTTGAATATTAATTTGAATTATGAATAATTGTTATATTTTTATGAATACTTATATTTAATTATATTTTTCAACATATTTTTATGAATATTCATATGTAATTATATTTTTAAATATATTTTATGAATTTTAAATGTATTTGCATATTAAAAAATCGTATATAATGGAAAGATTTTATATAATCATAATCATTTTTTATTAGATAGAATTGGAATAAAGATTCCACAGATATTCCAGTCTCTCCCACTAATTCGACATTAATTAACAATAGTAACACAGTTTACTACATTGGTGCCGAAAGAGTGATTTATCAGGCTTTAGAAAACCAAAGTTTATTCTAATAATAAACTGTGTTACTATTGTTAATTAATGTCGAATTAGTGGGAGAGACTGGAATATCTGTGGAATCTTTATTCCAATTCTATCTAATAAAAAATAATAATGATGATGATTATATAAAATCTTTCCATTATATACGATTTTTTAATATGCAAATACATTTAAAATTCATAAAATATATTGAAAAATATAATTACATATGAGTATTCATAAAAATATATTGAAAAATATAAGTATTCATAAAAATATAACAATTATTCTCTATTCAAATTAATATTCAATATAACATCTCCGATTAAGATTAGTCTTTTACCGCCTTTGTTGAATTCCCATCTTCCTGTACGGCAAACTCTATACCATTGCTCGAGGACGCTATAATCGTCGGACAAAACCTCAATTTGTGTCTTCCTCCGCGATAAATTGATGATAGACATTATTATGAGAATTATATTGATGATATACATAATTATGAGAATCAATTTTTAAGAAGATAAATTGAGGATAGACATAATTATGAGAATCATATTAGTGATAGACATAATGATGAGAACCATAATTTATAAGAAGATAAATTGATTATAGACCTAAATGGAGAATCATATTGTCGGATGAAATGAAATTGATGATAGACAATTTAGGAGAATAATAATGTATCAAGGGTTAAATAGATGATAGATTTAATTAGGAGAATCATCATGGTCGATGAAAGAAATTAATGATAGAGTAAATGGTTAAGAATGACCAAAGAATTAGTAGATGATTAGAAGATTATGGAATACATATTTTATAGTAATTTTTTTTAGATGGCATCTTACTTCAGAATAGGTAATAAGATCATTAAGATGGAAATCAGAGAAGTGGACGGATCAGCCGAGATGGATGGAGGCGGCAAGAACAGAGGCGCAACAAAGATACGGGGAGATATTACAGGAGGTACCCCGAAGACAGAGGATTGAAAGAAGAGTGGAACCGTATGGGGTTAGGAGAAACAGATTAGAATGTTGGTCGTGTGGAGGAAGACAAAAATTGAGGTTTTGTCCGACGATATGAGCGTCCTCGAGCAATGGTATAGAGTTTGCCGTACAGGAAGATGGGAATTCAACAAAGGCGGTAAAAGACTAATCTTAAGGGGCGGAGATGTTATATTTGAATATTAATTTGAATAGAGAATAATTGTTATATTTTTATGAATACTTATTAGTGAAGGTCACGGTCGGGTCTTTGGTCCGGACTGGACCGATACCCTCGGACCGGACCACGGTCCTTAAGAAAAAAATCGACCCAGACCGTGGTCCTAAATAAAAAGACCGGTCCTAAAAAACATATTTTTTAACCTAATTTGATTTGTTTATCATTTTATTAAATATAAGAGTATTATATAAACAATAAAATTTATCCAATGGTATTGAAAAAAAAGATTTTGTGCTTGTAGAGGGCATATTAAAATTAAGAGTAGATTGTGTTTTTTGAGATATTTTCATTTTCATCATTAGAAGTATATATTTTATGTTTTATCAGATGTCTGCTTAAGGTACTTAATTATTTTATTAAGAATAAGGTTAAGTAATTTTTACAATAAATTATACAGACAGTTTCTTTAAAAAAAATAGAACTATATAATAACTAAAATATTTTAATAATATTATTGCCTATTTTGATTAATTTATTGCTTAAAAAATTATAAACAATTATTTTGTTACTAGGTGCTGACGATACATTAAATTTGGTACTGCAGTGAACACATACTCTATGTTTTTATTGGGACTATAAGTAAAATGTTTCTTGGACAAACTTATGGTTTTCATATTGTAAAATAAAAATTAACAAAATCTAAAATGACTCCTCTAGAAAAATATCATAAAATAAAATATACAAAAAAATTATATTAATTGTATAGGAAAGCAAACTTAAACAATAATAAAAGACCGGTCCGGACGGTAAAAAATAAAAAGACCGGTCCGGACCACGGTCCTCAAGAAAAAGATCGGTCCGACAATCGGTCCGGTCCGATCCCGGTCTAAGACCGATAGGACCGGACCGTTGACCTTCACTAATACTTATATTTAATTATATTTTTCAATATATTTTTAAGAATACTCATATGTAATTATATTTTTCAATATATTTTATGAATTTTAAATGTATTTGCATATTAAAAAATCGTATATAATGGAAAGATTTTATATAATCATAATCATTATTATTTTTATTAGATAGAATTGGAATAAAGATTCCACAGATATTCCAGTCTCTCCCACTAATTCGATATTAATTAACAATAGTAACACAGTTTACTACAAAAACAAACCTACATTTTACAGAAATTGGAAAGTTACTACTAAAAAAGAAATGATCCCAAGTTATAATCAGAGATCCTAACTTTTAAAAATGTATAAGAGATTAAATAAAAAGAAATTATTTATATAATCTCATTTTATTTTTATATAAATAATATTGTTGAATGTAAATGTACCTATTATTTCAACAAAAAAACATTAAATTTATCACACATTTATTTTTAAATTTTAGACAATATATGATAAATCTAGAACATTTTTGAAATAGAACCCCCACCACCCCCCCCTCAAAATATCAGAAAAATAACTTAATATTTTGTATGAATATTATTCATGATATTCCCAATAATAATCAAATAACAAAAAAATAATAATCTATATATCAAAAACAGCAAAATTTCTTATAATTAAGTCAAATATTATAGTTATTCTTTATTTAACTAAATTTTGTTTAATCCATCTATCTAAACTTCATGTAACTTATTTTTTTCAATGTTATATATTATTGCATCTTAAAAATTATCTTTTTATATTATAAAATATTTTTCATTTTTAAGATACTAAAAACAAAAATGCAATGCTTACCACAAATATTTGAATTGATATTAATAATTATCAGAGACCTGCGGTACGTATCTCTTTTATAATATACCCAGACTGGGCCGGGCTTAATAAATTATTTAAAAAAATACCCAGGATAGGCTTAAAATTTTATTTTTAAAAAATACCTGGACCAGGCCAGGCCGAATATTTAAAATCGTCATTATTATCTATTAAAATTAAAAATAAATAAAATATATCTAAAAATTGTGTATCATAGAACAATATATCACATTCATTCACTTATCATATTTCCTATTTATATTTTTTCGATCCTTAGAAAATATTTCTAGTAAAATACTATTCAAATTAATTATTTGATTAATCATTATTTTTGGTGATAATCAATCAAATTAAAATTAACAAAGATACACTCGAGATATTTAAAATATAATACACATTGTAAAGTAAAAAGATAAGTAACATTTTATCCCTCATTTCTCTGATCTAAATTCAGGCAATTATGTATGCTGCCAGGGAGAGAGCACCAATGACTGATAGTTATATAAAAGATTTACAAGAGGAAAGGAATTACCATCGACTAGTCAAATTAAAAGTGTGATGAATCAAACTTACTCCTTTTACGACAAATGAGGAGATAATATAAATTTATTTTATGTATCATATTCGCCGATAAAATGATCAGTAAAAGCCGAATAGGTGGTATATTTTAATTTTTTTTTTAAATACCAAGGTCGTAGAAAAAATTTGCATACCCTGACCGAAATATTTTTTTAAAGAAATCTTGGTAAAAAATTTTTAAAAAAAAAATCCGGGTCTGGCAGAAATTTTTCTTTTCAAATACAGGCCAGGCTGTGCAAATAGTATTTCTGCAGGTCTCTGATAATTATCAATGCCTACTTCAAATAGATATTAAATCTTCAAAATCGAATAAATAAGCATTATATATTGATTATGTGATCGTCTTATTTATTCCCTTTAAAAGGTAGGAAAACAGGAATATAAATATGTTTTTATCTTAAGATCAAACAATATCTTTTTTGAAAAATAATAATTATAAAAAACCCTTATAAGAATAATTGCAAGAAAAAGAAGCAATCCATATGTCATTCTAAATATTCCATTTTAAAAGATAAGTGTTTATATTTTATATATAATTAAGCAATTAGGGGATTTTTAATGAGCCCCCCTTATTATTCTTATATGGATAAAAAGGTTTTATTCACTTCCTTGCAAAAAATATGGTATGATTATGTTAGGAAGTGCCACACATAATTTACGTGTGTTCTCCTTAGAATGGGTTATAGATCAAAGTGCTAGAATGTTATTAATTACAATATTTTGCAATTTAATATAAATATTATCTTAATTTAAAAATTATATAAAAAATAATCAAGATAATATTTTTTATTGTGATTTTTTTTTGATTTAAATCGCGATTTAAACGAATACTAATCTTTCAATTCAAGATGTTACAAATTTAGATTAAAAAATATCATACATTATAATTTTTTTAAATTTAAATCACGATTTAAACCAAATCCTAATCTTTCAATTCAAGATGTTACAGATTTAAATTAAAAAATATCATACATCATAATTTTTTTTAAATTTAAATCGGATTTAAACCAAATACTAATCTTTCAATTCAAGATGTTATAGATAAAATATCATACACCATAATTTTTTTTATCTCAGTATAATATTTCATGGTAATCAAAAGCTAATATTTCAGTTCAGGAGATCCAATAAAAAAAATTTTGAAAAAATATATATTGATAAGTTGTGTAATTTGATGTCAAATGAAGAGTCGACTGTTAATAAATAATTCTATGATATGTGCAAACTGTTTAAAAAAAATTAAATAGTCGATATCAGTAAGTCGGAAAGATAATCATTAATTTTCTATTATGAATATGCTCAAATAAAACTTTAAACCAAATAGCTACTATTGTTTCACAATTGAGTGTCCTGATGCATTAGCTAAATTTAAAATATTCATTATACCCTTAATTTAAAATAGTCCAAGTCTGTATTTTTCTGGACTGCAAACCCAGAACCTGAACGGTTCAGAGATATTCCATTGAACCAGACTCCTTTTTTAAGAAGGAGGGTCCACAGCCCTGCATTTAACAAACTAATTATTTTTTTAAAAATAATTAAATAATTTCTCACTATATTGAAATTAGAATTATAAAATTAAAAATGAATTATCTCAAAAATTAACACAATGAAAGTATTTTTTTTATCTAATAAGTAATGGTTACTAGTACAGTTTAGTTTTCATGTAAAAATTTTAATCTAAAATAATATAATTCTTTGTTTTTCCTTACATTAATTAAGTATTTTGATCAAATTTAGTAAATAGAATTTTATTAATTTTTATTGACCAACCCTATAGCTATGATAGTTAGTAAATTTAAATATATTAGCTAATGGTTATAATTAATTTTACTATATTATTAAATTTTATGTCCAATGGAGGTTAATACTGAGGTTTTATTATATTATTCAAATCATATTTGTTAAGAGCATTGTTCATAATGAGCAAGAAAATCCAAATTTTTGGTTGACTCCTTTCAATTTCGATAAAAATTTGTAGCTAGGTTATATATGTTCTAATAATATCTGATTATTTTTAGCACTTTAGCAATTATAATGCCAAAGATAATGGGAATTAAAGTATAAAAATTGGCTTTTTAAACCTTCTACTGAGTTTAATGAATTCTTAAAGAAAATTTTGAGGGCTACAAAATCATATATAATTTGTTACATTGAACCAAAATTTTTTGAGATTTGTTAAAATAGGAAAGCTCTCATCAAATTTTAAAACTCCATACCTCAAGATATATTTGAGCTAGAGCATTAAAATTTTAATTGTATAAAAATACAATCTATTTAACATTCAGCCAAGTTTCATAAAAATCTGAAAATAACATTATTTCAGTTGATTTGTCATGAAATTACCATTCAAAGTGGAGATGGATCTGTTTTTTTACATCCGTTCCGTCAAAAGTCAATCTCATTAAAAATAATATATATTGATTTTCATTTTTAAAAAATTATAAGTAACATTACCATGTTCTATAAAATTTGCTGGATTAAAGAGTCAAAATGTTTTGACTTCAAGATTTGCCGGATCCGTTTTTAAGATGGAAGGTATCGGAACGGACACACTTTGAACATATATATCATTTTTAATGAGATTAACCTTTGACAGAACGGATGTAAAAAAGGGATCTGTTTCCACTTTGAATGCAGCCTTATGGTTTATTTAATACTTTTAGTTTCAAAACAAAATTAAAATATTATATTTAGATAATTTTAAGGTTTTAATCATAGGACTGCACTTTTGATAATCCAAAAAGTGGTGTTTTCAATCATTGTACTTTTCAAAGTAAAACATTGATAAATCAAGGTAAAAGCTTGGCTTGCTATAATTATTATTTTTTGATAAGAAAATAAGAAAGATGTGCAAAATATGCTTTTAATTGCTTTATAATTCCAACAGCTAAATTAAGTTTTTAAAAAACTTTTACTCAACACTCATAAATGGCTTAACCTCATGGGAAGGCAAAAAATATTTGCTCAGGCCTCAATACTTGGCACTTTTTTTTGTATTAGATAAATTGAGCCAATTTGTCAATAAAATTTATTTTTTTTTCAAAATAATATTATAGATATTATTTCTTGATTGTTTGCCAAGTCCTATAAATATTAGACCTGGATGATTTTGTATTACCAATTGTTGAATAATATGCCATTCTATGAATAGATCAGGGTTTGTATAAAAGGTGCTATCTAACTTATTTTCCCTCAATATAATAAATTGACAACTAAATTTTTTTATAAAAAATTATATTTATAAAATTAAATCATACTGAGCCAATAAAAATTGTTGTTTGTCATAGTTTCTAACAAAATTATAAACTGGCTTGTCCCATTTGCTAGAATAGTTGCTATCTTTAGTGTTTCCCTCATAAAGATTTGTATTATGTTTAAAATTTTGATGTTTTCTAAATTGATTGCCATCTATTTTAATATCATTATTATATATTAGTGATGTGTTCTTTTCATTTTTATGCAAATATTTGAAAACAGATTTTTCCAGCTTATCATCAATTATACATTGTGAAAATGATTCATTAATATTTCCTTCATTTATATATGTCTAAACAAATTTTAATATGTTTGAAGTAATAATTACATTTTTGTGGACATAAGATTGCAATGCGTTTTTAACTAATCCTTTATTTTGTTTGCAATTATGACTTAATTTTTGATGGTTTCCTAAGAAAAATATACAATATTTAATACAAAATAAAACTCTACCATTTTTTATCTTATTGTGATTTCCATCTCTGGCAACCAACTGCAAAATCCCATTAACTTTATCACACATGATTTATATTTTAGTAATGAAAAGGACCGCAAGGTCAATAAGATGAATATCGAGGTATATTTCATTAATATTGAATTAAATGCATTATATTTTATCTTCGTTGGATACAAAATTAAAATATAATTTAAAATCTGACGAGAGGATAAAAAGAAGTGTCAGAAAATAAAGTTATAGACATAAAATCTTAACCCGGTCAAAATCAAAAATTAAAAACTTTGAAACCATAATTATTGTTAAATCAAATCTATCAATTTTGTTACTCTATTGGTGAAATGAAACGTAAGTAGCAAATTGGTTCAAAATTCTCGTTTGAGATGTTTATTATGTACAAAATTTTTATAAACTTTTCTTTCAAATCTATTGTATTTTTGATAATTTGTGCCTTAAAAATCCATTCTATGAAAAATATGTTTCTTGAAAATCCTATGATACATACCCTACGAATATGATACTCGCTAAGGTCACTAGGGGGGGGGGGGCTCAGAGGCTTGAGATCCCTAAAAAATTTGAAGAGGGCCCTCAAAATTTTGATTTTTTTTATACCACTAAAAAAATAGGTAAGTTATATATAAAAAAAGATAATTTTGAAAATAATTTAAAGTAAGTTTTTGAGCTCCCTGAGATTGTAGAGGCTAGTGATACCTTGATGACATTATAAATGATTATATAATATTGATTAGCTGGTTAATCGTGTTTTATCTTAAATAGTTTAGGAAAAAGAAATTTAAAATAATTTTGAAACATTTTTAATTTCTAGCATATGTCATAAAAAATAGATACCACTCTGTTTATCTGGATAATTATGAAAGTTAAATATGGGTAAAATTTTTTTAAAAAAATGATTAAGAACGTAATTACTTTATAAAAATATAAACAGACAAAGAAAAATTTGAAGAAAGTATTAAGAAAATATTTCATTCTCCTAAAATTTCTTTTATTTCTTAATATTAAGTGTCTATTCGAACCAAATGAACGAGATAGACAAAAAAACATCATCATTCAAGTAATCAATGATATATATAACATAGATTGGCGATTCATTCACTAAAAACGTCCTCACATTGCAATCAGCTGTAGCGCCATTTTGTAGCTTGAACGTTGATCAAATGCCTCATCATTATTATTATTATATTTTTAAATTCTCTTTTGGAAAGTGGGGTTTTTGGGTTAGGTTCATCCGGTGGTAAATATTATTTTATTTTAATCATATTTATTTACAGATATAACTTACATTAAAGAAATTAAGCTTAAAATCAGCCATCACCCACCTTTAAAGTAATTAAATTATACTGTAGTTCTTGGATATAGGCTTTTTCTTTGTCCCACTCCCTTTAAATTGAAGCCTATAGAGGTTTAAGCAACATTTTTCGAAATGTTGTGCACACAAGTACGTGCGGCTTGCCCACAAACGTGTGGAGGGCTCCTCATATTTATATTTTTATACCCAAATTAAATTGTTCCAATTAGATGGAAATGAGGAAAACCTAGCGTAGCTCTGTTGAATCTTCAACGTTAGAGGGCAAAAGCGCTATATATCACGTATCACGTATATCAATACAAAATAAATTCTCACCTCAACTGATGTTTATAGCAAGTTCTTCAAATCATTTTATTAGTAATCTAAAATATAAGACTCAAGATATACATATTTAAAAAGCTACAATACCACCCTTCATGCAAAATATTCCATACCTCTATCTATTACACCCTCAAAAAATCCACCAAATAATCTCCAATTAACCTTACCACCCAGATTCCTTTAACCCATATGGATCAAATGCCTCGATCATTATTTTTAAATTATCTATATCAATACAAAATAAATTCTCACCTCAACTGATGATTTTAGCAAGTTCTTCAATTCATTTTATTAGTAATCTAAAATATAAGCAAGATATACATATATAAAAAGCCACAATACCACCCCTCATTTCCAAGAATATTAGCTTTTATAGTTTTATCAAATTCACTTGATATTTCAATAAAAATCTTGTTACACACATGTTGTTCATTTATCATTGCAAGTAACATACGATCAAAGTCTCCCCTACCGTAAAAATAAACAAAATTTGATAATGCTCAAATGTTAGCGCGATTCCCTATTGTAATATTAAAATATAATATTCTCTATTATATGATAAAATGATAAATCTTATAGTTTTTTGTACTTCCAAAAATATCAAATTTAAATTCTTAGCTTTTAGAGTTTTGTATAAACTTTTACAAAAGATATGTGGTAAATTTGTTTCATGTAAGGGTGAAGGGGATGGATACTATATAGGGCACTAATAATTGGCTAGTCAACAGCTTTCACCAGCGTCTACATGACAGTATATTTACTGGATGCAAACCCCCCTCAAAAATATATATCTACTCCCCTAAAAATACCAAAATGTTATCCATATATAATTTAAAAATGTAATGGAAAATTTTTTAGATTATTATAGCCTACCCCCCAAAATGCCTACCCCTTACCCCTTTATAGATATTAGGATGCAAACTGTTCCTACCCCCCCCCCCCGCTCATGTAGACACTAGCTTTCACTCAAAATAATGTTATCTAGCACAAGAGAATCGCTTAAAGATAATCAGAAACAATTTTGTTATGAGAAAAATATAAATCAACTATATTCGATTATATTTATAACATAGTGTAAAATAAAACTCGTGGTATAATATTTTTTAATTGTATATTTCCCTTCTTTATATTTATACGGTACTAGGATAGAATGTTCGAAATATCGATTTTTTTAAAATGTGCTTTTATGTTTTTATAAATTCAAAATTTCCTTCTACTAACTATTTGATTATGTATATCAGGTCCTCAGTTCTGTATATATAATCATTATTTAAAATATAAAAATCCATTCTTTATAAACTTTATAATGATTTGCCATACGTATATATTTAGCTGTAAGGTTTTTCTTTATATAGATCCCAAACCACTCGTATTTGGTAAAAATAGAGACTTCTCAAAAATTACAAATCATCGATTTGTGCAATGGACACTTGAACTAGGGAATTATAACTAAGAAATTAAATTAGTGCGGGAAACAAAAATAAATGAAAAGATGCAATGTCACATTACGTAGAGCACACATCAATCATTCAACGAGAACAAAACAATCAGAATAGCAATGCTAGCATTTAACGATAAACTGAAATAGACCGTGCACGAGAAAATGTCACATTAGCCCATTATATTGAACTATGTAATGGAAATTGTGAATTAGAAAATTCAAATGATAAAGATGAAATATCGTTCGAAAACGAATTACTATATTTGACTAGAATACTATATACCAAATAATTTAAGAAAAATATTAAAAATACTATATAAAGGTCATCCGGGATTAGGGATATGCGGTCATTAGGGCGTTACTTTGTAGGCATATGGTTGCCATCTTTAGATCAAGACATAAACAATTTCATTAAAGATAGGATGCCAAAAAAATCGTTTTGCACAAAGTCCCATTATTTTCGTGGAATAAAAATTACATATTGAATGGAAAGACTAATAGACAATAGATGCCCATTTGTTATACTTAGAGAATAAACAACAGTGCCAATCATAGCAATTAATGCACTATAAGATCAACCCTCAGTAGAACATATTTACAAGTTAAAATATCTGTTCCATTTGTATGTAAAATGGTATTGAGAGCTGCCAGCCCTTATCATCCAAAAAAAAAAGGTAATAAGGAGTGATTAGAACGTTTAAAGATGAGTATCATATAGGTAAAAGTTAAGAACAAGATATAAAAGCTTGCATGTCTCAAATATTAAGAATACAGAAAGATAAGTACCATGCAGGCAAAAGTCAAGAACAAGATATAAAATTTGTATGGCTCAAATACTAATATCATATCGTAGCACAAAATCTTCACAAACTGAAAGATCGACAGCGGAACTAATAGTGGGCTATTAGCTATATGCAGATTTAGATCAAATATCTAACTCTTCTCGCGAAAAAATGGAAGAGGAAATATGATTTTGGAATATAGAGATTTGCGAATTAAGTAAACTTTGTAGAAAGAAAACTTTAAAAGTTTTTCCATTTATTCATAAGTTTAGGATAATTTAATTTAACAATACTAACACTTTCAAAGTTGTTAAAATCTCATAGTAATGAAAAATTATAATGATTTAATGTTCTTAAAAGGTTTCACAAAGAATTTTAAATTAATTTATATTTACAGAGTAAAAGTCTAAATAAAGATTTCGATCATCTTGTATTATTAAACCTATATATAAAATTTATTCGGAGCATATTTTGCAAATACTATAATACATTTTTATAAATATACTTTTAATTTATTCACATTCAATTATAATGATTATTTTTTGTCTTTTATAGGTAAAAATTCGGCAAAACACAAAAACATATAAATCGAGCGTATAAGAAACATTTTTTGTAAAATATTCTATAACCTCAATAACACGAAACAAAAGCACAAAAAACCATAATAATATTTTAAAAAAATATGTAAAATTAGATCTAATGTTGGTTGTAAAATTACGAAATAAGTGGCATTTTGAAAGGATTGCAAATAAAAATTCATATAAAAGAAATCAAAATACAATATTATTATACATTAATTCCTTGAACATAAACTTTATTTTAGTAAATGAAGTCGTCCAGAGTTGGCAAACGTATTTTAAAAATGTGTCTAAGTATAGATAAAAATTATATATTTCAATTTACTAAAAAATGGCAGCTCCCATCCCAAAGTAAATAAATAACTATTTAAATGTTTCCTTTTGTATGTAAAAAAAAATATTTCATATTTATTTAAATAAACACAATTAATTGTAAGAATATTATAGCTAATAAATTAAATATTAAGTTTGTAAATAATAAATTATTCGAATACTGTATAAACAATTGTGTGATAAAATTAAAAATATATTTTGTGTAAAAAAAACACATGAAAATAAATTTGGCAAATTATATATTTGTTATATAATATTTCATAAATTCGTAGTAATAAATTATTGATTTGATTTCGTGAAATTATTATTAGCAGGAATAATTATTTGAGTGGTATTTTAAAGGAGGTATGTATGAGAAAAAAAAACTTGATCATAGATGATAGGCTAAGGTATTTGTATTGGTTAAATTAGATGTTTGAGTAATTTCCCCTACTTGATTGTGATGATTGGTATAACCTTTAAAGAAAATAAAATTCAAAATGAAGATATTAATTCGATTTGCCTAACTTTGATCGTAGTCATTTGATCGTAAATTTTGTCCATTTTTTTCTGATTGGTCTATTTAATCGCGGTAAATTAAAATCATTTATAACCCTAACCTATAAATTGAAAAAATCGTCCATTTTGACCTAAAATGGACAAAATGGACCATTTTACGATCAAAATAATACGATCAAAGGAGGCCCTCCCATTAATTCAATTGGAGGACAAAAAAAATCAATGAAGGCATTTGTTGTATTCATGGTGGATATGATTTTCACCATTCAAAATTAAAATATAATAAACTGTTAGTGCGATAACTGTTGGCATACACTAAAGCTAAGGTCCAACAAACCTAGATCATATTTCTAGTAAGACCCAGAAACATATTAAAAACAATAGAAGAAAAATGTAACTTTAAATGGGATTTTTTTTACATTGATATCTATACTACCTAAAAAATTGGCCAAAAATAATATTAATATATACCCTGTTTTCGCACAATTAAATCCTCTGAATAAATCCTTTCGTACATATGGCCAACGCTTGCTTCCTTTACATATCGGTTATCTTTAGGTATTTCTTCAAATTTTTCGGTCAACCTGGCATCAGCAACAGGCGTGGAATTATCATAATCCCTATCCCCGTATAGAACACCCCTATCATTATCCAAATATGAGTTACCCGTTACGGTGCATTTGCTGCCTTGTCCATTACCTTGATTGGATTTCCAGATTTCCGTTTCGTCTAAGCGATCATAATATAGGTAGTTTTTATCGCCGTAAGAAGGCTCAAGGTCTTCTAAAGCAGTGGCGTAGTCCGAGTTGTAACCTTAGTTGTAGAAAATTAAATATTTATTCTTTAACGCGAGATAAGTAAAAGTAAATTAAGGAAAAAAATAACATTTTATTTAATATTAATCTCTAATTGGTATTAATGAATGAATAATGTAATATTCGCTGAAAATCAGGAAAGTTACAAAAAGATTTTACCCCATCCAGAACTAGTCTGCTGGGCTGATGAATTATTTGACGAGGCACAAGAGAGGGCTGACATCATAGAAAATCGACTGTCGCTAGGTTGAATATTTATAGCCGTAGATTCGTTATTCGTTTCAAAATTCGGAGAATTTTGGAGATTTGGATAATTTTGGATACTTTGGTCTTTTGGGGTGAGACTATTATTTTTTGGAAAGGAAGATCTATTTGTAAGGGTGGATATGGAAGAAGGGGATGATGAATCGTTGATATTATTGTTTTGGTGTTCATCGTTTAATGCGCTCAAGCCTATTTCCCTGAGGTGGTATAGGATTTTAAATATGTAGAGTAGAATAAATACATAAATTATTGTCCAAGAATATTTATTAGTTAAATAGATTAGGATATTTTTAAACATGATTTAGCATTTATTTTGAATAATCACAAGAAACACATTTAAATTATTAACCTTTAAACTATTAATAGTCAAATTTTTCTGATAAATAAAATGCTTAAAATTATATTGATTTAGGCCCGAATATAATATTCGGGAAAAATCAGCTATATATAAATGATGTCAGAGGCGTGAAAAAATTACCCCCCTCACCAGAAAAACTTAAAAAATGTCTTAAAATTACAGCTACTATATATTATGGGTCAATTTGTTAAGAGAATATAGAATGAATATCGCATCCCCAAGGTATGTTATTTAAATTTTAAAATATGGGATAATATTATTTACAATTTAAGACTACAAAAAAAAAACTTGTTTTAATAAAAATTCAGTTGTGGTGAATTGTAAATGATAATAGAAAAGAAATCGTTGTTTCTTTAATGACAGCTAGTGGATCAGTGGGAACCTATTCCTTCTCCCCTTTCAAGCTTAGTATTTTTGTGTTACAAGATTTATATATTAGATATGAGCCAGGGCATTATTTGGCCTAAAGAAAAAGTTTAAAAAATTTGGTCGTTGTTTAATAACTGATTGCAGCAAATGTTTTTCAAAAAAAAGGTAAATAACGTAGTTTCTTGATATAATAATAATATTCATTTAACGTTGATTAACACTTTATCATTCAAAAATGTGGTTTAAAAATAGCTTTGTAATATATAAATGAATATTTAAAATTTACTTCGATTTCAAAATCCGAGATATTAAAGGCGTAAAAAGAGGTATACCGTATCGATCTACCTTTATCTTTTCCATCTCGTTATTTTTAACGTTGCCATTGTTGCCCATTTTAAGGAAATTAACTTCATTACTCTTCCCATAATATTTACTAACGGCATCATTTTTAGTATTATTGTTGACAAAATCTAGGGAATTAGAAGAAGATGACATATCGTAATCCGGTGGAGGTGAGTCGGGTTTATCTAAATCTTGTTCTTGGTTTAGGTGTTCTTTATTCAAGGTGTTTGAATTTAGGGCAAAATTTTGATTCGTTAAATTGATTTGTAAATCGCACTAGAAAAACGTTTTTTTAAGATAAAATGATTTAATCTATATATTTATCAGAGACCTGCAGAGGTACTTTGCATGGCCCAGCCCGGATTTTTTTAAGAACTCGTTTCGAGCCGATTTTTAAAAACGGCTAACTCAATATTTTCGCCAGAAAAATATTGACTAAGCCTCGAAATTTCGATACTATATGTTTAGACCTTTGCTCCTACTAGGTTAATGATGCTTACTACCTTAAAGTACTATATATCAAATTTGAATTTTGTTCATTTTTCATTTGGATAGGCACTACCAAATATATTTATAATATATATTTGAAAAATCGTGATTTTTGGAAAGCCTCTATGGCCTAGTAGGCAAGAGCTAGGCGTACTGATCCCAGTCCCGGGTTCAAATCCCGGGAATGGTCATGTTTTTTTTCTTAATCTAACTTGGTGGTTCCATCCTTGGGGGGATAATATATAGGAGGCCGGACTCGACCACGTGATTCCGTATTAATATATTAAGTAATAAGGGTCTTAATTACATTTTAATAAATTTTGGTCGGTATTTAAAATTAGGTTGGTATTTAGAATATTTCCATACATTCACTTGGTAGTAAGCATCATTAACCCTCCTACTATGAGCAAAATTTTAAGGCTTGCTTTTTGGATAAAAACTGAGTTAGCCGTTTTTTAAAATCGGCTCAAAACGAGCCGTTTAACAACACTTACATATTTTTTTTTTAATTCTAAACAGATATTTAGTATATTACAAATTGATACTATAAAAAATTTGTGTAAATAATATTTTGAGAATATACTATATTAATTGTATTTATAAAAAAAAATAAAACTGATATTTTAATTAATAAAAAATATAACATATATTATATAATAATGTATTTAATCCTTTGCGTATTTATTCCATAGCAGGAAAACTATAATATATTATGTAATAGATACTATGAGTGTTAGCTAGTGTTAACTTACACCCAACATTATATTAATCACAACTATATATAATCATTATACCCATATCTAATTGACGAATATAATATAATTCATGTTGTATAAATTTTTTTAAAAAAAATTTTCAGGCCTGGCCCGAGTTTTTTAAAAAAAAAAATTTCAGGCCCGGTCCAGCAGGCTCTGATATTTATAATAACGGGACTTTGAGTAATTTAATTTACATAATAATTTAATAATGGCTCATAATTCATTTGTTTTTGTAAATTGCATTTCATTTCATATAACATACTATTGACTATTCAATATATTAATGTCAAAGATATTTTTTGACATGCAAATTTATAATAACACCACCGTAAAAAATATAAATAATAATCTTATAGAGAATATATTAATGCTTAGAAATGTTATAATTTATATTCTAAGAATTAATGAATAAAATAAGAAATATTTTAAGGAAAAACAGGTTTCGAAAATATTTATGGCAAGAACCGGAACACAAAAATACATTTTTCTGGGTTCCTGATTCTTTTTTTCTAGTTCCAATTTTTAATTATCGGCAGGGTCTTAACCAGACTTTTATAATATTTATTAACTCGCTTATAGTTCTTCTAAATTGGAAAAAAACCTTAATTATTTAAATTAATATGAAAAAAGGAAACTATTTTGTGTTTTTTTATGCAAAAAATAATGTTAACCAATTTGCAAGTTACCATTTAAAATACATTATTTAAAATAACCTAGAAACGTTTCAATTGGTATCCATCTAAAATATAAGTCTTATGCAAATTTAATTCAATACAATATATATTAGATTTTTATAAAGTGGAAGGCCGCATTTAAAGGAAAGACCCGTGTCAGGACAGGCACTGGATTTGGTGTATCTCTACCCTGTACCGTATTCAAATATAAAAATTTATTTTAAAATTAATAGGCTCACATTGTTTATTTGGTTATTTAACAAGGGTGAAAGTGGAGCGGAATAATCGGAAGGAAGTGAGGCAAGGAAAAATTTGTCCCTCATAAACCTATTTTGTTCGTTTATGGAGTCTCTCTTTTTAACGACCGCATTATTGTGTTTTAAGGCAATATCGATCACGGTTGTTGGCATAGGTGTGGAATGATGTAGTTTGTAACTTATCACATTTCGCGATTCGTTATTCGGGATAAAGCCCTGCAATTTTTTTGAAAAATCAGCTCCTAAATGGGAGTTGAAGGGTGATTTATTGTCTAACAATAAATTATTCTGTATATTGGTGTTAATTTTAGAATTATGCGAGTCATTCGCGGTCGATATTATGGGCTTAAGAGCGTTAACGTCTTCCAAATTTGCTTTCTCGTAGAGCTCCGGCCCTATATCGTCTTCTATCTCGGAATCGTACCTCAACCCGTATTGATCGATGAGAGTTAGATCGGAAGGTGGAGATTTTTTCCATGTGACAAGTGGATACCTGGGAAGAAAGGTAATTGGCATGAGTTAAAAATTTTTAGTTTTAAATATTTTAAAGGTCTAATTAGAGTTTGCATGATTATACCATATTGATTTAAATCAATTTTATTTTTTTTAGTATTTTAAAAAACTATTTTCTTTTTAAATAATATTATATTATAATCTCATTTTACTATATTTTGTTTTTGATTAATTGCTGTATTTAATTGTTAAATTTCAGAGATAATCCGATACTAATACTAAACCAATACCTCAACTTCTTATTCTTAATAGCTGTTTATACTAAGTCACATTGTGATTGTAAAGAAATATTTGTTTATATTTTTAAAAAAACAGCCCAAAATTACATTAAATTAATTTTTTCGATATTTATTTAATATTTTATTATATTGATTCATGTTCAAATATGAGCAATCTGGTGGAAAAATTTATATAAAAAATTAATTTTGTGTTTATTTTGGTTTGTTTTTCATATCTAAATATTTTTTTAGTAAAGCGATCTTAGCAGATAACGATGTAAGTTTCGGTGCTTCATGTTAAAAATATATTTTTTATACTAAGTTAATCCAGAAATATAAAAAGGTATATATGTTATATAAAAATATTAGTTAAGTTAAAATAACCAATTAACAATGCAATGTGTATAAATAGGTAAATATTAAATAAAAATTATTAATGATAAATACTTTTTTTTCAAAACCTCTTTAACATTCATAATTATTATTGATAAATACTTTTTTTCAAAACCTTTTTAACAATTCATAAATTTAGCAAGAAATTAGATGTTAATGTAATAAAATAATTGTATTTTTATTAATAGCTTTACCCTAAGGTTATTTTTCTCCAGGACAATTATTATGTTTTTTTATTTTATTATAAAATTTGTCAATAAATAGCGAATCAAATAAATCAATTTTTTCGATTTTTATAAAAAAAAATCATGAGTTTGCCAACCCTAGTTCTACTATTCCATGTTAGATAGAATTTTTATATTTAGATAAACTTAAAGATATAATAAAATAATATATGGAATTTTATTCCCGAACAAAATAAAATAAATAATTTTTTTTATGCCTTACTTTTCCATGACATTTACTATACTAGCAATTTTATTTATTTTAGTTTTATTCTTAGTAAATATAGAGAAATTTCAAACATATTGTACTTGTATTCAAAGGATGGTTTCCTTCTAATATTTGATTCACCAGAATCCATAATCTCTTCCTTATTTCTTTTGGATTGACGAAATGATGATGTATTAATGAGATCCAAGTTATCATGTGTTTTGTTCTAGGAGATAAATTATTATTTATTTTTATTATAAAATATAAATGAATATTTAAATTTCTTTTGAGCATTAGAAAGAAAATTATATTGATGAAACAGACTTGTAAACTATATATATACTAAATTCGAATTTAAATTTATATAACTATGACGAATCAGGATTAGAAGGTCTGACACAATAAGTAGACTACCACAATTTTAAAATTTTCATAAATCTACCAAAATATCTTGCATATTTATTTTAAATATATATATTATAAACAAAAAGTGTTTTTCATAAATAACAAACCGCAATCTAATATATTGAACTATATTGCTATCGCTGTGGTTAGAGAGCATAATTGTTATATTAAGTCTGATGATGTCTAGAAAAATCTACACTTAAAGCCGGGATCCAACCATAACTAAACTATTACACCGAGATTAAGAGTCATTATTTACAAAATTTAAACTGAACCGTTAAAAAAATGGAACCTGACCCTGCAAAAAGGTATGTAAACTAGTTTGAACTTTTTGATATCCTAACTCTTTTAAAGATGATTGATAAGTATCACTAACTTTTTTAAAATATTTTTGTATATTGCTATTTAACAGATATCCAAGTTAACGTATAAAAATATTCTCAACTATAAAATTTATATTTCTCCTTATAGATATAATTTGGCAGAAGAGAATTTAAAAATATTTTAATTGTTGGCTCAATATTATTTTTAGGATTAAAAATAGTGATAAAATTTGAGAAATTATGCTTATCTATTAACATAATTTTTGTTTGTATGCCAAAGTTGGAACCGGGTTTTGACCCTTCACAGTAAAGGCGAAAAAAAGTACACGAAAGTCTAGGTCTAGTTCACTCGGACTCCGATTTAGATAGGCCATATCTTAGAATTAAATTTATTTGTAGCTTTCATATTTTAAACATATATAAAATAAACTCTAATTTAGTGACTTTCACTGTTATTTTAAAATTTTTTTGGTTATTTTTAAATTTTATGACAGATTTTGCCAAGAGAGTCAAAAAAGAGACAAATTATTTTAAAATGTCATAATATGATATAAAAAAATATAAAAATAAAATTGATGATGCAGAATGTTTATATAAGGTTCAAATATTAATGATATAATTTTTAATTAATAAAAGACCAGGCCCGCCTGTCCAATATTTTAAAAAATGTAACCCATCCACACCCATAGTTTTTAAAAAAATATCTAAAATTTTTACCCGCCCGCGCATTATTTATAAAAAAAATATAACTCATGCCGCCCATTAAAATTTAAATAAGCTCTTTCTTGCAATATTTTTAAGCGTCTAATAAAAAGATGATTCAGTTTCATCGCCACATTCCTATAAAAAAAATTTAAAATTTAGGAAATTGCTATATTAAGCATAAAAAAATATATTCGATTTAATGATAAGGAATTTATTTGATCTAATAAAATATTTATTGATGCTAAAAACCTTCCAGCAACGCTAATTCCTTGTTCAGAAAAAGCAGTGGTTGCTGGAGTTGCCAATATTTTTCTAGCTAATCTTGATAGCTTTGATAAATCTTTTTTTTGTCGTTTCCATAATAGTAGGATATGAAGTATATCCTCTACTCAGTGAAATATTTAAATAAAAAGTGAAACCATTAATAATAAATAAAAAAATTATTTTAAATTAATTGTAAACTTTAACAAAACTAAGTAGCTTAAAATCTTGCTAAATTATACAAAAACTCGTTATTTCAAGATTTAAATTTTTGTTATATCATTAAGTAATGTTCACCTCTGTAACAGCCACATCTTCATATGTATTGTTTAATTTTTACGTGGATGTTATCTATTTCAAGCATTGCATTTATAATGTAATAATCTTTAATTGAATTCTTTGCTTTTGGGGAAACCGATAAAAATAAGATTTTCATCCACGTTGATATTATAATCTTCCATGCAAATCAAATCCAACATGTTTTCGATATATTTTTTACCTAATTAATTTCTTCCGACGACAACATCCTCAGTTATTAGTACTTTGGTATTACATATGTTGAAATTACAGGGAGCATATTTTTTTAATGTTTATTTAAATTATTGCGGGCGGGTAGACCTCTAATACTGACCCCAAGCTCAAAAAAACCATTGAAATTATATATTAAAATTAATCCTGCACATATATGCTGTTAAAAATATTAAGCTGCTAAAAGATCCAGATAAAAATATCTAAAAAATATAAGTAATAACATTTTTTATTAATTTTCTTAAATCCCTATATTTTTAAAATTTAGTTAGTTTTTTTTAAAAAAAATTTTTTTATTTTTGATAGACTATATCTATCGTATTTAGGTTAACTTATTCTGGACAGATATTGTGGTTTTAAATTAAGATTTAACTTAAAATAAATTAAACCAAATAATAGAATAAAAAAAACATGAATTACCTTTCTACGCTTTTAAATTCCTAAAAAAAATAATTAAGGGTAATGCCAATCTACAAATTTTTCACATATTCAATCCTGATATTTATATTAATTTTTATTTGCCATCTATCTTTGAACCAATTTCATAAAAATATCAAAATTTTCTATTTACTAACTTTCATGAATGATTAAGTGTATTTTGATTCTTTATTTATTCTCCAAAGGTTAACAGTTTTATTTAAAATATTCGCTATTTATGGGTTGCTTTTAGTCGATTTTTAAAAAGGGCTGATTTTAGCAAGATATTATTATCTAAGCTTCAAAATTTCGCAAATAGAAATCAAAACCTTTGTGTCATCTGTGGACAAAATCAATAAACTTGAGTAATTTACTTTTGGCTAAAATCTTGAATACTAGATGAATGCGACTCGTTATTAAATATTACAACAAATAAATTGTATTTTAGTTATTTCCCTTAAATTATTACTATGAAATTATTTCTATAAAAAAAAATTATATATATAATCATAAAATAACCAGAAACAATAAAAAATATTGGATCGGATTAGTTTCTTTACAAAATATATGCTCGATTATTTTTTTGAAAAAGTTAAATATCGGTTCCCATCTTATATTTAATATCGGCGCAGCCCTAATTTTTTAAACCTCATCCAGTGATTTAAAAATAAATAACCTTAAAGTAGGACTTTTGAACATAAAAAAATCCAGAAGAACAACTTAATTTTAGTGATCCTTACAGAAATCTTTACAAAAACAAATTCCCTCAAATAAAAAAATCAAATCACAACAACTACTAACAGCACCTCCATTTATCCTAAATAAAAAAGAAATCACATTAATTAGCTTTTAAAAAAGTATGGTTGATTTATTTCTCCAACAAATTGTTAACAAAAAATCCCCGAAACAATAACCAACCTTCTATTTCCCTTACTCAACATCATCTTGTAATACAACTACAATTATGTGAAATCTACAGTTATAAATATTCCCAAAATTGTAAATACAATAACAATAGAAGGATTACATACCACTGACAAAATGGAAGATCCTTACCAATACAATTTATAAATAGATTACAAATATATATCAAGTCACTGCCTCAAAAAGAACAGTTCAAATACAACAGATAGTCACGTTTATGTTTTATAACTAAAAAAAAGATTGTTTATCTTTTATGATTATGACCAAATAAAAATTCAACTCAGAGTCCCAATAAATTATAAGGTTTTTACGTAATTGGGTGCAGGGAATGTTTTAAATATAATTTTATTTAAAAAAAAATCATAACTAAAGGATGTCCTTTCCAACTAATAAATGCTAATAATTAGAAACGCAATGATGGCAGATACTTAATATTTTTTAAAATTACATTATATTGTAATATATTAAATATTTTTTAATAAATTTTTTTAGTTTCTTTAGGAGTTTGAAATAAAATATGTAAAAAATTTTGAACAAATATCTTTAAACAACTTTTTTAAAGAAGAAAGATTTTATTATTTTACCTAAAAATGCCAAAAAAATTTTAAGTAAATCTTTTGTAATTTTCAAGTATAAATAAATTTTTCTAGATGAAATCAAAAATCTAAAATAAAAATTTTCAAAGATTTTCTCTAAAATTTTTTTCAAACTCTCGGTTTTTTTAAATTAGACTATTTTCAATTTAAGCCGCGTCCAAAACATCAAAAAATTTAATTCGAAAACTTTATCTAAAAACATGAAATAAGTCAAAAGATACATTTTTAATATTTGAAAAAAGTTTTGGAGATAGTGTTGTTACACGGCTTGATTTTTAAAAACGGCTAACCCATTATTTTAACGAAAAAATATTACGCAAGCTTCAAAATCCGTTAATAGATCCCCAAACCTTTCTGTCATCTATGAGCAAAATCTGCCCTAATATTTTTTGGCCAAAAAATATTGGATTAGCCGTTTTATAAATCGAGCCGTAAAACAACACTAGGCACAGCCTTTTTTTAAAAAAATCGATCTTCCCCGTGTTTTCCTAATTTTTCAGATAGATATTTCATTTTTTTTAAATAATAATTTTAAAAATTTACTTGCTTACCAATATTATATAATTATTTATGAAAACAAAATAATCAATCATAGCACAATGCTTAGTTTTTAAGCGCAAAGAAAAAACAAAAAAAATCTAATATTATATATGTCGCTAGGAACTCATAAAATCATCTATTTCTGGAAATTTTTAAATTTAAAAAATCCGATTTGATGTGAGATGTATTTCAACATGTGGCGAGGTAACTTATCATATCCTAAGTATTTCAGACAATTTTGCCAGGTACTTTTGAATTTTTTTTAATTTATATTCATTTTATATTATTATTTATTTTGCATATAAACTTAAATAACTACAGAAAAGTTTAAAGCGAAAATTGTGTGAAATAGACAATGTGGGTACTTTACACATGCTAGAATACTATTCTCGATCAATTCCAATTTTTTTTTCCTAAAAATTTAAAAATTGTCCTCAGTAAATGATTTAAAATTGAGATTCCGAATATCCGTTTTCATATCCCAATACAATATATATTTAAAGAAATAGATTAATTTAAATAAAATTGATTGGTTAGCTCACAAAAAAAACATTAGCGTTTCAATGGTATTTTTTTTAAATGAGGAAAAAATAAAAACGAATTATTTTGCGTTTTTAATGTAAAAAAACTTTAACACATGTTACTATTTAAAATACATTATTTGATATAAAACGAAAGTCTTGGATTTGAACCTACTCTAAGTTTATGTGTATGTTTTGAGGGTTGATTTTTATAAAGTATTGGGATCAGTATAGGTAAGTGATATCGGTGCATCTCTGATAATAATCTTTAAATACTTCATGAAACATCAAAAAGAATTAGAGAAGAAATATAGAGAAAAAACAATTATAAAAATAAATCAAGGATTCAATAAACAAAATTTATATTTATATTTAAAAAGAATAAATGAACAAGATAATAGAAAGGAAATGAATATAAGCAAATTATACTTCTCCATCGTGAATGATCTTTTTGAATATAGCTCCGGCATGTTTGGTATGGAGGTGCTCGGGGAGAGCAGTGAAAGGTAGAGAAAATGGCGATTTATGAGGGATATTTCCCGTATAATTTTCATTTTCGTTCGGTAAAGTGACTATATGAATCGGAACTTTATTTTTGGAATTTTGAATGCTGTACGATTGGTTTAGGATATTATTATCCGAGACATTGGGAATGGGAGTATTGGCGTGAGTTTCGTTTATATTAGGAATCATGGAAAAAGTGGGGTGTCGAACGGTAGCTGTAATTTATAAAATTTAAAAACAAGCATATTTTTATTTATTTAAGTAAAGAGAAAGGCAATCATATCAAATAATATAATATTTTTTTTACAATTTAAACAATATTTTTGCATCACATAGCATCCAAATACTTAATTAACCGGTTTGAAAATATTATTTCAGATATTTAGTTAATATTTTGTAGAGGTAATAGGAATAAAATGAAGAAAATACAACAAACACATTCGAAATTAAATACACGCAAAAAGAATGAAAACACAAAATTATGGATAAAATCACGAACATCAAACACAACAATTATGTTTTTAAATTTTAAACCCATGGTGGCGAAAGCGAACTTCCTGAAAGTCTTGTACGGACTTTTACCGTCAAATTTATCCACTAATAGAAATAATAGTAAATACATTATTATAATATTTCTAAGATGATCCCTATCATAGACCATAAAAAATTTCGTATATAATTTTATAACAGCCACAACAACTTTGATTATGACCATTAGTGGGTTAAAGATATATATCGTCAGCTGTTGTATTTGAAAAACATCGTATCTTACTTTTCGAAATTATGCAGGAGGGCAAAAAATAATTTTAAATTTCTATTAACAACTCAAATTTATATTAAATAAAAACAGATTTTGTATTGTTTATTTTAGTTTAAGTATAATATAAATTATTAAATTAATTTTACGAGATGGTATTTTCTTGAAAACTTTGTTGCACACAAAATCCTTAAATCTTTGAGCGTAAAAGGATGGTCTATGAACGGAAACTGTATCCTTGTAATATTAGCATAATAAATAATATAAGTCGATATTATCTGAATCATAAACATCATAATTCGATATTCCTTTCATAATGTCTAATTTACAATTGCCTAGTTTTTTTAAAAAAACTCCTAGAATTATATCTCCTTTATATATTCATTGTTTAATTAAAGCGTCTAAGTCGTCCTACTTATTAAGGTTATAAAATTTAATAGTCTTCATCAAAAGATAGGAGAAAGGCCCTACATTGCCAAATTTTGATGCTTATGTATTATTATTTTTAGGCTAAAATCTAGATTTAATTGTTTTTTTAAATAAGCTAAAATCTAGATTTAGTTTTTTTAAATAGGCATTTTTACAACACTTTTTAGGAGTAAGTATATTAAATTTAATACGCCGGGTTGTAAGTAGTTGCGCCAACAGCAAACTTAAAATTTTTTACTTGTTATGATTGTCATTTTTATAGAATGGTCAAAAAATTTCAAAAATGATATATTAAAATTACTATTAATATAGTGTATACAAATACAAATTTCTATAACTATGTAATATTTTGTTTGCATTATATATTATATGTAAATCTATTCTGTAAAATTGATGTATTTCATGAAATATTTTTACATTGTGCTTGAAAATAAGGGCTTGTTAGTATAATTTGTGGAGGAATTTATCTATGAAAAAAGTAAAGGAACTATTATTAGTGCAAATCCAGATATGCCATTATGGCAAAATTTGTTCAATAATCTAATAATAATAATAGCAAAAAGTTCCTAATAATATTTCTTCCATCGCTAGATTTCTAAACGCTTGACATCATATCCATCAAATTTGGAATTTTTATATAAATAATTAATATTTAAAACAAATATTTTTTTTCTTTTTAGTAATTTCATTGGTATTTATCATAGACCTGCAGACCCGGCCCGAAGCCCAGCTTGAGCCGTAAATTCTTTTTAAAATAAACCCGGGCCAGGCCGAATATTTTAAATATAGACCTGTCGGCCGGCCGCCGACCTTTTTTGGTCACGCCGAAAACGCCGCCGTTTAAAAAAATCACGCCGGCGCCGAAATTTCTTTCATATTTCATACCTTTTGATTCTAATAATTGGTCAACATCACTGTTGTAATTTTTTTAATGTCAATCAGGATTTTGATGAATTTTTATTTTATACTATTTGAAAATCATAATTATATTGACGTCATTATAGAATTCAATCAATCAAAAATCCATAGTCTGGAAATTTTTTTGCATAAGAATTAGAGAAATTATTACTGCTCTAAGATATAAAACTGCAGAGGTTGAATTTGAATTCGAGGAATATCAAAGAAAATGCCTAAGTACAATAGATTTAACATCAGACATGTTAGATCTTGACAGCATTGATCCATACCCGGATACCCGGTTTCAAATTGGAATTCCAATGATAGTAATAATTCCACGCATATGAAAACCTTAAAATTAAATGTTCAACACGTTGGCATAGTATATTAATTATGCTAAAAAGCATATCTGGATTAAATAACTATTTAATTAATAATGTTTTGAAAAGAATTGGGAAGCACTTTCTCAAATTATTAAATTATGAATCTGAGCTGGTAGGAGAACGATTAGCATTTCTTTCAAAATTTAAAGAAACTGTCGAATTTCTTCCAGTACAAAAATAGCCTACTTTAAACTTGGCGTTACTTTTTAGAAGTGAAATTGAAACAAATTTAATAGTAAATGATAGTGATAGTTCTGAAATCATTTCACTTAAGAAAATATGCTAAAAAAAACTTGCGTTACGATTTTTGGTGTGTAATCTGCAAGTAATAATATATAAGTATATTCTTTTATTTTTTATTTAAAATTATCTAGGTATTGACTTCTCTTTTAGATCCATGATTTCAAAAATTGACAATTGTGTCAAAGTATTTAATAGAGCAAAATTGTTCAGCTTCAGAATTTATAATAGAAAATCTTAAACTTATAGAGAATGATGATAGTCAGGTAGTAAATATAGCTAATGAGGATGAAGATGAACTATTAAATTCAAGTTATTTGACAAAATTGGCAAATAAACATTCAATAAATATAAATTATGATTCCAAGTAAGGTGACTTAGAACAAGAATGCCAGTTTTATTGGAAAACGATATTAACAAGATATGGAAGTTCTAAATTTTTGGAGAGAAAAGAAGAGTAAACTTCCCAATCTTTCCAGGCTCGCCAAAAAAATTCTTTGCATTTGGGTGACTAGCACACCTAGTGAAAGAGTTTTCTCTACAGCTGGATTGACGTTAAATTCAAGGCTATCATTATTATCCCAAAAATTTAAATAAAATAATTATTATACATGATAATTATAAAATTACGAAATCGATTTTGGATTTATAATGAGTTTTCTATTAAATAAATATTAAAAAATATGCCAAGATATCTGTAGAGTAATGTATATTCGTTTTTTTAAAAAATAATAAGCAATCAAAAAAATTTATGTTATAAAAATTTATAACTGCGCCGATTTTGTTGACGGCGGCTAAAAATCGGTGCGCCACCGGCCGTCTATAGGATTTTTTGAAAATTGCGCCAGTCGCCGATAGTTTGTCGGCGCACAGGTCTATATATTAATAAAGAGATGTAATAAAATATATTTAAAAATTGTTATATTGATTGAATAATAACATTAATTCACTTCCGATATTTACTGTATCATTTCAAAACCATTTTATCAAAATAAATCTGGGTTGGGTCGAAAATTAGATAATCCGGACCAGGCCAAAAAAATTTCTCAAGTATGGACTGGGCAATTGGTACCTACACAGGTCTCTAGTATCTATCTAAAATTTTGTATTTTTTATAATTCAAGAAATATAATATATCTCTAAAAATATTTCATACTGTATAGCCCTAATTAAAAAAAAATATATAAGTTTACTGTGCAAAATTAGCGCAACTCAATACTTTAATAAAAATATCAATTCGCTGCCGTTTATCACGGTCTCAGCGCATGGCTATACCCCGTCATGGAATATAGACTTGAAAGTGTGTTCTAGTTTTTTCTTGAGCTCATAGCATTGCAATATATCAATGATGCCAATGAAACAAAGTAAACGTTCACCTTGCGCATTTCTTGCTGGTATACCTCCACGTCTAGTATGTAAAAGGTACATTTTGGAATATAAAAATAAAAAATTATTTAGTTTATTATAATAATAAGTAATTTCTAAAATGTTTCGTTAAATAAGTTATTAAAGGTAAAACTAATTTGGAATCAACATCCTTCTTTAAGCTTAATGTCCAGAAGTATATGACATTTAACAAATATTTAATTGTAGTAATAAATCTTTTTTTTAAATATATATAGCCTTTTTTTAGTCACATACCGTCCGTACGAGCTATTCTTTTTTTGCTGAAATAATATATAAATAAATATGTTATTTAGTATTTAAAAAAAAAGAAAGTGTTAAACGGGGCATCTTGCTCCTCCTCTATATCGATAGGTTCGGATTGAGCCTGAATCGACTCCATGGCGGTGGAAAAAGCTGTGACTCTTTTCGATAATTTTATATGTTTATTGCTTTCCACGTCTAAATTTTCGGTTAAATTCCCCTGTTGTTGATTTGGCAAGGAATTGAGGGAGGAATCGGAAGATGTAGCCAAAAAAGATTTATTTTGTCGGGCGAGTTTTTCATTTGCTTGTAACTAGTTTGAAAATATATATAGATATAAAGCAGATATTTATTTATAAAAAAAAATTGCATCATATGTTCATTATCAACTGAAATTATCATAGAGGCTTATCAGAGGTATGCAATGGGTGGAGTTTTAGCCCGCCCCTTCATCGAGCGGGTTTTCTAAATTTTAAATATTGGGCATTATTTTTCGGGCAAATAGCAGAACAGCCTTCAATTTTTATTAAAAATCGTTTTTTTATTATCATAACATTGCCCATTTTATAAGTTTAATTTAAAATGAATTCAAATAAATAAATAAAGAGCCAAACCAGCTATTAAAATAATTTTTAAGCATTGGGCGAGCATTGAACAAAATTTTCATATTAATGGGTGGGCGGGTAAATCTAAAAAAATCATAGATGGTTAGACGGGTTAAAAAAAATTTTAACAAGTGGGCAGGTTTGATGGATAAAATTCGCCTATTGTAGACCTCTAGAGTATCTAATTGAAAAAGAAACAACAATAAAAATAAGGACAGAAAAATAAATCCCTATTCAGTGTTTTATTTGATTTCCTTGAAAATCCTAAATACCTGGTTTATCCTTCTAAATGATATTTAGTTTGAATCGAACTGAACTAATATATCCACCATATTTAAAATTTTTACATAATTAGAATGATTATGCTTACCAGTATAAACTATAAATATGACAAGATAAGATACCTTGATAATAGTATGTTGTTAAAAAGCGGGTTTCTTACTACAAAAAACTAGAGTGGTAAAAATTTGCTCAGGTCCAAGTCAGCTGATAAATCACATGGGTGGATAGATAGGCTCAAAAATTTTATATGTAAAGTGGCAGTCAACTTCTTACTATTCTCATAGAACTTATTTCTGATGTATTATTTTATCTGTCTAAAACATATTAGCTTAAACATTTTTATATGTCATGTCATTAATAAGACCAGATGGTTTGGAGTCGGGGTTTTTTTTGGCTTCTAACCCAACTTAATTTGAGATAAAGCCGACTGGGCGGAACAATTTATCAAAAATAGTAAATAGTTAGTTTGGTGCCACCATGTATAATTTAACTTATAAAACAGTTAATTTACTCCAAATAACTCTTTTGCATTTAGTCATAATTAAAATTTTTAAAAATTAAAAACTTCCTTTTCACGTAAAGTGAGATCAAGATTGTGAACTCCCATGAGAAAGCTATAGTCCATAATTTTGAAACTCTCTAGCACCTATTTATTTTAAAAAACATAGGCATATATTTTATATAATAAATCATGTGATTGTAGCGTATATAATTTTTCTTATTATAAGCACAAATCATATATCATAGTTTAAAACAAAAAAATTTCGGTAAAAATTTTTTGATTGGAGAGAATAAAGAGGAAGCAAGGATTAATTACCAAGCAATCTCTTTTAAGAGTTTTAATGAGGGCGTCGTAGGTATCTGGTTCCAGCATTATGCCTTGGGGATGCTTTTCCATAAAGTCCAAGTCTTTGTAAGTTGGCGTATTTTTGAGTCGTTCGTATTTGCTGGCTTTTCTATTGTAAGTAGAGCCTTTAAAATTTAACGAGAAAGGGGGAGAATTTAAAATAGCATATATGTATTACTTTTTTGGAACTACCCTTTCGAAACGTCTGCTTCAACTATTAAATTAGTTTAAAAAGGGAATTTGCTCAGATTGTAAAAAGAAGTTTTAGTTTATAATAAATAAATTCCGATTAAAATAAAAATTAAGTTTTCAAAATGTGCCAAAATAGGAGAATTGAATATTCGTAATTATCGTTTAAATTATTTATAAAAGAATTAATGAATATTTTAAAATATTAACAAATAGAATACAAGCTTAAAGCCATAAAAATAATCTTTATTTAAAAGTAGAAACCATAAAGGATGATATTTCACAATTATAGTATTTTGACTATTAAGATTTTACATAATCGATTATTCTATAAAAGATTAATAAATTGTTTATAAAATTTTAGTATCAAGGGTCAAATCAAAATTTTGGCAAGAGATTTATATAATCAATTACTCTATAAAAAAAAATAGTTTATAGAATATTCTTACCAAGAGTATTATAAACATTTTTTAAAAACAAAATATTATTATTGTATATCAGATTCAGAGTTTTATGTATTAACATCAAGTGCACAAACTTGTATCATTTCTAATCAAAACTAACATTGTTACTACAGAAACAAAAGGTGAATTTTCAGATTATTAAGTGTTTAATTTGATCAAATTGCATAATTTCATTTAAAAAGTATTAATGACTTCAAAGTAATTCAAAAGTTACTTATATATAACTTTACTTATTTCATTATACAAACCTTTTAAGTCGTATTTTTCGTGAATTTTAATGGAGGACGGAATCAAATTATTCATTATGAGTAAGCGAATATTTTTCCCACCACTCTAATAAATAAAATTTTATATTAAAAATAAACATTTATAGTTTTTATCGACCGCGAAATCTAAAAATCCGTATTTAAAAATAATAAAAATGTTATTTAAAAAAAAAATAAATAAAAGCAACTAATACTAACCAAAATTTATATGCCAACCACTTATATAAGGAAAGTTTCAAAAAAAAATAGTTTTAAATAACAAAATGGTGTGAATTCGCGCTAACGGTGAATGCAGGGTTAGGATAAAATTGTAAACAAATATTTTTAAAAATAGATACCTGATAACAATATAATCCGAAAAATTTTGGCAAAAGAGTACGAGGATTTTGATTGAGATTCTAGGATGATTGTTAAAATTCAAAAAAAAAGTTAAAATTATTATCTTGATAAAATGTGAGAAAATTTAGAGTTAATTCAATATATCCAGTTAAAAACTTGTAAAAAAATTAAATATAGATAAAAATTATGAATTGTAAAAAAATTGCTAAGATTTTACCATATAATAACCAGGTAATAGTTTTTCTAAAAATCCGGCTTCCTTCCTTTGCACCGTTTTGAGGATGAATTCGTCGTCGCAAGTCACGAAGAATACACTTCCGCTAGCACCGGGGTTAGAGAGTTCGCGGGGCGGTCGAGCACATAGCGATATCTTGATATAAAAATTTTCATTCATAAATTCTCTTTTTTATATTACCTTTTTTCGCTATTAAATAATTGATAAAGGGGGGGGGGGGCAAAATGAAAAATTTTGTTATACATGATTATCTTATGTCATGTTGAAAGTTTAAATTAGAAATGACGAAGAGCTCTAATTTTTTTTCCCTACTGCTTAGTTACTATATTAAAAATAATTTCTCCAATCATTGGCGCAACTGATTTATTTCCTCGGAAAATATTATAAATAATGTATAAACGCGATAAATAAACGTTTTGATGTAATAAAATACTTCTTTTTTTAAATCTATGAAAAAAATTTTATGATAAAAAAAAATTTTTTTAAAATTTATATTTTTTCATCATTTTTTATAATTTAAAAAAAAATAATATACAAGATATTACTTTTAAATCAATAATATTGCATTATAAATGTTTCTATTTTAAAATCTTTATTGCATTATAGCGCCATCTATACCATATGTTTTTTATATATTATTCATTATATTTAAAAAAAAACAATACTGCCAGCAATTATTGATGAAATTATTAGAAAAATAATAAATGAGAACTAGGAATTTTTTTTAAAAAATAATTAGAGTTCCATATCATTTTAAAAATAAATTTTAAACTTTTAACTGGACATAAGAAGATGATCATGCATAACAAAATTTTTTCGTTTTTTCCCATAATTATCAAATATTAACATAATTATAAGTATAAAATTTAATATTCTAATTGATTTGACATGGAATGACCCTACAATGTTTGACACACCTAGTGAAATATTTAAAATATTTCGGTTTTACTAATAAAATAGTATTCTAAATTTTTTTTTTCATAAAAATAGAAAGGAACACCAAAAGTTTTATATATTTTAAATCTTTTCAAATAATAACGCTAATTTTATTATTTATACTTTAAATAGAAGAATTTTTTAAATATGGTATCTAAATTATGGAAATATTTTACAAAAGACAAAGATAATTTTGCAAAATGCGTTATTTGCGGAATTCTAATATCACGGAGAGGAATAATGAAAATTCATTTAATACTACCAATATCCGTAAACTTTTTTTAAATATTGTAGAAATAAAAAAATTAAATTAAATGCATAATTCGATTTTTTATATAAAAAATATTGATTTCTTAATTACATTTGGTTCAAAGGGGGGGGGGGGGGGAGTGAAAAATCAATATAAATATCGGATCAGTATAAGATCGGTTTTGAACCAATATTAGAAAATATCGGATCGGATTGGTGAAAAATATGTAGATCGGCACAGCCCTACTTGAAATAATAATATTACAAAATTCCTTTTTTAAAAGTAATGAAATAGTACGAACAATCGGATTTCGGAAATAGTAACACTTGATCGATGGGGAATTTTTTTTTCTAGTGGGGGAACCTAAAAAAGATCTGATTATATTTTGCGCATACCAAAAAATCATCCGTTTTGATCCCAAACAGTTCCCGAAAGTATCGAAATGCCACAGGAGCATACGTTTTGAACCTAAACTCACTATATTCATGAGCTGCGGTCGTGGAGCTGCCATCCCTGAATATTAAAAGAATTATACAAAAAATTGGCAAGTTAATAAATATTAGAAGTAGGAATTTTTTTAGATGGATTGGATAATTATTCATGGTTGCCGAATCTTTAAAAATTGTATTAGCCCATTTTATTTATAAATATTTTTTTCGATACGATATGGATAATGTATCGAATGAGCCTCTGTGAATATATAGAGATGCATCTCTATTGAATATAAAAATTGGTTAAAAGGGTTTTTCTTTCTTTTATCTAAGCAAAATATTATTTTTCTTGTAGGTTTTTTTATTTAAATAACTTAGCATATGATAGTCTAATTATGAAAATTTTTAATATTTTTATCCCCACAAAACCATTTCCTACACTATTTTTTCAAATTAATAACTTGTCTAATTAGAAATTAATTTGAACTTAAATACTTAGTTCATTGGATTCCCCCATAATTAGTTATTGAGAGTTAATTCTCAACAGGAGTATTTATATGAAATATTTAATCATGGTTTAATAGCCTTTAAAAGCACAATCATATAAAATACTATAAGTGTTAATTAATAAAAGCATCATTAAATTATGAGAGATTCAAAAATTGTCGATGAAACAATGAACATTAATTAAAAGGAGAAATTATATTATCTACAGAGATATTGCTATAATATATTATTTTTGAAATTTTTAAAACACCTCAAAAATATAGATGGCTGTATTAAATTTTTTAGAGGCCTGGGAGGAAAATATGGTGGTCTTTTTAAAATATATACCTAAGCACTTTGAAAAGTAAATCCAAATAAAAATTTGTGACCTAGGAAATATTGCCATCTCTATCATCGTAAAGTCTTGCATCAAAACATCCCTCTGTGGTTTGGAGGATAAGCTGCCGATAGAATGGTTAAGCCCCAATTGAATGGCTTTTAAAAGTTGGGAGGATTCGACCTAGTTTTATAATTTATTTTAAAGTAATTTATTATATATGGGTAGCTCAAAGGGCTAGATTCTTATGCCGACAAAAAAAATCGGATAGCTTTTTCGCTAGATTTACATTTTCTAAAAAAATCCCAATTTTTTCTTTATAAATTAAATCCATATCGTTTAAAAAATCTTAAAGATATAAATTTACAATGAAATTATTTTTTATAAAATTTTTTCTCTTAATGTATGAGGCAAAATTTAATTTTTTTAAAATTATTTATCCCTTAAATTTGAAACATCAAAAAAAAATTATATTTTAAAAAAAAGGGAAGTGATAAAAAAAATAATTAAATAAGTATTAAATACACGATTCAAAGAAAATTTATATAAAATATTTTTTAAAATAATTGTGAATTTATTACTTTTTTAAAACCTTTATTTTTTGGAGGTATTTGGCTCAAAGCATATAGATTCATTCAATACTTTTTATCTCCCTTAGTAAAAATTAAATTAACCTTCGTTATATTTAAATAGATTCTATACCTGCTGCCTATTTTAAAAAGTTGCAGGCATAATTTATTTTATAAAAAATTCGTTTTTTTCTTTTAGATTTTGAGTAAAACTTTTTTAAAATTCATATACACGATCCTAATTTGATGAATGAGTTGAAATCTTAAGAATTCATGATAGGCCTCAACAAAATTTGAGGATCCTAATCTAGTGCTTTAATCAAATATACCCCCCCCCCTCCTATCCCAATTTAAACCAAACCAATTATATTTTTGTTATAAATATTTCTTCTTTTAATATCTTTCATTTACTAAGCAATTACAAATTTCAATTTTTAAAAAAACCTTTTTATAAGTGACTTTTCCTTCATCGTCGACTCTCCTATGACCGATTTTACGTTGACGCTCCGTTATGATCTTAACGGCCTCTTTCCGGGTGAGTGGTATACCCTGAGCGTCCTCTTGGCTACTGTCGTCGTGGTGGTCGATTCCACCACTAGAAAAACTATCCCGCAAGAGTTCGGGGGTTTTATCTTCGGTAGTGGACGTTCTAAAAAACAAAAGTTCATTTTCAATATAAATTTTTATAGTAAATATATCTTCTAAAATCTTAGCCCCTTTCTAAACTTCCTGAAATGAAAACATATTTTTAAAATATTTCGTTTATCTCTATGCATCCCATGATATTATCTATCATTCATTTCATCATTTGGACAATTGTATTTTATGTTTGTCCGATTCATTTTTTTTAAAATCCCTTTAGCTTGATCTTTTTAACTTATATTTGTAATTTATTCGTCAAGTCCATCAAAACTTCTTTAGAATTTTTTATAATGTTAATTTCTCTTTCTTTCTCGAAAATTGAATGAGTAAATTCATTTCGATTCCTTACTTCTGTTCATTTCAAATAATTATTCCATAGGTTTGCATTTTCTAATTTAACAAATAATGTAATTTTATGTAAAATAATATAAACAGTTAGCGCACTGAACAACTTGCCTTAAATGAACTTAAAAAGAAAAACTTTTTAAGGGAGAAGATAAATTTTGTTATATTACCAGAAAAATAAATAAAATAAACACTGTTTTAAAATTTAAATTATTGGAGAAATCCGCTTTACCCCGTCCTAAAATTGGCCACATTCCTATCTATATTTTGTGATAGAGCTTGTTCCAACATACTGGAGTCATTCACGGGAATTTTGCCATTTCTGCCTATGTTTTCGTGGTGGTGTATGTTAGTAAGGTTTCCTCCTGGTATAGTATTGTTCAACAGGTGACGATCGGTTGAGAGGGCATCATTTTGTTTATATGACTTTTAGAGTTAAAAAAATAATAAGTCATTTTACCTTCTTTCTACACTTAAGAAAATTTTCAAAATGTAACTAAAAACAGATATAGGACCTAAAATAGTATTGGAATATAAATAAAATGTATCGAGATAATATATACTTTCCCCAAGATACACTTGAGATACCTTTTTAAAATTAATAATATAAAGTGATAATGCTAACATTGAAAATTTATTCTTAAACTCAAAGAATATAATCTAGCATTTTTATTTGGGTTGGTATTTTATTTATATAAAAAATAAAAATATAAAATTAAATGATTATAAAAACTGATAATTATCAGAGACCTGAACCGAAGCCCGGGCACACGGGCCAAGCCGTATTTTATATTTTTAAAATATAACTGGGTCAGGCCTAATTTTTTTTTAAAAAATAGTACCCGGGCCAGGCTGTTTAAAATCGAATATTTTAAATCACCATTTTTAGCTATAAAAATTAAAAACAAATGTAATATATTTTTTTTTAAATCGGACCGAGCCAGAAAATATAAAAACCGGGCCGGGCCAAAGATTTTTGAAATAATTTGGACCGGGCCATGCAAATGGTACTTCTGCAAATCTCTGATAAATATAGATTTAAAATATAAAACAGTTTTTTTTACTGTTTGTTTTTTTATTAGTTTTTTAATTTAACTAAATATTTCGGCCTATCAAATCGACCAAAATTTTTTTTAAATTATATTTTCAATTATCATAATCAAATTACTTTCAAAATATAATTTTGTACTTATGATAAGAGGTTGTCAAAAAAAAATAGTATCAAAATAATTGCAAAAATGTTGAAAATAGAATGTATATTTTTTTAAAAATGGGATAAAAATCGATATTTTTTAAAGAATAAATATTGATTAAAATTTGGATAATTTTTTTACTGTTTATAAAAAAAATAAAATAAAGTAACATAGTATAAAAATAAAAGTTTAAGGATAGATAATTGAAGAAATCCTTTTCTGCCTTATACTCTCTTCCTAGCGTAATACTATTGATGAATCATTTAGGAATGTTGATTTATAAATATGTAAATGCAACTTTCATTGGATTTAAACCCAAATTTTAATAACTTTAACCTCGATCCCTGCTAAAAATCTTTATTCATTCTTAAGCCCAAACTCGGTACAAAATTCTTAATTGAAATGACACTTTTTTAAAAAAAAAATTAAATGAAATAAAATAAAATAAAATTTACTACCTTTTCCAACTTCATTTTATTTAAATTAAAAAAATATATATCCTTTCTATTTTAGATAGGGCCAGGCTATGGCCTGGCTTGCGGCTCGACTCATTTCCTAAAGAAATAATATTTTAAGCGGGTACACGTCAGAGTTGTTAAAGTAGCGCGCTAACTTTTTTGGTAGCTATAGCTAATAGCGGCTACTTTTTTTGTAATTCATTTTTTAGCGCGCTACTTCGCTACTTTAAAAAAATATAATGAAGGTAAGTATAAACATGAAAATTTAAATATAATATCATAATTAATTATAATTTTTATGATTTATTATTTAATTTTGAAATTAAAATATAATTTCAATTTGTAATTTATATTTTCATTTGTATTATAAACCTAAATCACGTGTTAATAATTTAAAATGTCATCGTCTATAAATATCCAAATCGTTGAAAGTGATTCAGACAATGATATTAATGAAATGGAAAATACCAGGGAAGAAAATGTTCTTAATAGCTATAATACAAATTTCCCATTCCCTAGATTTGAAAATTTTTTATAATAAATATATAACCAAAACTGGTTTCAAATTTATTTGTTTAAAATGTAAAAAAAAATATTTCCTCAAATCAATCCAGTAGCTATAACCTCAAGAAAGACCTAAAGATAAATTGTCATTTTTACATTCTAATAATATTTATTTTAAAGACTGTTCATGAGTTTTAAAGAAATGGAGAAACATTTAAATAATTTTGGTATAGGCGACTCTACATCCAAAAAGAATTCAATTCAAACCAAATTAATTAATAATGCAAATGACAATATTTCTCAGAAATTGGCTGATAAAGTTATTGTTGATTTTATAATTTATACAGTTCAGCCAATGTCCTTAGTTGATAATCCATCCCATGATGATTAAAACTCTATCCCCTGGTACAACAATTTTATGCCGCCAGACACTAATGAATAAAATAGCAGATAACTTTAAAATGATGAAAGATGCTCTAATAGTAGATTTATTAGAGATATATATGTACCACGGGAGATAGTTGAACACATAACAGAAGGTTAAAACTTATTTATATTTATAAATTGATCTGATTAAATATTTTTGAGCTTATTTGGAAATCACAGGCCATTGGCTAGACCCTAGAATTTTAAAAAGAAGATCTGTGGCATTAGCCCTCAAAATGATAATGGGATGCCAGACATACGATGGACTTGCAAATAAAATTATTGATAATCTATCTTATATTAAAAATATGTATATAAGCTTAAATACGCCCTTACCCTCAAGTGCTAGTGTCGAGCGATTATTTAAAAAGGCAAAGCTACTTTCTGATCGTCGCTCTAGACTTGGGGATGATAATATTGAAATGATTTTATTATTAAAATGCAACAAATTACCATAAATATTTATTTTATTACATAAATTTTTTTATAATCAAAACTTACTATATTTTAATTTTTATAAATGTTGATATTTATATATTTACTATACAATAACATTATAAGCAAAAAATTAAAAATTTGTTTGTAAATTTTTTTTATAAAAAGTAGCTAATAGCGAGCTACTTTTTTTGACAAATAGCGATAGCGGTAGCGCGCTACTTTTTTTAACAAATAACGATAGTGGTAGCGCGCTACTTTTAAAAGTAGCGTTTAACAACTCTGGTACACGTATTATTCTCGATATAAATACAGGGTTTAATTAGGTAATTATCACTAAAGCATTTATAGGGCAAATCTTTGGTTAATTAAAAAATATTTTAAGTTGTTTTATTTTAAAAATGGAAAAGTGAGAGTATTTTTTCGTTGAATATTTATATAATAGAAACCCACAGCGGACCGAAAAATGGTATGATTTTAAGAATCTAGGTTGGGTTTAAAATAATATTAAAAAATGCCGGGTTAATTAAAAAAATTTTTAGAATTTATATCAATTTATCAGCTGGTAATGGAGCATTCATTTACCGTTCATATTTTCAATTTCCCATTGCAGCAATTTGCAAGACACAGACACAGCCAAAATTATTCAAAATAATGATATTTTTTAAATTCTGAGCCATGCCAAGCTGAAAAATGGTAAGCAGATGATAATTCTCCAGAAAATAAAATTCCCGAAATATTTTTTTCTGAGAAGGGGGGGGGGTGATATTTTAAATTACCAGATAAATTGTGGGGGGGGGGATCATTTTCTGTGATTCCTGAATAATGATCCAAAAATTTTTCTAAGGTCTACATAATAGAGCAGAGAAACTTTAATAATTTTTTTTCATTAGCTTAGATCAAGTTTGCCCTTGTGTTGTTAAATTTTTTAAAACAGCTAACCCATTATTTTAACCAAAATATATTTAGCAAGTTTCGAGATCTCAATAGATACCCAAACCTTTCTTAACAACCATGAACAAAATCTCCAGGCTTGCATAATATATTTTTGGTTAAAATATTGGGCCATCCATTTTTAAAAATAGAGCCATTTAACACTACTCATCACTAATATTTTTATTCAAGCTTGTCTGGAATTCACACTAAAAAAAGAGTGAACATTTGAAAAATATTTTTAAAAAAACATTAATAAAATTTCTAGCATCCCGAACCTGTTTTTCTAATATGAGATGTGAAGTGGTGAGATTTTAGGTTTGGATTAATAACATTAATACCAAGCTTAGACTGAGTATTCATAAATCAAAATGCATTAGTGTACATACATTGAAGTCAACCATTGAAATGCGTTTAGATAAAATTTGAATAAATTTAGATGAAATATTTAGGGCATCTATATGGAAAAAATATATTCTACTGGCGTCTACTTAGTGTTTGCAACGGTCCAGTCCGACCGGTCGGACCGACAGTCCGGTCCAATCTTATCAGACTTTTCGGTCCTATGGGACTGTCCCGTCCAACAACACGGTCCCACGGTCCGGTCCGACCGAAGACCGATTAAAGAATATAAAAGTTTACTATAAATTGCTTTATAGTTAATGTGTATGTACATGAACATATAAAATATGATTATTTAATGCCTAACACTTTATAATATCTAATTCATCGTTTACTTTTTATATTCTTCCGTTTCATTAAATTCAATATTCATAGTTTACTTTTTATATTCTTCCGTTTCATTCAATTAAATTCAATCGCTTTCAAATATTTTAATTTAGTAGGGTAGGTAGTATTATATTTTATTTTTAGAAATGGATATTGAAATCATAGAAGTTGATACTACTAGTACTATTGAAATGCCACACTCTTCAAGGGGTGAAAGAATGACTATTGATGAAAATAAAAAAAACATCAAATTCTTTAAAAGATGTTAAAGAATTATACAATTATTTTAAAAAAGAGACTGGTCATAAGATTTGTAAAATCTGTTTACAATCATTTTCAAATACATCAAGCATAAGTAAATTAAGCATATATACTATTAGCTGGGAACCAATATTAAAAACCCAATATAAACAAAATATTGTATTGGTATTGGGTGTAAAATATTGATATTGGTTTAAACAATATTTTCTATTTCTTGTATTGCTATTGGTTTATATTGTATTGGTTTAAATTCAAATAACTAATTAAAAGAATAGAAATAAATAGTGATTATATAACCCTTAATTTCTAGTTTTAAGTAAACATGGAAAAAGAAAATCATGAAGCATTACCATATAAACAGGATTTTTAGAAATGCTAAATTATTACTTGCATTGTCTAATGTAATACAAAAAAAAATCAATTTCAAATTTTACTTTTAATACAGAATTATAAATATTAATAGAATTATGTGCTGATTTAAAAGGAATAAAATCTAATAAATGATTATTTAATTTAAATTCATTATCAATATAATGAATTGTTATTATGCCCATAAAGGGTATATTTTATTTGGAGAGGACCAAATGTCCATTGTTAAGGAAAATTTAGATGTAATGTTAAACGTACAGATTTTAAATTGATAAAAGAACTGTTAATGTTTCATAATTTCTATTTTTAATCTTTTTCTAGAAAGTAATTTTAGTGAGAGGTTAGAATATGCTATTAAATTTTTAAAAGTGATATTCTCAACCATTTAAAAGGCTGTTATTTTGAATAAAAAAGAATTAAATGTTTTAAATTAGCTTTATTATTTATATTATTAACTAAAAATGATTTTATTGTGTTCATTTTTTTACTGCCTATTTATTTGTTCACATTTCCTATATAATGTTGGGCTTGGGTGGATAGATTGGTGGGAAGGGAATCAATATCGATTTCCAGTTCTATCAAAACTAGCAATGGACTATCTCCCCCAGCAGGCTACATCAGTAGCATGTGAAAGGATATTTTCTAAAGCTAATGATAAAATAACTAAAAAACGCAATAGAATGAATCCAAAGATGGTTCAATCTATGATGGCACTTGAATCATGGATAAAAAATGGATTCATTTTTTATATTTTAGAAGATAATTAAATTATTTATATACAATTTATTTTATAACCAAATATATATATCAAAAAAATTAATTAAATATGTAAATCATATTTATATTGATATAATTTATATTAAATAAATTTGTATTTTAATATTCTTTTGATTAGGCATTTGTGTATAATATAATAAAAATGAATTGATGATATAATTGAAATATTAATAGGGTAGTTTAACTATTCATTATTAATAAATTTAAATGCAGAATAAAACTTTTGTAGCTTTATGAAAAAATTTTTTTTAGGTGGGACCGGACCGACGGTCCGGTCTCATTTGACTTAACGGTCCATCAGTCCATCCCATTTTAGAAAAAAGATCGGACCACTGCAAACACTACGTCTACTACAGCCAACATTGACTATGGCTGACTTCAATGTATTTACACTTTTAATAAAGAATCATTAATCTAAGTATGTATTATAATGTTGTGCATATTTAATTGTAATTATCTCCATATTTTTTAAATTGTTTGTAAATAAAATTATTTAACTTGTAAAAATTGATAAGAATATATAAATTTTACTTTAACAATTTTTTGCAAATCAAATAATTTTATTTTCAAATAAATTAAAAAATATAGAAATGATGTCAACATTGTAATGACTAGTTTAGCCAATATTTTTACTTTCAAGCCCAAATTAGATCTTGAACTTTTTCCTTTCTTTCTAACACAGCCCAGGTTTTTATATCTTCTTGGACAGGTTTATTATTATAATTTTGATCATTTTAAGCCCTTGTCTAGATTTTTTAAAATCATATTATTTTAAATAATATGGGCTATTTTGTAAATTGCAAAAGGAAAATATGATATTTTCAACTAATAAATTTATTTTTCAAAAATTTGGCCCAACTCAGCTGGGTAGGGTAAATGACTTGTTTTGAATTGATTTTTCAAATAGCTAACTCAGTATTTTATCCAGAAAAATATTATGCAAGCCTGAAAATTTTTCTCATAAATGGCACAAAGGTTTTAAATCTATTAACAAAATCTTGATTCCAGCTAAAATATTGAGTTAGCCATTTTTAAAAATTGCCTTGAATCAAGCCATTTAACAACAATAGCCCTGAGGCAAGTTTTTAACAAATATAAGTAAAATTTAGGATAAGAAAATATGTAATTAATTAATTCTAGAATGATCCCTCCTTTAAATACAATAATTGATTTAAAATAAATAGATAGCAGGTAATACACATGATTAATATATGAATTATATTAGAGATCAACATGACTTAGTTGTCTAGCAAAAAACTCATATAATTATCTAGTGTTGTTTAGCAGCTTGTTTTGAGCCAATTTTTAAAAATGGCTAACTCAATATTTAATCTAGAATAATATTACGCAAGCCTGAAGATTGTTTGCAGAAGGAACAAAGGTTTGGACAACTATTAGTGAAATCTGAAGGTGTAGGCAATATTTTTCTGGCTAAAATATTGAGTTAGCCGTTTTTAAAAATCGACTCAAAATGAGCTGTTTAACAACACTACAATTATCGATATAAGTTGTGACAGCAATATCAGCCAAAAAAAAAAAAATTTTTTACTAAATATTGATTTAAAAAAAATTCTTCAAAATTCAATATATGTATAAAAAATTTAAGATTAGCTCAACAAAACATTTTACACAAGCTAATCAGCCATGTAGTCTAAGGCTTTCCTACTGACAAATTTCTGATTTGTAAAATAGCATAATAGTATTGACCCTATAACATTTACAAAAAACCTATAGATAGCTTAAATATCAAATTTTTTTAGAAAATTTTAACAACTTTATTTAAAAAAAAAGAATAAAATTTTTAAATAAAAATGCATTAAAACATATATTAATTATAATACAACAAATTATTTTAAAAATTAAAAACAATTACATTTATAGGCAATTAATAATAGGCAGATTAAAAATAATAATAATAAAGTATGTAAATAAATAGTAAAATAATATTTACTTTTTTGAGTTTATCATCCTTATCTAAAAAATTAAATTAATGCAAAATTAATTATGCAATAATATACCCTTAAAGGCAACTCTCTTTTTTAGCATTAATCCATACGAAGACATAATCCTTTGAATAAAAAAATATATAATTCTAAAGTGTATGCATACCCATATGGGAACAAAATTTGTATATGAAAAAAAAACAATTCACCATTTCTATAAATGCATGAATGTTCTTAACTATATCAATCATAATTAATTTTAATCTGTGCTAATGTTTATTTCAAGTAAAATATGCTATATCCTTCTGGAAGAAGGGGAAACCATTTATAAACTCTCAACAACATTAAAAATTCTTCAGGTATAATAATTTAGGATATATATAACACATAAATATTAGTTGGTGGGTGATGATCTACTTGTTATTAACCGTCTATAAAATTCCACGAGAATGAAGAAAGATTTACAATTTAATTGTCAAAATATATACCTATTAATATAATCAAATTTTTACCAATATTTTTGTCTGCAATCTACTAATCGTATATTTTTACTTTCTCCTACTTTCTTACCCCCCCCCCCTCGTAGTTATCAACTCCTCAGCATATCCCTCCTAAAATTATGAAAAAACAAATGCAGTGCCCTAGTAGAAAAATTTATGTCGGAGGCATGCTATTACTCTGAAAAAATATTTAGGGCACGCTCAAAAGCAAAAAAATAGAGGCAATTTTTTAATAATTTATAAGCATTTCATATAAAATATATTGTATCTGTATAATATTAAATAGCTATTTTAGAAAGTTATTAAAAAATTGATATATAATAAAAAAAACATTTATATATTGCATAAAAAATGGGGTAATTTTTTAGAATGAATTTCATAATTATATAAAAATAATTATATTATTCTAATACATATAATACATTCATTAGAATAGCAAAAAAAAGGTGAAAAATACTATGACATTTTCCTAGCAAATCTTTTTTCAATATTTTTAATAGTATTAACTGTCATTCTTATATGTTATAGTGTGTACTTGTGACTTGTCAACAATTTTTTAATAAATGGAGAAGATTTCTACTGTTTGAACGTTTATTAACATTAAAATGTAAATATTCTTTGTGATAAGACTTGGGCGCAAATCCGTCATAATGACATTCATAATTTAAGCAGTGTACGGAATTGTGTTAATACAATTTTGAAACTTTTTCAAATAACTGGGGCATTTATAACGTTCATTATTCATTTATTGCATATCCACTTCGAGCTTCAGTTGGGGACAAAGTCATTTAATTGATCTTCCTTATAAAATATTCTATATCGGATTAGATATATAAAAAGATAAAACTATAATTTAATACAGTGTGTTTAATTACCGAAATTATTGGAATTAGCATCCATTAACCTATGCATATTGTCTATCTTGACAGCAATAAATTTATTTTCGTTATTATAGGGTGCCTTCTATTTTCCTTCACTATTTCTAATCCAAATTTATTTATTTTCCTAGCCTCTCATATGTTCTCCTTTAGAAATATCAAATAACCATTCATTTAAAAATCATAGAAGATATTTAGAACCTATCAGGCATATCCTCAGACAAATTTAGAACACGAATTATTAACTTTATAAATTTTTTTTAGCTTTAGATAAACAATTGTTCGTCTCTGAAGCCTAAAACATCAAAGCGAACTGAAAAAAATTCCCCACTTTACGGGTCGACGGCCCTTTAATTTTGAATTGTTGCTAGAATTTGCTGATTTTTTAAAATGTGTATATAGGCCTCAGTTTTTCAAATTGCATTGACAGTATGATGACGACTAGGACCCATCGTACATTACCTTTTTTCTAATAAGCAACTGAATGCCCATTTCAGATGCTCTTTGATCCAACGTCTTTTGATTTTTGTTAGGTTGGCTATATAAACAACATTGCCAGTGTATGATCGTTGGTTATAGTTAGCAAATGCTTGCTGCTAAGCTTGGCTTCTTCCCAATTATGAATTAGTGCTATAACAAAAGAAATACATTTTTTTTACTAAATATTTTATGAAAACCCAACCCAGAGGATTTAGGAAAATTAAACCCACTCTGCAACTTTTAATTCCAGTTTTAAGTCTAGAAATAAAATAATTTCATCAAAAGAGGATCCCATTATCGATTTAATATAAATAAGCAAGACTGGTTTATTTGACAATGTGGTAGATTCATCAATCAGGATAACGATTTTGTATTGTAAATTGATAATATTATTTACAATTTTTATTTGCATATCTATAGAAATGCTTTCAGTTATTAACAAAGCATAATTCTTAAAGTGCAAAATATGTCCTATATCTAAATCAAGGTGCTCATGTAAATATATTAATTATTCAAAATCTTCAAATACGAGATTTGTATTTGTAAGATAAATGCAGTTTTAATTATTATTATTATTAATGTGATTAATCATTTTTAATGCAATCTCTGGCAGTATTTTTTGTTTGGTAGCCTTTTTCAGCAGTTTTATGTGCAACGGGCATGTTTCAAATTTTTTATATGCAAATATCATAGTTTCTGTGTTTTGCTTGCAAATGGCTGCTTTCAATTGTATAATTGCCTTTTCATTTGATATATGCAGTCCTTGTGGGGTAGCAGTGTAACAGGTAGTAAACGGCTAGTCAAATGGGATACAATAGATAGACCCTATTTCTAATAGATGATCATTTTTAAGGACCAATTAAAGGGAAGAGTGAATTAAATTTATAATAGCATTACTAAACTACCATTTTATTTCATTTCATAATAAAAATATTAATAATATTCTAAAATACCATTATAAAAAATAAGATGTAAATTACAATATAGATTAAAAAATTCACATCCATTAAGTTACTCATAATTTTCATATTGGTAGAAAAATGACGAATGCAAGTTTTAAATTCTTTTTTCAAGTTTTAATTGGATTTTTCCTTTTCAATTTTTTCACACCAAAATTTATTGAGTTAAATGATTTTTTTAATCAATTTTTAATACAATTGCAATTATTACACACTTTAAATTAATTAATTCTTTTAAAAAGGAAGGACTTTTTATTTAAAAAAAGAAGAGATTAAAAATTATATAAAAAAATTTTCTTGCTCTTTTCTTTATTAAAAAAATAAGCATTTTTTTTTATTTGCTTCCTCAACACTTACTTTTTATGCGTGCATGATTTTCTTTTTATAGATTTTAAATTTATATTTGGTTCTTGAATGTTGATTTTTTTTATGCACCAAAAAATTATCGCATGAGCATGATTTTTTTATATTAGCTATTCCTCGTCCCAACTCGACTATATTAGTTACGATTTAAATTAATTAATTTGGTTATCCAAGCATCTTAAACGAATTTCGGATTTAAATTTGACGAATTATTTGAATTTTTTAAATAGCCTAACTTATTATTTGAAGAATAAGAATTATTAAAGAGAAAGAAGACAAATAAAATTTATTTTTCATAATTTTTTTTGCTAGATGACAAAATTTAATTTTTACTATTTTATTTGACAAACCTAATCTTAAATCATTCAAAAAATCAACCTTTCAAATTATTTATTCAATATTTGAAAAATATTTAGACAAATGGCTTATGATAAGGGGTTCTAAATTAGTTAAAAATCAAACAGAGCGGAGTTTGTTTAAAATTTTAAAATCTATATATGTTTAACTGATGATATCATTAAAGAAATTCTAGATCTAAATTTACAAGATGTTATTAAAATAAAATGCTTAAAGGTTTATTTTGTCATGATATAAACTCACATTAGAAATTTATTTTATAATAATTTATACGCCGTATCATTTATAATTTATATTTGTTTTATACCCACTAGTCCAAATAAATTTTTGAAATTTATTATATTTTTAAATAACTCCTAGAATAATTCTAAAAATATATTTAATTACCCCCCCCCCCCCATAGATAGTTCTTGCTTACGCGTATTAGATTATTTTAAAGATTATTTCAATATAAGGTTAAATAACCTTATAAAAATCACAACTCTGCCGTCGTGCTACGATATGACTTTATAATGTGGCTAAGCCTAATTTCGAGAATGTTAAATTAATAAAATTTAACAATGTTTATTTATAATCATTTAATTATAAATTAACAATTCAGTATTGTAATTGATAAAATTCATCTTATAGAACCTCTCTTTTGGCCAAAGTTAACCTTCCTAATTTTTTTATTAGGTCTTAGGCTTAAGGAGGCCCAAAATTATAAGAGTGGTCATGATGACTGGATTAAAATAATATTAGTCAGACATGTCAATATACTTATCCATATGCATCACAAACTTGACATTTGCCATTTCCAAGATAACCTAGTGACTGGATCCCGTCTTCTATTGCCAGGAAACAAACAACCAATGAGTTCCGTCTGGGAAGGACAGCGGAATTAAAGGTCCGCTTAAAAGGGGAGGTGAATAGAATGTGTCGAGAAGCTCGCCACTTCTTATGTTGCATTAAAGGCATTCTGTATTTAGATACTTGGAAAAAACAATTCTGTTTGCTACTAATAGCATGACTTTATCAAAAGATTAGGTAACAGCTTTATTATTTAAAAAGTAACGAATCAACAAAGTAATGCATTACTTTTTGGTTACTAATGTTAATAAATGATATACATATCTTAATGGGTTATGAAATCCATAGGGATTTGGAGTCTCCCAATTTTAATTATTTACTGAGGGCGATTTATAAGTATAGCCTTAAGCATTTGCCAAACTTCCTTAAGCACTAATACTAAAGTATAGGTCAATAGCAGTGGCCATTTATTCATGAAGAAGGGGGTTGGCATTTTTTGAAGGCTTTGCTCCCAAGCCCCATTTTGTCATACCTTCGGTCAGATCCCTCCTATAAAAAATATTATATATTATTGATTGTTCCGTAGTTATCTTTATATAATCTCCGTTAAAGTTGACTGTACAAATGGGAGTAATAATTCTAAAATATGTCAATTGTGCTTTATTAGTGTCGGACTTTAACCAGTTAGTAGCCAGCATAAATAAAAAATTATTAATAACAAAATTTGGTCCAACTTACTATTAAAAAACGACTGATAAAATTATTCTGAAAATTTTATCAATGTTTAGTGCTCAATTGTATAAATCCATTTAATAGACAGTAGAAAAAAAAATGGATTTATGCTAGAATGGAAAATATAAAAAAAACTATATATCTGGCGTGTGCTAATATTTAGAGCTTTACTTGTATACTAACTACAAAAAGA